GTGTCTAGTCCTGAACAAACTCTATGTATTGGCAATGTCATTTGACAACTTCCATCCAATTGCAAATATCCCTTTCTTGAAAAAGGGACTTGAGAAAGCCATGGGATGGCAATTGCAAACACTACTGGAAGATACTGATTATCTAGGCCCATTTCAGCCCAAGTTTTGGCCTGGTTACAGAACTGAATCAGCTTTTGTCACCTTAATGGAGTGAGAACAGGAAAAGTGCAACCCTGTTAATTTTGCTTGTTCTCATTGCTGTAGGATACCACCATGGTATCCTCCTGGGGCAGGCATTGGCCGCCTTGTGTTGGAGTGACCCTCTCCTACCTGTGTAGTTAACTTTCAAAGAGTTACACTGAATGATTGTTTCTCTGCTCCTTGGCAGTTGAGCTATGAGCCACATGTAAGATTTTCTTCTTTCTAAAAGATTTGGAATCAGGATATTTGATAGAGTGCATTCTCACTACCCAGCTGCCTGCTCACTAAGGTCATGAGGCAGTTGTGATTCTGCATGGATCTGTGGAATGTTTTATGTTCAACTCAGAGCCTTCAGTGTACCGGCTTCGTCTCTGTGAAACTGCCTGTCTGTTGCAGCATTGTTTTGCTTTCAGTGTCTGCTGAAGGAGTTTTTATTTTAACAAGTCTTCCTTGACTGGTCAGCCAATTTTATTGATATAACATGATTTTAAATATTTTAATTCTACATTTTGTTCTATTTTTCCCCTTATTATTCACCACTTAGGAAACTTATTAGATATAGAGCAGTGCATAAGTCTTGTAAATAAATAAATGGTGTTAAGAGAAAAAAGTGAAAGCTTTTTCTTTTAAATGCAGTCGACCCTTTAGAGACAGTTTTGTGATAGGATTGTAAGCATGTCATTATTTTAGACAGAATAAGAATGTCTAAAGAATTTTTTAAGAATTTGCCAGCTTTGCATTCTGGAAGAGAAGAACAGCAGTGCACACAAGCATTAAGACTGCAAGTAGTGTCACTGTGCAACAGATTTTCAGAACTACAAAAGCTAGCTAGTTAGTAACCTTGTCAGCTCTTGTGCTGAATTCCAGAGTGAATGGCATGCTTAAGGAGGGAATGAAAACATTTTGTTCTTTCGTCTTTATGGTTTGGGGTTTCTAGGCCAAAATTTTGGCCTCCATATCACATAGGCAAGTATTTTTGCTCCTGGGAAAATGACTCATGTTCTTCCCAGGACTTGGCTTTTGGGGAAATGTTCTAGAATCTACTAACCACAAACTGAAGCTCAGAATATACTGATGATGAATGAGGATTGAGAGAGTACAAATACATGGGATATACTTTTCAGCATGATGAAAGTTCCATTGTTGGAAGTATGCAACATGGTCATTTTCTGAATGAGTTTCAGGGAGTAATTTCAGTAATTTTTTAAATGTTCCTATTACTGCTACTATTGAAAAACTGGTTCTTTTATTTAGCTGCACTGGGGTGCATGGTGGCTTGACCTGGCTCACTCTGCATTAGAAAAGGATGGTATGGGAAGTGACCAGAGACCAAAGTGCTGTAGAGAAGAGTTTAATGTCATCTGTTTAATATGTACTTCTGCTAAAGAAATAGTTTCAAAGATAAGCTTAAAGAATAGGGGAAGTGGCCTACAGGTTTGAACAGACCATTGCAGAGAGGAGGAAAAAGGGGAAGCAACTTACAGATACTATAAAATGAGATCCTTGTAACAGGTAGTTGCTTTGGCGTAACAGTCAGGAGTGAAGCAACACTTAGAAGCAGAAAGTAAGTGGAATTTTAAATAAATATTAAGAACTTGAATTCATAAGGGAGTTCATGCAAGGAAAAATTTATTTCCATTTCCCCCCTTTGCCCTCATAAAATGCCTCTTTAGAGGATTGGGAACCCTTTTGTAGAGACGGGGCTGTGAAAGGTGGAATATCCCAATTTTTGAGTGGTCCTCCCAATTTTTTGTGATTCCCTCCCTCCACAGAAATGTGAAGGCTGTGGCTAGGAAAATTTCTGAGGACTTTTTCTATTTTTCCAGTGAGAAAATGGAAATTGGGGGCGGGGGGGAATTCAGTAAAATATATTTTGTTTTGGAATAAGGAGTTAAAAATCAAGGTTTTAGTTACTCAGAATGTATTATATCTATGGAATGCGCTCCCCAGAGAGGTCCGCCTGGCGCCATCGTTATTTGTTTTTCGGCGCCAGGTTAAGACCTTTTTATTTCAGCAATATTTTAATAAGTCTTAATATGGTTTTTTCTGTGTTTTTAATTGCAGCCAGTGTGGGCCAGGGATTTTATTTATTTCATGTTGTAAGCCGTCCTGAGGCTTTTTGCGATTTAGGACAGCATGTAAATATTTTAAATAAATAAATAAAATGAAGATTTTTAAGCAAGACAAAACATTGGAGGTAATAATGCAGGGTGATCATTTCTGTATATACTGTAAACATATATAACACTCAAATTCAAAATGTATTTCTGTACCCAGAGGACAGTACCTTCCTCATCAGAGTACTGTGACTAGACTGTTCTTCTCCCAACTAAGATACATTGGTTATATGTTCAAGATAACAGTTTGTAACATTTGGTGTTGGGTATACTCACAGCTTTGCTTGTAAAACATTAAAGTGTTTCTGCTTTTGAAACTGCAACCTGTAAGTAAGCTCCAGTTGCTGGGCAAACATGCATATGATTGCCTGAAAATTTCATAAATATGTCAAATAGTAACCTTGTTTATACTGACTGATGATGCATTTTATGATAAAGCAGTAAAATACATTTAGATTTAATAAGAAAGTATTTCACATATTAATTTTTCTCCAAAATCTGTTTTTCTCCCCCCCCCCCGCCAAAGAGTCCCATCCCCTGCCTGCATCCGCATTTCTTATTTTTTCACCAATATGGACCATGCTGCATTGTTCAAGAGGGTTGGGGCACAGGGGATCTGAAAGGGAATAGAAAACTGTTTGTGAACTTCCATGAGTTGACATACTGGTAAATTCAGTGAACTAAACTTTCTTAAAGTCTGAACTGTTGCGGATGTGGCAGCGTCCTGGTACACGCTACCTAAAACATTCTGACTGGTGGTAGGTGCAAGTTTGGAAGGCTGAGTTGTGACGTGTAAGGCAGGCCGCTGTGTTCACTCAGTTGATTAATCAACCTAAGTTGATGGGATCTAAATGCACATGTTCACAGCTTTGATTTACACAGATCACAATGCAACTTGATTGTTCTTCTTGTTTGTTTCATGCCTGGTGTTCCATCTTAGCGTGACAGATTTTTTTGAGTGCCGCAGCACTGTTTGCATATCCAATAGTATAGCATTGCAGAAAGATGAAGGGAAAGCGTAGTTACTGTTTGCTTGACTTGGTTAACACTAAAAGGAGGATGTTGATTTAACCTTTCTTTTTGTAAATCAACACATGACAGACTGTGGATAATCGGGATTTGTGACTTCATGTGGCAAAGCCTGCCAGATGATTGTAAAATAGGCAGCACCACGTCAGAACAATGCATCTCTGTTCTTTTTAAGAGTTCTGGGACAATGTTTGTAAGATGCACCTTGTGTTTTCCCAGTGTACCAGTCCAGTATAGCCTCCTCTCCCAACTATTGTAGCATTGCCACCACACTGAGATAAGAGAAACTGAATTTATTTTATATCTCCATAAGCTGGATCTCTTAAATAGTTTCTCGGGGCTCTTCTCAGGTGGCACTGATGCCATAGCCTAGCTCCTTTCATTGCTACTTGGGTAATGCAAGAAGTCTCTAGTACCATTGTTGACCCTGTTTTGGGAGGTGGCGTAGAGTGCATCTTCCAGGCTTGGGTATGTCAGCACAGGAACACAGAAGGCAGACGCACTATAGTGGCTTCCTTGTTTCATATTAGAAAGGGCTCTTAGAGGATAGAGAATTATTACTGTAAGTAATAAGTGAGGGCCTACTTTTGAATGGAGACCAGCCTGGTGGATAAATTTTTTAAAATCTTGAATTTGGCAGTATGCTTATATTGAGAAATGATATTCTAGTGAGGCATGTATTTAACCTGACAATAATTGAATCCCGTGTGAAAGTCATGGTTTGCTTTTTTAAAATTTGGTCAGGTAAATGAAGTATGATAGAAAGGGTAATGGAAAGGATTTCCAAGCTTTTGGAAGAAACAGAAGGTGGACAAAAGTCTACTTAATTCTGGGTTCCTACCATGGAGGCCAAAGGAACTGGGCCTGCTGAAGAAGCAAGTGGGTAAGGAGCCCCCACTGGCCGGAAGTTCCTTGTCCCTGCTATAAAGTGATGGGGAATTGTTGTTCGGTGTCCTGAATAGTATCTTGTCAGATCATCCTAGAATCAGGATTAAGGCTGTAACTTTTAATTGCTAGCTTAGCTGAATACAACTTTAATGAACTAATGCATGGGAGCAAATTATCAGTGAGACTGATTCAGGGGTAAACTTAATGGGGTTTTTTATCAACTCTTGTGTCTTACAGTAATAAGAAATAAGAAATGTAAGAGGAAAGTTAAGATGGCTTACTCCAAGTCACCTATGCATTTGTAAACTATATAACTATTACTTCTATCTCCTCAAAAAGCATCTTTATTAAGTTTTTGATGATACGCAAATTCATGTTAATTTGAATCAGTCAGTGAACTAATCAGTTAAAATAGGTGAGTTAATCAACTAAAATCTTCAGGGCTTAACTCCTTTGTTTGATTGAAGATTCTGTTTGATATAGCGCCACCAATAAAATATACTTAGAGCTGGAAATGTTTGGTTCTTCATTCTTCCCACTGACATCTTTTGGATTGCATCTAAAACTCCTTCCTTTGGATGCAACCCTGTGAGACAAGGTAAACAAACTGCAGTCCGCTCTTATGAAGAAAACTCATAATGCGCAACAGTACTCCCTCTACCTAGCCCCCAGTTCTGTGATATTTAGCCTTTCTGTCAGAGTGTAAGTGTGTCTTTCCAGGGAAACACCTGTTAATATAACTCTTCCCTTTTTTTTCTTTTTCAGGTTGATTAGGCATTTGACCTTCAGCCAAATCTACTAGTTCCAGAAATATGTGGAATATGGTTGTAAGTTTTGCTCTGTGTAGTAAAGATTCAAACAACATGGCTTCTCAAAGTTGAAAAACACTGCATAAAAAGACGGTAGCAATGTTTCTGGGTTATATCAAAGACCCACATCTTCGTACTGTACAACATGTGGATAACAGAGAACTTTAAATAATATAACCATCATGTGAAGTAGGGGGACCTTGTCGGATCTGCCTGATCCAAAACAGTAAGAGGTTGCAGGTATGTAGAAGTTGATTTATCAGCACTTTCTCATTTTCATCCGTAGATTGGCAGAGGACCTAGCAGATCATTCACTTTGATGATGAAAGGCTGAATCCAAATACTTCATTTGTGTTTCTTCTAGGTGCAAAGTGAAGGCCATTTCATGCCCTCTTCATGTAAATATAATAGGAAATATTTCTAAAGATTAAAAGATAATTCATCCTAACTTAAACACTGGCAGTGGCAGGAAATGTCACATTTTAAGACCTGTTTCCAAGGAGTCCTTTGGAAGCTGGATGCCATGACAACTTATATTAGCCAGTAACAAAGAATGACAAAAAGAGTAAAGTTGGTAATTTAAACACCATTCAGTAGAATATTGATTTTGGATATTTTGTTTGGTTCAAAATTCAGAACTACTTTTGATGTTTCTAGATAAAGTACAGCAGTAATTTTCAATGATCCTAATTATATTTTGGCGGAAAACCTCCACTGAATTTAGTGGAACATTTTGTACTTAACACTGGGCATACATTGGTTAGAGCAGTTGCTCCAGCTTTTCTTGGTAAGGAACATGGTGCTTTGTGATTTGGAGGATTCTTCTTTGTCCTGGAAGTAACACTGTTTGGAAGAAACATTCAGTCTAGTTTTAGATAGTGATAGTAATCTAGTTGGTGTAATTGTGCTGTTCTGTCATCCTTACTGTAGGACTTCTTACAAAGTCATATTGCTTCTTTCTGCAATTTTACATTGACTGGAAATAAGTGGAAATACCTACCACAATTAGTGTAGTATTTTCTGATTGCTGAAGTTGCAAATTTTTACATTTAGTTCAAGGAAAATAAGAGAAGGATAGACAAAAAGTCACAGGTTAAAAATGCCTCTAATGAATGTTTGATGGAAGATATATTTATGCCTTAGTGAATTTTAGCATATTATAGAATGGTTTTATGAAGAGGCATTTATTAACGAAGCTTTTCACAGAAAATACAAGCTATCACAAACTTGAATTTAATGTTTGTTTATTATTCAAGTTTTTCTATACTGTCTTATATTTTATAATTCTCAAAACTGCTTACAAGATTAAATTAATACCAATAGCAGTTGCCTGGAGGTGACCACTATTTGTCTGCCTTTTTCAGTACATTTCCTTCTAACACTAAGGGAATGATTCTATGCATCCTAGATAGTGTCCAGTGGGGAAGATACAGAAGAGTTCTGATTCCCAGTTTCCAGGTCTGAGATACCACTCTGAACCTAGAGCAGGGAATTGGGGCTCTGATTCCCTGAACCACCCCCTCTCAGCTGGCACAGAATGAATCATGCCAACTGCTCTGTAAGGTTGGGAAAGCCATCTCAGTGGGGCAGAAAGGGAGGTATTTCAGGGACCAGAGAATGGAGGAGGCTGGAACTGCCAGGGTATCTGATATGCTGAAGCTGCTCACAACTCTGTTCTAAGATACCTTTGCTAAATGGCCATCTAGTAAGAATGCAGAGCAAGAGAAGTGGGAGTTGAATATTGCCCCCACCATTCCTCCCACTCTGCATTTGGGGGCTTACAGGCATCCCCATAGGACTGCATTCCAAATTATGGAATGATTTCTCAGGTAGGAGAGATAGTGGGGTTATAGCTAGACACCTAACATATCATTAAAGGTTCTCTAACTTCTTGAATCAAAGCATTGGTAGAAATACTTTGCCTTTTCTGCCATTCACTAAAAATAGTCTTGGTAGTGAGCCGGTTTGAACAATCATGGTTTAAGCCATGATGGTTTGTGATACATGGTGTGTTGCCATGGTTTATTGTGTTGCCTGAATTCAGATAGGAGCTGTGTAACGTCTAAACAACCCTAAAATAAACCTGCAACAGAACATGGATTATGTGAGGATTGTTTGACCTTTGGACAACCATGGTGGACTATGGGTGACCCTGAGAACCTGGTCAGTCTCCAGTTTACCAAAGCTATAAGACTTGGTGTTCACCGATTCTAACTACCTGCCGTATTTAAAGGGGCTGTTTTCATGTTCATTCCTTCCGAATTTTCAACTTCTAGAGGCATGCTTCCATGTGTCATCAAAATAAATGTTTTCTCATTCTAAGTACAGACAATCTCTTTCCATTTCCTGAAGAAGAAAAGCACAAATGTCAGCTGCTATTTTGATCTAACTGCTCTAAAATGGGATGCTTGAATTTGCCTCTTTCCTCAAATAAAAAGAAAATGAGCATGCTTCCTAGATTTAATTATGCAATGGTACTTTAAATTGCTAGACAAAATTTCTTTCTTTGCAGCTACGTTTTTGTGTGGTTTTTCTGGGGGTAGAGGAAAGTAGGACCAACAGGCACATGCATATACCACGTACTCAAGAGCTAGTGTTGAAGTAACCAAAGTATGCTGGGAAATTTAAAACATTTTAATGCACCAATTTGAAAATCATCTCTTTGACTTTTCTTTTGTAATTTATTTTATTCCAACCTTCATACAGGATAGTATATGGGTCTTCCCCTTCCCCCGCCACCCTCCACCCCTGTTTTATATTCACAGAACTATCTTGTGCAGTAACCTGGCTAAGAGGTAGAGATTGGTCCAAGGTCACTTACTGAGCTTCAGAATGGAGTGAGGATTTGACCTTGGGTCTCCACATTCTTCCACATGAACTACTATAACTTGCCTTCCCCCCCCTTTTTCCCCTTCTCTTGGAAAATGCAGACTTGAAGGGGCTGCAAAACTATGTAAACATAGGCCCATTGCCACTGCAAAGGTAAAGTTTCACTTCCTACCCACTCTAACTGTTTTTCTGTCCATGTGAGAGTGAACAAGTTCCTCTATTTTTCTTTCTCTGCAGATAGGAAAGTTGCTGTGGGCGGCAGTAAGTTAGGTTCTTCGTCGTGGCCTCTGTGCATCACACATATGGGTGCTGCACCTGCGCAGTGCCTTTGGCCGGAAGATTACAAGCTAACGGTTTATTTTGGCGGGAAAAAGCTCCGCTCCCCCTCCCCCACAGCCTATAAAGAGCAGAGCGTCCGCCATTTTGTTCAGTCTTTGCGACCGCCGTTCACTGTGCCTCGTGCCGCTTTCGACTATCACTTTGATCGTTATTCGTAGCCTGTTTTTTCTCCTTTTACTCCCAGTTTTATATCCCTGATAGTTCTTGTTAGCACTAGTTATTCTGCAGTTCTATCGTTCTACCATTCTATTTTCTTCTTCTAAAAAAAAAAAAAACCCCAAAAAAATATATTCTTACCCTCTGCACTGTCTCCCTTTTTCTTCTTCTTGCGATGGCGCAGCGAGCGGCCTTCCGCAAATGTGCAGAGTGCAGGTCGAAGATGTCACCATCTGACCCGCACGACCTATGCCTCCTCTGCTTGGGGGAGGGGCATAGGACCGACAGGTGCTCCCACTGTCTGGCCTTCTCCAAGCAGGCCAGAAAAAATCGGGAGAACCACCTCCGGAGGCTCCTGTGGGATCAGGCTCTTATGCAGTCCGACCCACTGGTCGCCGCTCCGAAGCCTGGCCCAGATGCGGTGGTCCCACCCTCCTGCCCATCGGACAAAGGTGCCTCTACTTTGAGGGCCCCACCAGCTTCTCCCAAAAAGAAAAGCGAGAAGCGCAAGCATGCCAATGCCGACAAATCGGCCAAAAAGGCCAGGAAAGAGAAGCCCTCTAAGCCGGCCCAAAAGGCGAAGGATCCGGACCGACCCCGACACCGTGTCTCGGGTTCGACGGCAGTGTCGGTACTGGCGCCAACCACCGTACCGACCCCACCCGAGCCGGCGCTCCAGGCAGCCATGAGGGTTACCCCTCAAGGGTCTCCCTGTTGTGTGGCTGACCCACCGACCAAACCGCTTCCATCTCTCCAGCGGGGCTCGATCTCTGACAGAGAGATTCAGGACTCTCCCCACAGGGCTAGGTCACCAACGCCTATGCCCATGACCACACTGGAGGCGGATGTTGTCGAATCCTCGCCCAGGGCCCGCCGGAGCCGCTCCAGGGAGCAGTGATCCGAGCAATTCGAGGACTGGCGTCGCTCCTACTACCCATCTTGGGGTGAGCCATACTCGACTGGGTACTATCCTGTGCCGAGAGATCGGTCCCCACCACGCTCTCGTGATCACCCGCTGCCTCTGGATCCAAGGCGCACATCCCCGGTACCCTGGGATGAAAGCAGCCGGTCCACTTTGCCAGTGGAGTCTTCTTCTTCGGCCCCTCCGTACTACGGCGCGGACTCCGATGACTCGGACATCAATTCTACCTCTCCCAACGTCGTGGTGACCTCCCAGGGCCCCGCATCACCGGACGAGTCGCACGTTTCTTTTGCGGAGCTGATGTCCAGGCTCGTCCAATCCCTGGACATCGACGCCGTCCAGTGGCCAAGACCGTCTACAGATAAAATCTATGACGTCGTCCGCGGGGAGCAGTCCACCTCCATCGTCCTGCCCCTGATTACCACCCTACGGCAGGTGATGACCCAGCCCTGGGACTTGCCCTCTCACCCTCAACCAACTTCGCGGAGGTACGAAGCCATGTACCGGGTTTGGGAGGAGGACATACATACCATTCCTCCTCCAACACCCCAAGCCGAACTTGGTCGTGGTGGAGTCCTCCCAGGGAAGAGAGGCAAGGGGTCACACCTAGCCACGAGATAAGAAGGGCCGCAAGATCGACTCCCTGGCCAGGAGGGTCTACGCAGTTTCAGGCTTGGGGCTGCGTATCTCAAACTACGAGGCGACGTTGGCGAGATACCAGTATTTTATAATGCAGTGCCTCCACAACGTCGTCTTGGCCCTCCCAGACCAACAAGGCGAATTGGCCAAAGTCTTGATTAAGGAGGCGATGCACGTCGCGGTGCAACAGTTGTCCACAGCCAGGCACCAACTTCCTGGAATTGTTGGCCATGTTCAAAGCCCTACGCTCTTTCAAAGATGTTCTTCAACATCGGGTTGTTCAGATAACATCGGACAACATAGCCACCGTTTTTTATCTGAACAAGCAAGGCGGGACGAAGTCTCCAACCCTGGCCAGACTTTCTATGCAGATCTGGGACTGGTGCATTTCGAGAGATATTACGATAATAGCAGTCCATCTGGCCGGTACGGACAACGTGGAAGCAGATCTTCTCAGCAGGCGCATGCTCATTTCTCACGAATGGGAACTGGACCCCCAGACACACGATGACCTTTTCCATCACTGGGGGTTCCCCAACGTGGACTTGTTCGCCATACAACAGAACAAGGTGTGTGCGACTTTCTGCTCGAGAGCGGGAATCGGACACGAATTCCTAGGGGACGCCTTCATGATTCCATGGAACAATCTGAATTTCTACGCCTTCCCACCAATTCCACTGGTGATGAGAGTCATAGCGAAGATTGTTTGCAATCGGGCCACAGGGATACTAATTACTCCTTGGTGGCCACGCCAACCTTGGTGTTCCACACTGCTGGACATTTGTCATGGGGAATACCTACATCTTCCACCGCTCCCGTTCTTGATAACCCCGAAAGATGGCGCACTTCGTCACCCAGATATATTATCGTTAAAACTAACAGCGTGGCGAATCCGATAGCTAACTTCACTACGTCTCTACCAGTCACTACTCCAAGGGGTTCGAATCCGACCTTCAGATGCACTACTGTCCTCGTTACGTCTACACCGACAACTACTTCAAAAGGTTCGAACTCTGCTTTCGAACCCAATACAGTTGCAACCTCCGAATCCGCTGGGGACGGCACTGCACCAGCACTGTCAGATTTGACTACTGTGCCATCGAATCCGACAGCCTTTCATCCGGACATTCAGTACATATTGGACTCCGCTTTAAAGCCTTCTACACAGAGGTCTTACGAAGCTAAATGGAAGCGTTTCTCTGCCTTTGCTGACTCTTGTTCATTCTCTCCATTTACATCGTCAATTCCTCAAATTCTTCAGTTCCTCCTGGAATTACACCACTCTGGACTGAAACCATCTTCGATTAAAGTATATACGGCGGCCATCGCCTATCATCGGGGTATGGTGGATGGTTCGTCCATTTTCTCCCAAACTACTATTAAAAGGTTTTTGAAGGGACTTTATAATCTGAATCCGTCGATCAGACCAGTAATGCCCACCTGGAGTCTCTCTGTTGTTCTGCAGGCGCTTACAGAGAGCTCCTTTCAAACCGTTGGCCACAGTCGATTTACGTCTTGTCTCATGGAAGACAGCATTCCTAGTTGCGGTTACCTTAGCCTGGAGGGCCAGCGAACTCTGCGCTTTGCGCGTAGACCCACCTTGTCTCAATTTTCATAGAGAAAAGGTTGTCCTGTGGCTCGATCCATCTTTTCTGCCTAAGGTATCCACACCCTTTCACATGGGGCAAGATACTATTTTACCTGCCTTTTTCCGGCTCTGTCTACTCCGTTAGAAAGGACATTACATTCACTTGACGTTTGACGCTGTTTAGCATTCTGCAGATCTGAGTCTATCTGATGTTCACATAGACTTTTCATTAAATATGCTACCAGGGGCCAAGGTACCCCTGTCACTCCGCAGAGACTTTCTAAGTGGATAGTTCATACCATCACCCTGTCTTACCAACTGGCCAATATTGACTTGCCCACTACCCCTCGAGGCCATTCAACTAGGGCTGTGGCTACCTCATCGGCCTTCGCATCGGGAATACCAATGGACGATGTATGTAGAGCTGCTACTTGGGCGAATCCTTGCACTTTCGCCAAACATTACCGCTTCGACGTCCACAGTCGACAAGATTGTTCCTTCGGCAGAGCCGTTCTTTCATCTGTTCTTCATTGAGGACACCTTCCCTCCTCCGTTGTGGTAAGCTTGTTAATCTACCCATATGTGTGATGCACAGAGGCCACGACGAAAAGCAGCTTGCTTACCTGTAACTGATGTTCTTCGAGTGGCCATCTGTGCAGTCACACAACCCACCCGCCAGCCCTGCTCGGTGTCGGTGAGTGGACCTCTGTCGTTATTGAATGTTATCATTGTTTCTTGGTACCGATATTCATTGTTCTCTCGGTACCGATACTGTTCACGGTAGAACTCATTTACAAGTCATTTTTTCCACAAGAGGGCGTCCGTTCAGTCATCAAAGACTGAACAAAATGGCGGACGCTCCGCTCTTTATAGGCTGTGGGGGAGGGGGAGCAGAGCTTTTTCCCGCCAAAATAAACTGTTAGCTTGTAATCTTCCGGCCAAAGGCACTGCGCAGGCGCAGCACCCATATGTGTGACTGCACAGATGGCCACTCGAAGAACATCAGTTACAGGTAAGCATCCTGCTTTTGCAAAACATAATGCCACAATCCAGTTAACAGGAAAATGCCTCCCTGAACATTTTACTTAAAAATGGGTGAAAATCAGTCTTGGGACTGCCGGGAGCCATAGCAAGGCTCTCAAGTTTCTCAAATAATCTGCCACTAAGACAGTCATTTCCTTTTCCTAAAAAAGGGCACACACTAGACATTTTACAGAAAGCTAGCATTCTTGGGAAGTAGAGTTGTACAGAAACTGCACTTCTTGTGTAAGACAAGTATTACATGTTTGCATCTTAATAGCTTTTGACTGGTAACTGTTCTCAAGTTCTGAACCTGAAGCCGCACCATGAAATACTATAGGCTTCCTGCTTTGGTAGCAGAAAATTAAGTCTGTCAGTGTAAAGAGTCACCTTGAGACTTGCTCCTAAAATCCCTTGCAATGAGCAAGGTTTTTATGATGATTTACTTAAGAGGACAAGAGGATTAAAACAAAGAATCCTGTGAACAAAGTTCAGAGAGGTTTATAACCTCGGTATATCCACACATGTTCTATTCACGCATGCATGTGCACACACAACCAAAGGCCTCCTAAGATAGCAAAAAGACAATTGTCCACAAGCTGATGTGTTTCACTTGGTACAAATGTAACGAAGTTTTCATGACACTTTGCTTATAAGTAGTTTGGAAAGAGCACTCAAGAAGGGTTTATTCTACTGTACTCTGATTATAGAGAAATTGCTTCATTCAGATATGAAAGTTCTTGCCTTGAGAGCAACGCCTGTTAAGCAACGGTTGGAGTGGGGAGCTGGAACACATTTCACTCAAGCAAGGAGGAGGTAGTGTTTTGCAATTTGGAGCAGAATTTTGTTAGGGGAGGGGATAACAATATCAGCTATCAGCTAAAGAATTTAAGTCATGGTAATCTGATTGTTGCCCAGCCTTCGTTCCATATCTGTTTGTGACTGACTGCATCATGGGCAGGGCTATGTGGCCTCTTGCCTGTGGCAAGAAGACCATGTACCTGGTAGCCATACCTTTTGTTTTGGCAAACCTCTTCTGCATTGCCCATCCAAGGTTGATGATTCTACTGTTTTTGTCTCCTCTTCTGCTTGGGTGATATTACCATAAAGAACAAGGAAATTAGTAGTGATTGTGAAATATGCTTACAAGCTCCCTAAATATTGCTGTATTTTTATTTAGGTTTTCCTGCAGAAATTTGCAAACATAGACTTTTGATAACATTAAGAGAAGATCACTAACAAAATGCCTCCACGACCTTCGTCCGGTGAATTGTGGGGCATCCACTTGATGCCACCAAGAATCCTAGTAGAGTGTCTTCTACCTAATGGTATGATAGTGACTTTAGAATGCCTCCGTGAGGCCACCCTGTTAAATATCAAACATGAACTCTTTAAAGAAGCTAGAAAATACCCTCTCTATCAGCTCCTTCAAGATGAGTCATCTTACATTTTCGTAAGTGTTACACAAGAAGCAGAAAAAGAAGAATTTTTTGATGAAACACGGCGACTATGTGACTTGCGACTCTTCCAGCCTTTTTTAAAAGTGATTGAACCAGAAGGAAACAGAGATGAGAAAATCCTGAATCGAGAAATTGGTGAGACTTGCTATATTCATCTTACAAGTATTTATAAGCCAGTAGTCTGTCAGATGATATTTAGAGTGGTATATGATTTAAAGTATATGCAAGAAAAGAATTTACAAGTTTCCTTCCCCCAAAGTTAAGGGCAATTGATATAAGCCATCCAGAGAGCCCTATGGGCTATGGGGTGGCATACAAATGTCAGAAAAGAAATGAAGTCCCAGTTAATTATCATATGATAAAGCCAATACATCAACTGTATTTGCACGTCATGCAAATGTGTGTAGTAGTGGGAACGCTTGCAGGGAGGAAGTTTTGCCTTGTTGTGTTCTAGAGCAATACATGGCAATTAATGTTAACTGTGGCTAATTTCAAACAGGCCCCCTTCAAACCATGTTTCTGAACCTGCCTTGTGAAACTAACTTTCTTTTACCCTCCCACCTGCACATGTTACAGTGACAACAGCCCCTGCAGCCCTTTTACTTGAGCTAGGAAACTACCTCACCTAAGCACCATAGCATCTCTAATCTTACCTGCCTTACCAAGCAGGATAGCCATAGTGAAGGTGTGTTAAATGTCTTTCAGTCTGAGGACTGGATTCCAGTCTGGAGAAGTTCTTGGTGAGCAGAGCAAAAATGCAGGACCAACAGCTTATTTTAGCTTACTGTTTTCCTTATCTGTAAGCAAGCATTAGGAAGAGCATTGCAACCTTTTAGAACATGGGGGGATGTTCCAAAAGCCAGGAAATAATGCCTGGTGGTTGGGAGAAAGGATCTTGGATGGCCAAAGTTTGTCCCAAGCCTGGGTTTCTGCATCCCTTCTGTACTGGATGCTTCAAGGTCACTTGGGTGCAACAAGCTTCTCCAGCACAGCCCTTCAGTGTCAGCCTTTGTGAACAGTTGTTGTAGCAGCCCTGCCATTCCAGCCAAGAAGAAAGAGCTGAGCGCAGGGAAAAGGTCTCCAGCAAGTTTTTGAGTGGCTTGTGCAGGGAGAGGAAATGACACTGAGGGCTCACTTTCCAACAGTATTTCAAAGAACACTGCTTTCTTTTTTAGGTTTTGCTATTGGCATGCCTGTCTGCGAATTTGACTTGGTTAAAGATCCAGAAGTTCAGGACTTCAGAAGAAATATCCTTAATGTTTGTAAAGAAGCAGTAGAACTGCGAGATGTTAATGCACCCCATAGTAGAGCATTGTATGTGTGTCCCCCAAACATAGAATCTTCATCTGAGTTGCCCAAGCATATATACAATAAACTTGACAAAGGTAAAAAAGAATGCTGTAGCAATTCATTGCAGTTGTTCAGATATCTGAATGAGAACTTGCCTGGACTGTGAGATTTCCAGAAACTTTGATGCTCATGTTTCCCTTATGTCATGATAATCTACTCAGTGCAAATAGATTTTTTGAAGATATGATATAGCCAGCGCAGTGCATTCACTCTGTTTTTCTGCTTGAGCAACATTACAAGTTTCTATTCTGGATTAACATTAAGGACTGCATAAAGCAGTCTTCATTTAGGTATGCTGAAGGGATTGATTCCCCAGATGGTTAGCACTGTGACACTCCCTGGCTCTGTTCCTTTCTCATCCCTTTTTCCTGCCACGTAAGAACCTAGTTTGGTAGATTAAATTAGTCTATGGCTTGTTGTACCAATCCTAAAGATGCATCTCTTGGTTGGAGTATTTAATTATGTTTGTGTCTACATATTCCTTAAAGGAGATGCTTGGGTGGCAGTCATTGGCTGAACAAATTGGGACAGGACTTTTCTACTTTTGCTATGAGACTTTAATCATGGATGAAACCTGACACAGTTTCTTTCTCTTACAGGACAAATAATAGTGGTGATATGGGTTATAGTTTCCCCTAATAATGACAAGCAGAAGTACACCTTAAAAATCAATCATGATTATGTGCCAGAGCAAGTAATTGCTGAAGCAATCAGGAAAAAAACACGAAGTATGTTGCTGTCATCAGAACAACTAAAACTCTGTGTGTTAGAGTACCAGGGGAAGTATATATTAAAAGTATGTGGTTGTGATGAATACTTGCTAGAAAAACATCCCCTGAGTCAGTATAAGGTGAGTAAATATTGTGTATATTTTGGTCTTTCATGATGCTTGCAAGAGTTAGATATTTTAGACAGGCATATGTCAGTTTTTTAAAAAAATGAAATTGCTAAATCAGAGCACAAAAAATGAAGTACTGAAGCAGTTTGGGGTGCACGTGCGTGCGTGAGAGAGATTTACTGAGTTTGAGTGGCATATATTAAAGGTTTTGGTGTTTTCTTTTTGTGGTATTCACATAACTACCCTACAGCAAGGTGTGTGCTTAAATAAACCATTTTCCATTTTTAGGCAAATACATTTTCTGGAAACTTTAGAGGCATAGTCAAAGGCTTACATGCAACTGCTTTTGCAGTACCTTGTGTGAGGCATGCGAAACAGCACCACACAGAGCCTCCCATGAGGTGGAATATAGTCTGATACTGGAACAGGAGTTGGGGGAAAGTAAACTACTTGGTCCAGGACAAAGACTGGAATGCGGGATCTAGTGCACTGCTATATACAGGGTGTCCAAAAGTCACCATGCATAGGAAAAATTAACAAAGCCATGTTTAATAATATAATAAGGGAAAACTGTATAAGAGGAGACTTCGTGTGTATGGAAAGAGGTGGCCAACACATAGAGAATATTTTGTAAAAAATTTAATGAATACTTTGTAAATAGGTACATTTAGCTACTATTTCTCATTTCCCCCATGTATGGTGACTTTTGGGGCACCCTGTAGATCCATATGTTAGTATCTTTTTTAAAATATGGGTTGCATTCACCTGAAAGTTTTCAGGAGTAAAAGGGATAAGCCCTATCTGTCAGAACATTAGGAATTTACAGCTTCAATTCTGAGCTGATTTAGGGCAAAATCCTATGCAAGTTTAGACAGAAAAAAAGGATAATTGAATGTTTCCTTAGAAAGCAGGAAAGTTCTTTTCCTAGAATGAGACTTATCTGGAAGAAGGGCAGAATTAAAAAGTATTGTGTTCAAGAAGGATATTTAAACTTCTAGAGACTGAAAGTCCTGAAGAGAATTTTATGGTTACTATTTATTATTTCATTACTATACCCCCTTTCCCAGTAGCTGAAGTTCACTGTGTGGTTTTTACAAGAATCAGTAAAAGAAAATGAAATACAATAAAAATACTATAATAAGATGACATAACAAACTGTGTGGTGGGATGGTGCATTTATGTATCTTCATGGTGCTTTGTCAAATAGTCTTTTTGGGATGATGCATTTTTGCTACTAAATAAAACATTAATGCAGAAATCACTGAATGAGTTTCACTGCCAAAAGTTCTACACTGTCTTGGCTGTCCCCCAGTTTTTAGTTAATGTTTCTTTCTCTTCAATGAAAAGACAGGGAATGCAAAATACTATATTAGTAAGGAACCCATTTATGTGAGCATATATTTTCTGTAAGTACCGGTACAATAAAACAGCTTTGCCACCTTTTTTGGACTTTTCATTAGCATTAGCTCCTAGAATAACCTGGCCTTTCAGCCGATCTCAGATGCTAACTTCTTGAAAAGCTTGTACTGTGGTGCCTGCTTGGCCCTGACTAGCAAAATATTAACAATGCTGGCATTGTAATCTCTGCAATTAAGCAATGATGCCACCAAAACAGCATCCAGTATAATTATTGTGCTTTCCCCACCTTTTCCAGTACATCCGGAGCTGTATCATGCTTGGTCGAATGCCCAATTTGATGCTGATGGCTAAGGAAAGTCTTTACGCGCAGCTGCCAAAGGATACCTTTGCAATGCCATCTTATTCTAGGCGTATCTCCACAGCAACACCATATATGAATGGAGAGGCTTCTGCCAAATCCCTCTGGGTTATTAACAGCCATCTCAGAATAAAGATTCTCTGTGCTACCTATGTAAATGTAAATATTCGAGACATTGACAAGGTAAAAAAACCTCTGTGTGTCTGGAACCAGTTTGAGCATACCTCACATTCCTAATCTGTGGCTGCTAAAAAAATATTCTGGTTTCTGTATTTCTGCATAACCAGCCAGAGTCCTCTAAATCTCCAACTGTGGCTTTGGTCCTCATATTGGCAGTTTGGTCCAGGAGGAGACCAATAAAAAGGCCGTTGAGTGTTTCCAATCAGGATGACAGGCACACCTGCCACTGAAGTTATGTTTGCTTCCAATAGTACAGGTTTACAAGTCGAGTTGCTTTATGGTAGCTGTGCTGCAGTAACTCAGCTACCATCAGAGGACTCTCCAAAGGCTGAACCTGTTTCAGAAATTCTGTACAACTTTTGCATTTGCCCTGGCTTTTGGTAGTTAAGATTCATCTGATAGTAAATGATTTTGGCCAGGAATGTAAGAATAAGCTTTCAGTATTTTGCTTGCTTATATGCAAGTGGAGTAGACTGCATGTGGTTTGCTTGAACTTTGATACTTCTGTCATCATTTATAATTCATTGGAACCAGGAGGGGGATACCCAGGCAAATTTTGAGAAACAGGGAGTCCTCAAGTTATGAACAAACTGTTATAAATCCTGTTAATTTAAAAATTATTGTGGAAAATCATCATCACCATAGAGAGGAAGTGAAAGGAGGGAGGAGGGGGCCTTCCAAGCATGCCTTCCTGTCCTGCCCATCTGGAGAGGGAAATCTCTCTGGCATTTCCTTGCTGCAAAAAGGAGATACTGCTGAGTTTGGGTCATGGGGGTAGGAGAAACACAGAGATATTTGCAGTTTTTCCACTTTTTCCATTTATAGTTTTTCCTAATCCTAACCCTTGCAAATGAAATGTGGAGGGCTGACTAATGTACAAATTTGACATAAAGATGAATTTCCATTTTCTCAGGAACAAAACTTGTTTGTAACCTGGAGGCTGCCTGTATTTACATATTTTATGCACAGTGGTTCTGAATAACCTTGCAATTTCCACTGTACATTGAAATAAGTATGTCTTATTTACAGAGAAATAGATACTTAATTTGTAACTCCTGTTTTTAGGTACTAATATAGTTACATTTGTAAATGTACTATTTTCAGATCTATGTCCGAACTGGTATCTACCATGGTGGAGAGCAATTGTGTGATAATGTGAATACTCAGAGGGTGCCTTGCTCCAATCCGAGGTAAAGAATAGGACTAACTCAATTAGAAGAAACCTAGTGCTAAGAGTTGCACTTGCCTCTTCCTGCACTCCACTGGTGATAAATCTAGAATTAGCTTGATCAACTTCAGCAGCAAGAAGTACCAGGATTAAGTCTAGATTACAGCATTCTGCCGGCAATATAATTAGACTGTGAGCTAGTAGGAAATGTCTTAATATTCAACATATATAATGCCAGTAAAAGAAGATAAAATACTAGCTATCACTGTCTGTCAGATAATCAACAGCCATAAAAAATTTCTAGTCTGATCCAATTGTTAGGTCACCTTGATTGATGGGAAGTGAGTATGTGTATTGCACAGAATTAGGGACAGGTCACAACTTCAGTCAAGGTCACAGCCTAGCACTTATTCTACTTAGGAATGTAAATTTAACATTAAAAGCCCTGCAGGTCCAGATCAAAGCTCTATCTGGTCTAGCATTCTGTGTCTCATAGTGGCAAACCAAATATTTTTGCAAAGTTCAGAAGCAGGGTAAAAGAGCAATTGTTGTGCCTTGGTCTTCCCTTCAAGAAACTGGTATTCATTTTCATAACTCTCATGACTAATAGCGATTGATAGGTATGTCCTCCATTTAACCCCCTTTTAAAGTTATCTAAGATATTTAGCTGTAGTTGCATCTTGTGCTAGAGAATTCTGTAAGTGAATTACACATTGTCTGAAGTAGTACTTTACTTCTGTTGCCAGAATCTATTGCCTGTTGGTTTCCTTGAGTGATCCTGAGTTTTGATACTACAAAAGGAAGATAATTTCTCTGTCCACACAATTTTATAAACCTCTAGTTCCCAGCCCAACACTGCAGATTGTCTCATTTTCAAATGTAGTATATATTTGCCATGATGTACCTCTGGTCACAAATTTTGGTGCCAAAAGAGGTAGGGGTTACTTCCCAGATAAAATATAATGTGATACAGGCACTGTAGTTCAGTCTAGCACCCGAGTTATGGTTTGTGTTAAAGTAATCCACTTGCAAATCTGCAGTTTTCTTAATTTGCTGGTGTTTGCCAGTGATGTGTCATTGTGCCAAATGCTAAAATAATAACCCAACATCTGGCCTTGATGGCAATTGCCATGAAAGTTAATGTAGCTCATAAAACTGTGATAATATATCAGTAATGAGCAAACCTCTTGAATCTTGCCAAATGCCCTAAAATTACACTTGTGCAACAAAACTAGCAGAAATGGCTATAAATGGGCTCTCAGTCTATATATTCTATTTTTACACAGTTGATTTCCTTGGCAGTGTTTGACTGCCCCTACTGGAAGGATATCTTGCCTCAAATATCACTCCATTGTGTGTGAAGTGGATCAGGTGCAGTACTTATCCTAAATCCTGAAGCCTGGGAGTTTGTCATCTGATAGTTTCTCCTGCTAGGCACAGATAAGGGGAAACGACTCTATGAACCCCCAGTCTCAGAGTTTATGATGATATGGCTAATCCTGGCAAGGATTGGAAAGATCCTTGGCAGAGCCCAGGTTGTCTCCTAAGCTAGCAGTGGTAGCAGATAGGAAATAACTTAAGCAGTACCTTGCTAAATCAGACCTTGCTGAATTTACTTAATACTTAATTCTATCCGGGCTGAATTTAAGGGTTTAACTATGGCATACAAAGCCCTAAACGGCTTTGGACCACAGTATCTTCGGGAGTGCCTTACTCCATATATTCCTGCCTGTTGTTTAAGAGCGTCAACTGGCACCCTTGTACAAGTTCCCTTCCTCCAGGAGGTTAAGGGGGAGGTTGCAGGGAGGAGGGCCTTTTTTGTGGTGGCACCCCAATTACGGAGCACTCTGCTGCCAGAGTTTTGCTGGGCACCTACCTTACTGAGTTTCAGGTACCTGGCAAGAACTTTACTTTTCCAGTGCACCTTTGGCACCATCTAGACTACCCACATCAGTATACAGTTTTTAATTATATCAATGTATGTTTTATATAATGTTGTGAGCCATCCAGGGATTCAGTGTGATTGGACAGCCTAGAAACATCCCAAATAAATAAATAAATAAATAAATATTTCTGTTTAATTATTGTGACTTTGTTTTGTTTATTGTGATTTTATTACTGTTATTTATTGTTTTATATTGTAATAGCTTCCCAGAGAGCATATTGCTAACTGGTGGCTTTTAAACAAACAAACAAACAAACAAACAAACAGAAAGTTGGGGTTTGAGACGTCTTTACAATTGTCACCATGTATTTCGTATAATTTTCCCTAACTTTGCTTAAAATGATGGGGGTTGAGCTGGTATTTAACTTGAAATAGAGAGTGGTATTCTGGACATGCATACTAAATTTTGTTCTGTTATCTCAGTGTTCATGTGTTATTTTCTTATCCAATAACAACAAAACCAGAAAAACAAGCAGGCAAAACCAAATTAAACCAAAAATTTGCTTCCCTTATCTAAAATGTCAGCTTTGTGATTTGCCATATTATTTTAAAGTATTTTCATGCAACTTTTTTGGATGAATTCTTGAGTAAAGCTACCTCTTACCTCTCTTACAGATGGAATGAATGGCTGCAGTATGAGATGCACGTTCTTGATCTTCCACGTGCTGCTCGACTTTGCCTCTCTATTTGCTCCGTTAAAGGCCGGAAAGGTGCAAAGGAGGTAACATTCTTGTCATGAGTATTACAAAAACTTCAGCAGTGGGGAGAACTGCTGAACTATTAATTTAAAACAGCTTTTAAGTTATTCCTCAGTTTTGTACTCTGCCGATCTCTAAACAAACAGTAGCATTTACAACTTACTTTGTGATTCCCTATGTGACTTGAAAGTATGCTTCCCTAATTTTAATTCCTTTAAATCTGATCTTTCAGTGTGGTACTACTAGATGAGACTAAATGGTAATTATTTGCTCTTTTTAAGGAGCACTGTCCATTGGCGTGGGGGAATATTAATATGTTTGATTATACAGACACTCTTGTTTCTGGCAAAATGGCTCTGAATCTGTGGCCTGTACCTCATGGGTTGGAAGACCTCTTAAATCCCATTGGAGTCACTGGATCAAATCCAAATAAGGTAAATAATAATACGATATTCATGTCAGTCTTTAACTTATTTAGAAACATCTTGATGCATCCAATTGGGGGTGTTTCTGAGTTCATCCTACTGGTCTGCTGTTGACCAAGAACACATTGTCACTGTTTCCCAAATATAGCTAAGGTCTAGTACTCACAAACTTTTATGACCTTGAAGAAGCAGCCTGCAAAGTGGGGGAGCGGGGGTCCATGCACGAGATCACTATCTTACATTGTTAAAAATACATTTTATGTTATGTGTAGAGTTGCTTCCTAGAGACATTAGATTTGTTTCATATGTAAAATGGAATCTCTTCATCAGATGGCAGGTATAGAAGGACCAGTTGGAATTAACTAGAATGCAGTTTTGAACTGATGAAAGCCTGACATTAGGAAGCTAAAGTCAGGGCTTTATTACTTGTCAAGTAGCAGGTTTCCTTGATCTTCAAAACTCTTGTTCATTAAAAGTGTGACTGATTTGGCAGATGCTTCCACCATCGATGCTGCAATGCTGCCGCCACCAATTCCCTGGCCCCTTTTTGCAGTGCATAACCCTCTTCCCCAATCACCCACATACCACTCCAGAGGACGCTGCTTCTAAAAACCTTCCCAGTTCATGGAGGATGCTCAAGTGGTAGCACGCGTGTGGCCTTAGCCTTCAGGTGTCATTGGAAGCACTCCCTGGGGCTAAAAAGGGTGTGTTCTGCTGTCCTGTAACATAACCTGCTGGAGCTTGTTCTGTGTGATGCTTCTTTGACTGAGTGACCCTCTTGAGAGAGGGGGAAAATACAGCTATTTGTGGAACACATTAAAATGAAGTGTAACTTTGACCAAGTCAGAATAGAATCTGTTTTGATCTAGTACATTTAAGATGGATGGAACTACTTCATAGATGTATTAATTCCATCTTTTCACTCCTAGCTTCTGTATCTCACTACTGAAAGTATTACTTTAATCTTGGAACTGCTAATGCAGTGTTTGAATTATCGACTTTCCCTTTTAATCTTATCATAGTTTTCTTTCTATTGAATCATTTAAGATTTTAATGTGTCTGCATTATTTGCCGTACTAGTTTTCAAGATGTAACCACTCTTTATTCACAGTTGATATTATAATTTGCATGAATTAAGTATTCAGTAAACTTGGGTAATCTTTTTAGATTGGCCTCTGGTTTTATGACTGGCAATGCACTAAGTGTGCAATTCTTATGCTTGTTTAGACAGAGAAAATTCCTGCAATTCCTAGCATTTCCTAACTAGCCATGACTGGCTGGAGTAAGGACTTTTTCTGTGTAAATATGGCTAGGATTGTTCTCTAAGAGACTTGGATATTGGACAACAGGAGGGACACGCTTAGAATCTAAAAACAGGTGCCTGGTGCAGTTCAGAAACCTTTTACCACATTCTCTACTGTTTTCTAGCACCATCCTAAGACAATTTAATGTGTGGTAGAAGTACTTTTTCCTATCAGCAAGGAGATAAAAAGGAAGATGTGTGAGCATATGAAACTGCAGCATACCTTAATATCCCATTAGTAGGAAGCCGCAGGGAAATCCATGAAAAAAATTTAGGTCAATTGGGCTTATATATAGGAAAAGGATATATAGGAAATGGAGAGAGGCACATGGTACCTGGTTTTCTGTTGATTAGGAAGTAGCTGCCAATATTCATGAATATCTATTTCTTCCTGTGCAAGATGCCTACCTTATATTTATTTATTCATTTCATTTCTAAACTGCTGAAGAAATGAATTTACTGAAGCCTAGTACTCCAACTTAGAGAGTCACCTCAAATGGATATCATGCTTGATGGTATCAAAAGCTACTGAGAGATCAAGGAGAAGCAATGGGGTCGTCTCCCAACAGAGGTCATGATACAGGACAACCAGGGCTATTTCCATGGCAAAACCTGTCCTAAACTCCAATTCAAATAGATGCAGATAATCAGTCTCATCCAAGAGCATCTGGAGCTGGTCAGCAACTGCCAGCTCAAGGACCTTCCCAGGAAAGGAACATTTCCTACTGGCATAAAGTTATTCAGTTCTTCTGGGACCAGAGTTGATGTTTTTCAAGCACTTTGTCTTGAAATTGGCTTGCAAACATATCCACAGCATTCTTGGGGCCAACATGTCGTAAGCTAGAGAACCCTGAAATGTTCAACTGATCACATAGAGAAAATAGAGGCAAGGAGAAAGTATTTCTTTGCTGCCTTCATTGTCTGTAATGTACTAGCCCATTGGCACATACCAATGTTTGATTGTATCCCTCAGGAGTTTCCTCCATCTACTACCAAGCAATCTCTTGATTTGCTTCAGTGCTCTCAGCTCTGGGTTGTACTGCGGAGCTGTGTAAACTCTGCTTCAGAGAAGGTGCTCAGGAGCAATTGTGTCACCTGCCCAGGTCATTTCAATATTCTGCAGGTCAACCGGTTTTTTGGCAGAGGAGCCAGCCATATCAGCTGGAAAATCCCCCAGAGCCATCTGGATCCATTAGCTTCCCAGAGCAAACAAGTCCCCTACTCTAACGGAGGGGGAAAGCTGCTCTAAATATAAGTCATCTTAGGAAGTGCTCTGACCTTGACAAGAAGACCAGTTCAAATTTCTCCACCTCCAGATCACCATCTCCAGGGTCAGTTGAAAAAAACAAGCACAAAATGCACCCTGTTCTCTTTGTTGTGCTGATGACATGTTAGGGCAATTCCATGATTGTTCTAAGTCCTGAGGTGACCCAGATGAAGCACATTTGTCCCCCTGATCCACAAGTCTGGGAAATCTCAACAATACACCCAAGGCCTCATCTGTCCGCTCAGGTAGGGACATTGCAGAGCAGTGGGGCGGGCAATACCTAAGCAAATCCCCAGTCTGTCCTTTCACTCGGCACAAGGTGTAACCACTCCAGACTAGTTAGTTGTCAGCTGGACAGGGAGCCTGGAGAAGGGGAGGGAATCCCCTCAGACCACAGCAAACCCCACCACCCTGGTGTTCAGCCAAGCATCCCAGTAACAGAGCTGGGAGAAACTAACTGCCTTGACCAGGTTCTTGGTTATACATGCCAGATCAGCTGTCTCCTCCACTATTAGATAATGGATGCGGGAGAACTTACTCTGAACCAGTTTGGCATGTAAAAGCAGCATTCAGAAATTTAAGGGCAGGCTGATGGTGCAACCACAAAAATATGAGTGTGGGGAGGCTGGACTATGGTGCAGCCATTAACCCTCTGAACCATGTTTCTTTGATCTGACTAGCCTTCCTCCCAATGCCATTCTTCTCTCTAGCATCTACCACTTATTGGGACTCCCACAGGCCCCTCGCTCAGCCCCGTATCCTCTCTACCAGGCACGTGATCAGGTCTTAAAAGAGACAACCCCCAGCACATATGTGGAAAGCACAAGCCCCAGCTGACCTGATGTTATAGAGGTGGCCCTTGCCCTTGCCTTGCACACTGAAGTCCCTCCAGCTGCTGGTGCTGCCTCTTCAGTGGCAGGACTGTTCCGAGCAGCCCAACTTTTTGTAAACCAGCCCAAGAGGCTGGTTCGAACTCTGGCCAGTTGGCAGAGAGTCTGTTGGAGAAAGTGCTGTCCTGCATTTCATCCTGCATGGAGACCGCATTGTCTGGCCCTGTCAACAGGAGTCATCAGTAGCAAACAGAAAGCAGGATGGTCGTGTTCACAGTCATATTCTACCTGCCTTTGTAGTCCCTATCTGTGGGTGTCTGTTTTAAACCATAATAATACATAGAATTATACCTTCTTTCTCCTTAGGAAACTCCATGTTTGGAGCTGGAATTTGATTGCTTTAGCAGTCCTGTGAAATTTCCTGACATGTCAGTAATTGAAGAGTATGCCAACCGGACTACGCCTAGAGATCAGGGATTTAACTACAGTCACGCAGGGCTGGTAAGGGGTTCAGTTCAAACCTCAGCTCAGTCTTGAATGTAACCGGAGGCCATAGGCAAGGAAACAGCCTCCCCCTACAATATAAAGACAATCGTTTACCCATTGCATAGGGTTGTTGGGATTACGGAGATGATGTGAAGTGCTTAATGTTGTTATACAATGCTTAATAGTACTGGGAATGTGAATTCAGTGCTGGAGTTTCAGAGCACAGGAATGTTGAAGGGTGCTGGAAGCAATGCCAGGGGCTTTTCTCGGTGTTTAGAGGGCGCTGAAGCCCTTGGGAATGACTTTGCCCACCGAATGGCACAGCAAACTTCTGCCAGAAAAACACAAATAGAGTATAAGATAGGCAAGAGCTTTCAAATTAACACCTAAGTGTAGGTTAATTTTGAGTTGCTTAAACCACAGTTACATTGTGTCTGGCTTCACATGGCATGGACCAGCACCGACTCGGGTTAATTAGAAGGTGATACTCAGGATAGCTGAGAGAGACAACCCTGATAAATGAGGGTTAATTAACCCACAGTTTGCTGCCATTGTGTGCAAAGTGAGTTTCTGCCTGAATTTGCTCATTCTATCAGCAAATTCTCCCTAATGCCTAGTTGAAATATCCATTCTTACAATGTGAAGTCATTTGGTTTAGGTCCTACCCTCTAGAGCAGCAGGCAACAAACTTGCTTCATCAGTGTGACAGCCCTTCAAGAGAGCTTCAAGAGAGGTTTGAAGAGAGCTATTGAACCTCTTAATCTGCAGGCTTTTCACAGAGGATTTATTTCCAGGACCCTCGCTTTTGCTGCCAAATTCTGGATGCTTCCCATGTTAAAGTAAACCATTTTGATTAAAATAAAAACAAGTCCACATAGCATTTCAGCATTTGAAAACTGGTAGATTCATTAAAAAAAACTTGCCAAACAAACCATAGGTCACAAACTGGCATCGCGAGAGTGCTGTAGTGGTTCTGAGTGGATGGTTTAGTTTGGAACTATGATGAGTAACCTGGTCTGAAATGAAATAGGGAGCTCCTTTAGAGGGCTTGGAGAGGTCTTTTTGAAAATCTCCAAGCTACATGCACATCCTTGGCACCACAACATCTTGCAAGCAGTGCCTGTGCATAAATTGTCCTTTCAGCAGGATCTGGATACAAAGTAGGAGTCACTCGCTTTGCTACTATCTAGTGAAGAATGAAGATTTGAGTAGCACACCCATTGTATGAGTGATGTAGTTTGCTTGCTTATTTTACAGAGTAATAGACTAACTAGAGATAATGAATTAAGAGAGAGTGACAGAGAGCAGCTCCGTGCAATCTGCACTCGTGATCCCCTGTCTGAAATAACTGAGCAAGAAAAGGACTTCCTTTGGAGCCACAGGTGAGCAACTAGAGCTTCTAGCTGCGGCACTGCCCATGGTGCCATTAGCTCAAAGGGAGAGCTGTGAAAAATAGGTCAGGTAGTCATTGACACAAGTGCAACCTGTGTCCCAGAATTTCCTGGTTTGCATTTTGGGAGCTTATTCCATCTGCTAAGCAGACGAACTGCGATGTCTCCTAAGGATATCAGTACATTTCTGGGTGCAGTTCAAGTTGCTGGTATCAGCCCTAAATGATTAGAGACCAAGCTCTTTGATGAACCATCTCTTCTCATGTGACTTTGCACATCCAAAATAAGTTCATACTGCCCTTTCACATAGACCAAGTCCTTTTTTGGTAAAGTTTACTGCAAACTGTAAGAGAGCCTTTCTGTGGGAGTGCCCAATATGTGGAACTTCTTCCCCAAGAACTTAGGAGAATTATGTTCAGCCTGTACAGTTATTCTTCAAAGATCTCTTCAGAGTTTTAACTCTGTTGCACTTATTTGTTACTTTCATCCTTTTGCTTAGCATTGTGTTAACTTCTTTATTTTAATTATGTGGTTTGTTGTTTTTATCTTTGTTCTTTGGATTTTATCAACTTCTTTGAGCACCTTTGTTGAAAAGGAAAAATGGGGTCTAAATGCTAGTATAAAGAAATGGAAATAGATGTTTTTATTTGCCAACCAACATGCTAAATTAGGAATATGTGAGGAATCCTGGGATGGGTGTGTGTAGAATCCACTGGATTCCCTGAACTCTAGTCCGTTTTGCAGTGGCTCAAAGTCCAAGTCCCTGACGATTTGCAGGGTGCTCTCCAGGAATCAAGGCCCTCTCACACATCAAGTGCAGTCAGCATTTCAGAAACTGCAGTTGGCACTAAAGAAGGCCAGTTGTTAGGGAGTCACCAGTACAGCAGCCCCCGAGACTGCTGCACAAGCAGCGTCCCTCTTCTATGCCAGCTGCAGGTGCTTTTTGGGCTGTTGCAGCTGACCCAAAAGAAGGTTGCCAGTAGTGCAAGCAAGGGACCATGAGCATTCATGGACTTCCTCTTGGCTTGGCTCCTTTCGAAAGACCAGGGCAAGCACAGGAAGAAGCCCAGAAATGCTTGGAGGGACAGATTCCAATGAGCTTTGTCCCAACCCTTTGCTAAATGGATGTCTGAAAATAACCTTTCAAATAAAAATCCTTTCTTCTATGCAGGCAGCGCTGTCGAAATATACCAGAAATCCTACCTAAGCTGCTATTAGCTGTGAAATGGAACTCTAGAGATGAAGTTGCCCAGGTAGTGACTCCACTGTTGAACAGATGTTTAAATAATGGTGTGCGTTTTATTCCTCAATTTTTGCAACATGAAAAAACATGCTCAACATAATAACTTTTGTGAATGCTTGACAATGTGAGATAATATGGCATTATAGTTTTATTTCGCTTATTTAATAGAACATTTATAATATGGTAACTAGTAAGTTCCCTTTAGAAATTCAAAACGACACGGCAGTACTGATGCAATTTCTGCTTAATGTAATTATGGCCCATCATTAAGGTTTGGAAAAGCCACAGGTTAGTAGGCTTTGAAAAGGAGAGTGAACAAGGTAGGTTTAGTGGTAGCTATTGGCCATCATAGTCAGATGAAGCCTCTACATGTAGAGGAAATATGCTTCCGGACACCAGCTCCTTGAGGCCAAAAGGGTGAGACTGTCATCCCTGCCTGTGCACATCTAGAAGTATGTGTTCTCCCACTGTTAAAACTAGAGTACTGGATTAGGCATAATTTGGACCGTTTCAGCAAATCCAGTCCTGCGTTCTGATGACTGAAATAGATCCGTTGTTCTGTCCTGCACAGATGTACTGTTTGATAAAAGAATGGCCTTACATCAAGCACGAACAGGCAATGGAGCTTTTAGACTGCAACTATCCAGATCCAATGGTGCGAGCATTTGCAATTAGGTGTTTGGAAGAAGACTTGACAGATGACCAACTGTCCCAGTATTTGATTCAGCTGGTACAGGTACTGTGTTCTGTTTTAATCAACTGTGCCTATGTCTCATACGCTTGCATAGTAAAAGCTATATATTTAAACCAACTGTGCTAAGAAAAAAAGGAAGATCTGGGCAGGAGGTCCTTCTAAAGGAACCAACCCCGAAGGAGGCCAAGGGGACAGTAAATAGAAGAAAGGTGTTCTCGGTGGCCTTCAATTATGAAACAGGCTCCCCAAAGAAATTTGCCTGGTGCTAACCTTTGTCTCATTTCAGCACCACACGAAAACATTTCTTTTCTTGGAATACTTTTAAGAACTGATTTGAAATTTGTTATTTATTCTGATACCTGTTGTCCTGCTTATCTGGTATAATTATGATATTTTATTGTTAACTTTTATTATGATTTCTATATAACTGGTTTTATTGTTGTGTTTTTAGTATTTTATTGTGAGCTGTGTAGAGAATCTTTTTGGATTAATAGGCGGCATACAACTTTAAAGATAGATAGATAGATAGATAGATAGATAGATAGATAGATAGATATTTTAGAAGATGGTGACCAGAGTATCCCTGAAAGGTTAAAGCTGATCACCTTTTCTGCAGTGCTTGCCTGTATGATATAGAAAGAGATTCGCTACACTACATTTCACTACTTACCTCAAAAGTGATATCACAAACTTGAAATGAGCAAAGGTTAATAAAGTTTGGCCAATGTTCACAAAAATTACTACTTGAGTTTCAAAACAGATTTAACTCTTAATCACACATCCTTAAAAGTAGTGCTATAAAAACCATTCTGGGTCTAGAAAATTAAGGATAAGAGAATGAAAACAAAAAAAAATTCTATAAAGAAGAAATTCTTCCTCCTTTCATTGCATTAAAAAGTTCGAAAAATTGATCACATTGATTTCTGTAGCCCCAGTCAATGCATGTTTATTGGAAATAAGTCATAACATACTTTGTCAGACTTCCCTCGTCCTGGGAACAAGCATAAATAAATAGGATGGCATGAACTTAGAAATGAGCGCACAACTCATAAAATTCACTCTGAAACCTGCATTGGAGCAGGGAATTTGGAAATACACTTCATTCCACAAGTGTTTATTCTGTCTCATCTCCTAGGAGATAAAAATCTGAAAGTAAAAAGAATAAAATGCCAATCTTTATGATTCCAGATAGGAATCAGGAAGCAGAAAATATAGCAGAAAATAAACAGAAGAAATTGTGAACCCACAGTATAATACTAGCACAGACAATTAAGCTAACTGAGTAAAGGACAAGTAATGTACATAACCATAAATATAAGGGGCACTGTGAAATAAAGTAGAAAATTTCAGGTGCAAACATATCAATGCACATGATGCTTCGGTACTGAATGCTTATTTAATTTCATGGCTACAAATTGCTTTGCTTTCTAAAGAGTGAGACATTTCTAAAGGTTAACATGCAAAGGGATCAGCCTAAATCAGCCTGGTCCCCTGGGGGCAGTATATACATGTCCCAGCTGAACAGGTAAACGGTAATTTACATGCCTGTCCTGAAGAATGGCAAACTCCTGATATTCGACATTTGTCATGGAAGTATAGCTAAATGCCAATTAGTTTGCTGCTCTTGTTGAATCTAGGTTCTGAAATATGAGCAGTACTTGGATAATCAGTTGGTGAGATTTTTACTCAAGAAGGCACTGACCAATCAGAGGATAGGACACTTCTTCTTTTGGCATCTGAAGTAAGTTTGGATTTCCATTTTAAATTGCATGAAATCTTAGCTTATTCATGTTATGTCTAAGCAGCTATGTGTTACTTATTTTATTTTTAAACACATTTTCAGCAGTTGAAAGTGCCGGGTTCACACGCTGGCATTTTATCTCAGTGTTCAGAAAGATAGCTTTTTGACTGTGTTTTGGACTTGAATCGTTTTGATATTTCAGTGACCAAGGCAAAAGTTTTAGTGCAGAGTAAATTTAAATTGTTGTACTATAGATAATGGAATATTTATAATTAGGTGGGATTACTTAGAGTTTTTAGAGATGCATGATTATCATGCTAAGATGAAGAGTCTACTAAGAAGTAGATAAGTTATATTAAAATCAGATTGCCACCTATCCCAAAGCTGAGTTTGTTGACTTCACTTAGACTCCTGTAGAGTTGTCTCTCTTTCTGTTGGTAGAGTTTCCTTTAACAGTCTGTTAGAATGAGTGAACCAGGATAGCTGATTTTTTCTTTGTGAGTGTTTTAATAACAATTATTTATATACTGTTTCATCTTTTAGATCTGAAATGCACAATAAAAATGTTAGCCAGAGATTTGGTCTGCTTTTGGAGTCCTATTGTCGAGCATGTGGGATGTACCTAAAACATCTGAGCAGGCAAGTGGAAGCTATGGAAAAACTGATTAACCTCACAGACATCCTTAAGCAGGAGAAAAAAGATGAAACACAAAAGGTAAATTTATGTCCTAGGTAATCCATAGAAGAAATAAGCAAACAACATTTTGAGAACTTGATGCACTTTTCAATGCTTTTAATTGGAATACTCTGTCTAAAAGAATTTAGAAAAATATGGCTTTTTATAGTAAAAATTGAAACTACAACTCCTAATTACTATTACATTTATAATCCTGCCTTTTTTCCTCTTTTGAGGAATCCAGGCAGCTAGTCACTAACACTGGTTTCTTTGGCATGTGACTGATGGGATTTATAAATACATGGGTACTGTTCTTCATCAGGTACAGATGAAGTTCCTCGTGGAGCAGATGAGGAGGCCAGACTTCATGGATGCATTGCAGGGCTTCATATCTCCTCTCAATCCTGCTCATCAGCTTGGAACCCTTAGGTATCATCATCTTTCATCTTTCTCAGAATGTATTACATTAAAAATAGGAAAATGCTTTAAATAGTCTGGACAGTAGATTTCTTGCCCTGGAAACAAGTAAGCCAGTGACTTCAGGTCCAGATATCCCAAATAAGTTAGCAGTCACCATTGCTTGATGAGCACTGTTCTATGAATGTGTCTTCTGACTTAAATTAGGTCACAGTGGTGCATTTTTTACTTGAATTTGTATTTGAATCCTATTTAGAGAATGCCCTTTCAAAATGAAATGTGGTGCCATGCCAGTCTGTCTGAGACAGCTTTCCCTAACCTGGACCTCTCCAGATGTGCTAGACTACAACTCCCAGGATTCCTAACAAGCTGTGTATCAGAGAAAACTGATCTAAGGGAGCTGCAGAAATATACAACAGTTATCCATGTCTTGCCTATAATTTGCTTACTGCATTATGTTGTGCTCATGAAGTGCCTGGAAGCGTCAGTTGGTGCTAACTGCAGTAGCTAGACTCCTAACTGGTGCAAGGTATTGGGGCCATGTTACACCTGTCCCGAAAGACCTGTTACTAGTTGCCAGTTGCTTTCTGGACTCAATTCAAGGTGGTTGCCTTAATCTTTAAAACCCAAAACACTTTAGGATCGGTCTAAGGGATTGCTTGTCTCACTATGAATCTATCCAGTTGCTAAGATTTGCAGGAGAGGTCTTTTCTGAGGACAGCATTATCCAAAGAATCTCCTGTCTCCAGCACACAAAAAGGGCTTTGTCCTGTATTGTCTCTAAACTATGGAATTGACTTCTTCAAAAATTACAGGTGACCTCCATTCTCTTGATGTTTAGAAAGGGTTTTAAAGATAGATCTTTGCAATTTAGTCCTTTAAAATGTATAATTTTTCACATTTTACTGTATATATTTTGAATTTTTGTATGCTCTCTTGTTGGGTTTTTGGCAAACAAACTGCATCAGTTTAGAGATGTACTTGTTCAAACAGCAATCTCATCCTTTCAATAGGCTTGAGGAGTGCAGGATTATGTCATCAGCTAAAAGGCCATTATGGCTTAATTGGGAAAACCCTGATATTATGTCTGAGCTGCTGTTCCAGAACAATGAGATCATCTTTAAAAATGGGGATGGTAAGGAAGACTATTTTGTTGTAACTGTGCATGTCTTATTCTTTCTTAAACAACTCTGTTTAAATCATACCTGACCATGACCGCACCTATGGAATGCACTCCCCAGAGAGGTTCGCCTGGCACCGTCGTTATTTGTTTTTCGGAGCCAGGCCAAGACCTTTTTATTTAAAAGTTATTTTAATTGTTAATTGACTTTTTATGGGGTTTTATATTGTACCGCGATGTCTCCAAAAATTTTTAAGGTTAATTGTGTGCATTGTGTTTGTTTTGTAAGCCGCCCCGAGGCTCTTTGCGAATGGGGCGGCATAGAAATGTTTTAAATAAATAAATAAAATGAAAAGATCCGTTGGGCTAAATGGATAAACATAGAAAAACCCAAGTTTTTATAAAACTGTTAAAACTGTATCTGGTTCAAAACACCTGTATTCTTTTGCCTGCATGCAGATTTGCGCCAGGATATGCTCACACTTCAAATAATTCGAATTATGGAGAACATCTGGCAAATTCAAGGCCTTGATCTTAGGCAAGTACTCATAAATTGTGCTAATGTTCCAACTCTGTCTTTTTCTTTATCACTTCTTAATAAAAACTATGTAGATCAGGAGTTTGAAGGAAAATTGAATTGTTTAATACTAGATTGCTCTTCTACAAATATTGTAGATTTTCTTCTGTATTTTTTCATTCAAGTACATTTCAAATTAACTTCTCTAATTCTAGTTACTGAAAACATAAGAACTTCAAAACCAAGTATCATTATAAATTAATGTTCTTGGATGTTTCTAGCATACCCTTGGGCTGGACCCAAAGAAGTAGCATAAGGATTCTCATTGGCATATTTTACATTGAAGAATGGGCTTTATACCTTACCGCAGTGTTTAAATTACTGCTCTTTAAGGAACCCAAGTCCAGTTCTGCCTTTGGTACCTGAACCTAGTTGTACAATTCCTGGAACTATTTTTTTCTGTAGTCCTGAACTTGGAAGCTGTATATCAAAACAATGAGTTTTGAGCAGTTTTCCAGCAGGAAGGCAAAGCTATTATACAGAATGATTTTTTTCCAGTAGCCGTATTTATGTCTTAAAGCATGCACAGTTCATTTAAAGGCAAAAACCCTTCTATTTTTCTTCTAGGATGTTGCCTTATGGCTGTTTATCTATCGGTGACTGTGTGGGGCTCATTGAGGTGGTGAGAAATTCACACACAATCATGCAGATCCAGTGCAAAGGTGGCCTTAAAGGTGCGCTGCAGTTCAACAGCCATACATTACATCAGTGGCTCAAAGACAAGAACAAGGGGGAAATGTGAGTTAAATTTTCATCCCCTCCACTTTATATTTTAATTCTCTGATTTCCTTCCTTGACGAAAGTTGGAATTTTATGTTCCTCCTTGTTAAACTGCAATAACTTAATAACTATTTACACATTATGGCCATAATCCAAAGATCTATAACTTATTTGTTCTCAGTAGGGAATGTTCAAATGTTCATTGGAACATCAGGCCCTCAGCACAAACAGCTTTTGGAATCTCTCCAGTTTCTGAACTAACTTGCTTTGCAACATGAGATTACGCTAAGTTCCTTGAATAAATTCTGAGTCCCAGCGGACGACTGGATCTAGTCACTTATTATTCTAGGTTGTAGCTGAAGTGTTCATTTAAAATACTTAGGGTGATGCAGTCTTGTACTTTATGCTAAACCCGCTTATAAATCTCATGGAAGCTAGTTTCCTTTCTTCCATGGAAGTGTGGTCTAGATGTGCGATGTTGAAATGTAGCTGGTACGTGCCCCATGATTTTCCAACTTCCTCAAGTAGCTAGAAGTTCCAAGGGTAGCGACTTCAGTTTCACTGTGAGAAGCAAGCACTGGAGACTCCCAGTAACTCCAGATTGTACTATAAAGTTGAGCATCATGAGGAAGCAGACAGAAATGATGTTCTGTGAAGTAGCACCAACTCCCCTAAAAGCTGCTGTTGGACCCTTCCTTGCTAGCCAGCAGTGAAGCTCAGGCTTCTGCCAACTGCCATGGAAGATGTGGGTTGGATGTATCCAGTGGTTCATATTCACCAGACATTTAGGGTGTAGATAAAAGGTAGAAATGTTACTCTGTACAAAATGTGGTGCCTCAGTTGCTGATACGCTCTAGCTGAGTTTTACATATAACACCTCTTTTAAAACAATTGTAGTTTGAACCTCCTATTCTGCTTCTGGGCACTGTTCAAAGTTTTGACATTACTGTTTAATTCTCTGGAGAATATGAGTCCCAATTGTCTTAGGGGGAAATACCTCCTGTGCAAGGCCCTTGGCATTTAAGATCTGTTAATGAGTTTATGCTGAAAATTCCATTGTATGCAGAGGAGGATAGAAGGGGGACCTTTCCTTCCCATTCTGTCTGTAGAATGCAATTCTTCAAGAGATTAATATGGCTCCATCTTTGTTTCCCTTTCAAAGGCAGGCATTTTCCCCTTTTGTTCTACCACTGGCAGCTGATTTGTAAAATCCTCTCTTTATGTTTGCTGTATAAACTTAGGTGGCATATATTATTTTAACCTGAAAAGCACGTCAGTATATTTTAATCAAAAATTACTCTTAAAATATGTAAAATAAAAATGAACAAAGTATCTTCTTTGTCCAGAAGACTCTTACAAGATAAATGAGCCTCCTTGTGGGTTCAGCTCATTTGTCAGAAGTCCTAATAAAGCATGCAATTATTAAACATGCTTTCCCTGTTTCTAATAGGTATGATCCAGCTATTGATTTGTTTACACGCTCTTGTGCTGGCTATTGCGTAGCAACTTTCATATTGGGAATTGGAGATCGTCATAATAGCAATATCATGGTGAAAGATGATGGGCAGGTAAAAATACTTAAGATGCTTTCAATTTCTACATACACTTTTGTACAACGCAATTATTTTCAGACTTCCTACCTTCAGAAAATACTTTCTGCATCTGTTTGTCAGCTGAGGAACCGTGAAGCATCCACATCAGTACCCCTGTGCATGCTCATACTGGTCACTGGCCACTGTGTCCTAATTGCAACCACCTGTATAAAGTGAGAGCAGTCCTTAGAAGGCATGCAGTACGTATGCAGTCCTCTACATTGCAGTAGGAAATAGTGGAGGGCAAGCTGTGTTAAATACCAAAACAGCCTAGGGTTCCCTGGAACAGTTTGATGGCCGAGGCATCAGTGATTGATGGTATTGCATATGATCAATTGGATTTAAATGTCAGAGTAAATGTGTAAGCAACAGTTTTCTATCCTCTTGTCTTTTTTAATTTAACAACATCTAAAAAATGTATTTCTCTTAAAGCTGTTTCACATTGATTTTGGGCACTTCTTGGATCACAAAAAGAAGAAATTTGGCTACAAACGAGAGCGAGTGCCATTTGTCTTGACACAAGATTTCTTGATAGTAATTAGTAAAGGAGCTCAAGAATGTACTAAAACGAGGGAATTTGAAAGGTGAGCCATGTTGCAATTGAAATGTTAATTTTATGAGCAATTATTACACCATTAATCCAAAATAGAATTTTAATTAGATGCTGGGGATTAGGAAAAGGAAAGAAATGTCCTTTAGATGTGGAAATGGCATTTGGCTTAACACTAAGCTTCCTTGAATGAAGCATTTCTGCATGTAAATATCAAAAAGTAATGGCAAGGATGGCTCATGATTTTCAGTTATAGTAAGTTTTTAGGGCCTAATTTTGTGACAACACCTTGCTTCTGAGGTGGTTATAAAGAACTTCTAGAAACCATGGTCAGACAAAACACCCATAAACAGTCTGATGCATGTGCACATGTGGACTTTTGACCCCCTCCCCCTCCACACACACACACACACAGAATAGCTCTTCCCTTAATTGGAAAGCAGTAGAGAGCAAGCATTTAATAAGCCATGATTGTGTGTTGCTGGAAGGACAGATTGGCGTGTTAAGCCTGCCTCTTTTCTCCCACACGGATATTGCGCCTTCAGGTTTACGTAATCTAAGCCCCAACTTACGAAGCTCTGGATGAATCACACTTTCAAAATTTCAGAAGACTTATTTTAGTCTTAATACTGAAGTCTAATAAGATGTATTTTTAACCCTGCCATCACCCCACATCTCAGATCAGTATATGCAACTTATCCTTTGCATCTCAAAAGTGGTGAAACTAGAAGGTGATTTACTTTGCTGCAAGTCCTTGACATGGTGCCTGACCAAAGCTATTGAAGGTGTGTCTTGGAACAAGGAGCTTGCAGCTGGTAAAACATGGAGACAGGTTAAACCACAGGAAGCAGTAGTTAACTCATTGATGCAGTCAGCTCATGGCTCCTTAAAGTTGTCTTGACCGATGTGCACAATATGTATCCTTCAAACCCATTGTCAACAAGTAGCCTTTCTGGAGGCATAGTTTAAGAAGTCAGGCCCCTTGAATATTATTTGCCACTCCTTTGTGGCCCCAGACTAGTATTGGGAGTCCCCCTGCCAGAATCAAAACACCTTAAAGAGTTTGTATGTTTGTCCGTGGAGACTCTTACAGTATCAGGATTTCCCACATTTCTTTTTTTGAGAGGTATTTTTTATATAACTGGCAATGTTGGTTTTCAATGTACAGAATTGTACAAAATGTTTTCCCCCCGTTTGGGAATTGCTTCCCTGAATGGTATGTAACAAAAAATGTTGATAGCACAATGGCCTTTTCCATTAGTATTTCAGCTACTAATCTTTCTGTTCAATTGATCCTCAAAAGCTTTGTTTTAGTAGTTCTGGTCGGACCTGGTTTGAAAAATTATTCTTCTTTTCTTTCAAGGTTCCAAGAAATGTGTTACAAGGCTTACCTAGCAATTCGACAGCATGCCAATCTTTTCATAAACCTCTTCTCCATGATGCTTGGTTCTGGGATGCCAGAGCTACAGTCCTTTGATGACATTGCATATATCCGCAAGACTCTTGCACTGGACAAAACTGAGCAGGAAGCACTTGAGTATTTCATGAAACAGATGAATGATGCGCATCATGGGGGATGGACAACAAAAATGGACTGGATCTTCCACACAATCAAGCAGCATGCCTTGAACTGAGAGAAAAGTGAAGATGGTGAAAAACTGATAGCCCATTTGTGGGTGTTCAACTGCACTGTTGACTGTCAGCAGTAAGGAATTTGTGGCATCATAATTGCACAAACCAAAAACAGCATTTGAACTTGCAGCAAGATAAAACACTATTTAAATACATAAAACAGGGTTTTGGAACACTACAAACTGCATTTCAAAATTAATTTTCCTATCTGTACAGTCATGTTATGCCTTAAGTCCAGAAGCATAAACTTTGGAGGTTTGTTTATCTTAGTTTGTTTAATTAGGAAATCTGTGCCAGCATTGAACTCAGCCTTTCACACAGTCCAGTTGGCCTGGTGAAAACTGGGTGCATGTGAATAGCAAAAGATTGAGCAGGAGGACAGCTTAGCAATATTGTTAATTGCCCCTGGGAGGTTTTCTCTCGGATGAACTTGATGCAGTAGGTTATAGGAGAAGGTGCCTTTATAACATCAGATAATTGATGGAAATATGAATAGCAATCTTTCTCAATTTTTGACTGACCATCAAGTTCAAACAAGTCATTAGGAATATAGCTTAGGAATCTGCTGGACAGTATTAGTAGGGTTAAAATGTACCTCCCCCACACCTCAAAAGTCTGGCTAATGGGGAGGATTGGGTTTAGTGCAGCACTATGTTTTTCTAACCGAAACCTCAAAGCAATTTTTCATGCATGCTTTCCAGAGCCTAGAAGGTGAGTTATTAGAATTAAAGATTATTTTTATAAAGGTTATTTATATAACAGAAACTATTAATATATAATATTTCTTCGCATTGATTTGTCCAATTTTCTGTCATGTTAATACTGCAGACCACTTCTCTGTTTAACAGCCTGTTTGTGTAAGCCACTAGGTTGATGTAGTGACCTGTAGGGTTAGGTTTAAAGGTCCCTGTACAGTTTAGGGTATGGCTTGTCTGTGTGTGCTGAGACCTGACTCTAGAGCCAATGCAGATACAGGTGCAGCTGCCCCAAAGGTCCTGTGTGGCACAGTGTCCCTACATCAAGAGGCTTGCTTGGCTCTGACAGGGATCAATCAACTTCCAAGGTCAAGTTGGGCAGAGCTGTATAAATGAGCCCCGCTTTCATGTTTAGGACACTTAACTGTAGCAGCGTGAACTTCTGCTCCTGCAGTGGTCCTCTAGGATTAAGCTGCTGTCCGCAGTCCTAATTAATTTGCTCAAAAGGGGGTTGAACTGAAATCAGTGCGATGTGCTTCCACATAAACATGCTTTATGATCAGCACATCCAACTGCATAATCTATAACAAGGGTTCTCAAACTCTTGTTGATAGTGAGCTTAACTCAAACAGCAAACACTAACTGAACTTCACATGCTAAGAAAAAGCAAAGATGGACTTGGCAGGCAGATAAAGGGAAACACAAAGACTTTTGACTGACTTTCTGTTCTTCCAGTGAGGAACACCAGGAAGTTACAGCTTTCTTGTAAAACAAAGGGAGCTCTTTGATTGGGTTTCAGTACTGCTGAATAACACGAAGTTGGGATTGGAAAATGAGAAGGGGAGTGCCTGAGTCCTCCACTTCCTGACCCACTGGTGGCACATACAAACCACAGCAGTTGTTGCTGGAGCTTGTGCTTCCATTGGTAACTGCTTGTATCTCCATAGGATGATTTACCTGTGGAGCTATAAGTGTTATGTTAAATTGTAATAAATATTTCCATTTCCAAAAGTGTATTATAGTGGAATGATGACCTTTAGGACTTCCTCTAGAAGAATCTCAGGCAATTTTCCCTAAATGACATTCTGGGTGTCCTGTTCATCTTTGACTGCTACCCACTTCTGTTTTGGTCCTCTTTATTGGAGTGTTACAGAGCAATAGCTTAGTAACAGTAACCAATGAATAAGAAGGTATGTTTTCAGTATGATCACTAAATAGTCCTTTGCACTGCAAAATGCACAATAATTCCTAGCATGCAGAGCTAACCAATCAATATTTTATAGCTCTGTGTGTGTGTGTGTGCGTGTGCGCGTGTGCGTGTCCACATGCACACACACACACGTATCCATGTATCTTTATCCTCAACATGTTACTGGCACGTAGCAGAACTGCTAGTGGAACTTAGTCCAAAACAAAGCTTTTATTACACCCTATTTTTTTGAGCCCAGGATAGATAAGATGCCATTTCTTCCACATTAATGTTGGCTTACTTGGCTCAGTGGATTTGAAAATGTTCCAGGAATCTGGATGATTGAGTGCACTTGCTTTTTTTTTCTGTCCCTCAAATCCTAGGTATTACTGTTGAGTGCAATACCAATTTGAATATAATTTGTTGACACTAGGTATTAGAGGGTAACACTATAAATAAATTTGTATAGACTGTAAATGGGTGAGAGGCTGCATTTCTTGAGCAGGCTACATTTTGAGTATACAGTCTGTTATTGCATAATTTAAATTTATTTTCATGGATACAAAATAGCTGTTGCATAGGTAAAATGACTTAACCTCAAACAGCTGAGGTGAAAATAACCAAATACTAGTACCGGTGTAATTACTGGCATATGGATTTGTAGAGTGGAACCCTAAGGCAAAAGTGGTAAAAATACTTCTTTGGTCATTTTGGAGCAGTTCTTTGGCATTTAGATCCCTTTCTTGAGATTTATATATCTTTGCTCTGCATTTGTGGCCTGAACCCAAAGAATGGGTGGCACAGGCTCTATGCCTTTCATTTGCATTTCCCAAAAATCATTCTTGTATGCTGCATGGTGAAGCAAGTTTAAAACTAAGCAGATGTTGAAAAGTGATTTTTAATATGCATTGTCAAAGTTAAGGTGGAAAGTGAAGTTCTTCCTATGCATGCTGGCTATAAGGCTGCCATTAGCAGACTTGTGCAAGCTCTAAGATGCTGTTCACTACTAAAATGAGATACCTTAAAAGGATCTTGCTGTTATTAGCCATGGTAAAACTAATGTCCGGACACATTTTTATATGAATCTGTTTTATGCCAAGTCAGATCATTAGTTCATCTACCTCTATATTGTCTATACAGGGACCCAGCCCTATTTGGATACTCCAGGGATTGTCCAGTACCTTTGACATACAACTTAGGTGCTCTGTCACTGACCTATACCCCTTCCTGATTAGAACCCATCTTGAACTAATCCTGAAATTCTAATTCTTTTACCACTGAAATTACCAGTGGCTTTAGGAAGTAATACTTAAGTTGTTCCAGTTCTCCCATGCTTAAAATGTCAGTGCGAAATCTTGAATGGCCTGTGATCTCCTTTCTGACCAGTGTGCATTCTGTTAGGAAGGGCAGATGAAGAAAAGGTTCCACATTTCAAAGCTATGAAATTTTAAACTGAAAAAGTGCATAATGTCTGCTGAAGACTGAAAACTATTTCAAGACTTGTCAGAAATGACAACTATGTAGTTCTTTGATCTGAGGTGATGGGAAACACAAGTGCTTAGAATGAGTATATGGCAAAGTGCTGCTCAGTTGTTAAAACTTAAGATCCCATTGACATTTCTGAGATAGTTCCCAGGTATGCAGACAGATTTAGTGGCACAGATATTCAAGATCACTGACTCAGTAAGCAGAAAGACAAATACGTGTGCTTTAAATCCCTTGTCAACAAGTAGCCTTTCTGGAGGCCTATTCCAAGAAGTGAGGGTCCTTGAATGTTGTTTGTCACTCCTTCACAGCCCCAAACTAGTATTGGGAATCCCATTACCAGATCCCCCCTTCCATTAACATGACTTGCCAGCAAGTTCTGTAGCCATGGATATCAATGTTGACACATCTCAGCTCTGGAATGTCAACTAGACAGACAGTTGGTATATAAAGCTCAAGTACTTTCTGGTAAATTGGTGAAAATTGGATAAAAATGCATCATTTGGGAAAGGATCATGTTAGGCTTATTTTTAATGTGAAATTCTTTATAGTATGAAAACTTTACTGTTGCTAATGCTTGCTTTTTATACCTTAGGATATGCACTTTCAGTTTCTGAGCGCTCTATTTTCTCCTGTTTAAAGACTATGCAGGGTGCAGACCTGGGTGGGACTCCTCCAAGGGTAAAAAAACAAGGAATAAAACTACTGTTTTGATAAAAATCAATGTAAGAAACTTTAAAGGATAGAATCATAAGAGGTTATTGTTCTGCTTTTAATGTCTTTTCAAATTTCCCAGTGCTAGATTTACATTCAAAAGATAAAGAATCACACGGTAAAGAAAAATCAGAAATTGTTTGTTCTCTCCTGTTGAAAAATTACTGAATTGGACCAGCCAATTTTAATACATGGCAAGTCCAAATCAAGTAAAACACTACTTCAGATTGCCCCTATTAGGTATGATCCTCATTTCTGCTTCGCTTATTTCACAAATGAGTGGATGGAAACGGGAAGCAAATGTTAGAAAACAGGCAATGATGTTAAATTTACTAAAATAATCTGAATCTTGCCATTGTTCAACAACAATTTTTTGGAAAACTATAGGAGCACATCCATGGCTCATCATACCACAAGACATACTTGACCACTTGGTCAAGGCAGATGGCAAGGAGGCTGCTCACCAGCATAGATCAACTCTCAATTTATATGTTTAAATTCCAAGGCAGTTATAACTACACTCAGTATAAAAAAAAACAATCTGTGAAAAGAAAATTACTAATACAATCTTAAAAGGACCAGGATATTTGAAGGACCAGTGCCTCCTACTTGAATTTCTCTGTTGATTTCAGCCATCTTCAGAGATCCTACTCTGCATTCCTGCCAAGAGGGAGACAGTTAAAAGGGATGTGGAGCAGAGTCTTTTTGATGGAGGCACCCCGACTTTAGAATTCACTCCTGGGAGGTTGTATAATCCCTTCTCTGATGTCTTTTAGGCACAGTCAGAACAGCTATTTTGCCAAGCTTTTAGTGTAGCTTAATCTTTACTTTTGTGGATTGTTCTGTTGTTTTACCCTGGCTTGTTTTTAATGCTCCCAGCTTTTTAAAATTTGATTATATAACTTTCATTGTGGTAAGTGTACAAATGTTTTTATGAAGAGCAAACAATAGCAAAAATTACCTTGGCTGTCTTTTGAAATCTGAAAAAGGTATTTCAAGAAGGCAAATGACCTCTGGAGCAGGACTGTTTTGCCCGTTTTCACGTATACAAAGCATTATGAGGTACATTTCTTGTGGGGCAGGGATTCCATAACTAGGTTTGAATTCCACTGCCTAAACACCCTACATCTTGTGGCCACCTGATGAAGCACTCCATGGTAGGGAAACTCGCAGAATGAATTCCTTGAATGAACCTAATGAATGGGGAGGTAAGCAGGCAAATGTATACCTTCAGGTAACAATGTAGCACAACTTTTAGGGTTTTAAATATGCAATTCCTGCAAGTTTGGACAGAAAATGGTTCTTTTCTCTGCCTAAAGGTACATAGGATTATGCCTTTAAAAGATTTAAAGCCAGGACCTTGAACTGTAACTGGAAACCAACTAGTAGGCAGTGCAGGTCTTCTAATAGGCATCCACATTAGTTCAGAGGGGCATTGGCGAACTTTGTTCACTTACTTTTCTAGGAGGCATCCACATAATGTCATCGTTTAATCATCTTCATCCTGGAATGTTCCTGTGGCTATTTCTCCTTTTTAATTCGGAAAATTGATGTTAATTTTTGCATGCATAGATGTCTTTAGCATTACTAATCAGTTTATCTGAAAGGGTGATAAACTGAGCAATCTATTAATGAAGCTATCTCAACTCATGTTTATTATAATCCTTGTGGTGAGTATTTTAAGCCCCATATTTGTTTTTTTTATCAATCCTTTAATTATTACTAAATTGTTTTCCTACTAGATTTGTTTTCAATGAAAGCAAGAGACATAGCTGTAATACCTTAATGCTAAGCTGTTTTTATGATGGTTTTATACTGCTATTAAACAACAATACAGTATTGCCAATTTTAAAACAGGATTTTAAAAACTTTCCAGTCTCTGCAAGCTTGGCAATGTTCAGAAAAGCGGGGGCAGAATATTAAACATTAACATTATAGCATTATGTTTTAATGCCCTACTTCTTAATGTTTTAAAAACACAGCCTAAAAAGTATTTTACAGAACTAAAAGTCCCAGAGTCAATCTTTGCAGTGGGTGCTATTTTATAATGAATGGCTACTGAACTTCCAATGACTCCATCTGTGATTATTAAGTCCAACTTCTAATGTGAACTAAACAATGCATAGATAAAGTGCAATGCACTTTAGAAAGAAAATTGCAGTGCTTGTAGTTTACAATGAAAGAACCCTGACCAAGTTACATTAGAAACCAAGCATCTGAGACGAGCCATAAAAATTGGATGACTTTACCTTACAAATTTTGAGGTGACAGTATATGTCCTAGAATCAGGTTAAGTGTTGCAGTAAAGATAGTTCATGGTGGAGTGGGGTTTAGTTCCTGGATCTCCTTGAGTCCTAATCCAGCACTCTTTAACCATTGTACCATACCACCTTACCTAGATTCTGTCAACACCCCTATTTATGAATATCTAAAAACAAGATTTGTGTGCAAACTATCTGTAAGTAGTGATATCAGAGAAATCCACAACTCATTCAGATGACGTTGGTATTCTATTAATTTGACCCATGGATCCTTCAGGTAACCAGCATCTTCCAAGTTGCATGGATTCTGCAGTCCTGCAGTCTATTTCTTTTTGCTTTTCAGAACTGTATGCAAATTTAGGCATTCAAAAGTTATTGGGAAATAGGTGAATATATATTTTTAACATTCCCTTTCCCAAAGTTGTATACAGCTCAATATTTCTTTGGCCTTTGCTGTGTAGCATAAGAAAAATATGCAAAATATTTTGTAGCAGCAAAAGTTACATAAATTATGGTACTTGTTTTTATATACTTTTCCAAAGGTGGAAAATTCCAATTTCATCAATGAGTGGACACCTGAACAGAAGACAGCTGACAATCCAGAAAACACACAGAGAACAGATTAGGCAAAATCTCAATTCGTAACTTTATTTTTTGTTAAACAGTTGAAAAGTCTTACAGCACAGTAAGAGCAATTTATTCTGTTGTAATTGTTTATGGACTGAAACTTTCTATGTCAGTTGAGCTACACACTGTACTATAATTTAAATCTTACTGCAGTTTAAAAACTTTGGAAAACCATTTTTTTAAATAAACCCTATCACTTAGGAGTTTACAATTGAAGACTCATAGTTCAAAACATAATGCCCAAATTGTGGAGAAAACAATAAGGCCAGTTTTTAGGATTATTGGATCATAAAGCAGTGAATTAGAAGGCTTCTGGGGCCAAAAATATTGAGGATTACTGTTGTAAGATGCCCCTTCATATTCAGACCAGCAAGTGTCCCCTGGAATGTTTTAAAAAGTTAAAAACAATATTCATGCCAGTGCTTCCAGACAAAAAGCTCCTAGTGCTCCAACTTTTCTGCTTAACAGATTTTCTATAGCAAGAAAAAAAATGTCGGAAAACTCAGCGGAAAATTCATTTGGATCCCATGTAAAATATTATGAATGAAGCAGAGCAAGGGCACAATAAACTTTGCAATCACCATTATTCTCAAACTGATAATCATGAAATAAGTAACTTGAGATAGTGGGAGAAAATATTAGAAAAACATTTCCATCTCCATCTGAAGTAAAGAACACAGGTAAAGTGAGCAGAAGCTCATGTTAAATGTTTACATAGGAATTGAGCATATTCCTTACTGGCAAATATAAATGCAGGAGCTGTTCTGAGGTAGAATCCAAAGAGAGCAGAATCTAATGTGCTTTTTATGCTCCTAACACCAATTTCCATCTGTAAGTGGTGGCACACAAAGTGACTGAAACACTCATTTTTGGAACAGGGTTGGTCGGGACACAAAGGAGATGTGTCCAACCTATTCAAACCACAGACAAGTGTTTCCACTCATTTTGGGACTTCTACTGGGAAATGTCAAATCCCAATTGCACAAGTGGTAGGCCTTGCTTGTGCAATGGAATAATTGGTACCCTTTGCTTGCATAACAAAATCTGTGGGGTGCATAAGGGAATTGGCAGGGGCATAAGCACCCCATTGGGTTCTGTCCAGAGTTTGGGAATTCAGCATATTATCTAGTTAATAAATAAAAAAAGGCTGTTAATTAAATCTTTTAAGTTGTCTTTGTTTTTAGTTCCAAGTTAGCAAACTGTCAGAACATCCTAAATTAAATCCTGAAGAAATTCTGTGGAATATCTTAATTTCAAAATTTGAGTAGATCAGAATGCTGAAATGTATTTCCAGTACTCCCTGCAAAAGCTGTTTCTTTAAAATGAAACAGTAATAAAGTATTAAAACATGTCACTGTTTCAGTGACATATGCATCTTTTGGGTTTGTACAAAGAACCACACATTTAAAAATTCTTAAAAGTTAATCATGAAGTGCTGTTGAATCTGGGTTAATAGCATCCCTTAAATTAACAGAAATGATAGTTGGTAGTGTATGTCTTCCAGATTATTGTCAAAACATGTTGCTTCAAACCTGGAATTTTACGTGCGGTTTAGATGGCATTGCCTTTCATTTATGCCCCCCTTTGTTAACTCAAGCATCTTTCTTACCCGCTAAGATCAATTATTTAAGCAAAGATAGCACTAGGGGCCCTTGATTGGTAGCACCAACAGCTATCCAACTAGAAATACCCTAGTCAACTTTGGAGGAAAATTTGGGGGGGGGGGGCAGTCATTTTGAATGACTGAATTCATTATCTTTAACCATCATTTGTTCTAGCAAAGGTGTATTCATACATGGAAGATCACTGCAATGAACAGTTTCTCACTCATTCTTTTCCTATTTTAAATGGTTAGTTTAAATGATAGTCACCCTAACTTACCATTTTAAAAATGCCCAATTTCAAACAGATGGATACGCTGCACAGTGTATGAAAGCAGCTCTTCCCCTGCTTGACAGTGCACTCCATTGTTTCCTTGGTTGTGAATGTGACCTGTCCAAAGTGTTTGTTGCAATTCACAACAAACACTTTGCGTCTCCTTGTCCTCCTCATTCTGTGTCCCGTCAGCAGGATGCATAGATTCCTCTATTCCTTACTGAGCAGGAAATAATGCAATGATTGACCCTTACCCATGAAAGTATTGTCAAAACTGTTTTTTATGTTAACTAGGTAATGATAAAGATTCTGTTTATATTATATATCCTTTTCTACAGATAAAATTGTATGCGTGGAGATAGCAACAATTTGAAAATAGCAAAATACACGTGTTAGAACTGATGCTATAAGTCTGCGGTACAGTGACTTAATAGGTACACCTGTTCACCCCTTTTGCCACGCTGCTTCAATGCCAGGCAAAAGTTAGCCTCCTTTGTACCTATTGTAGTTGAATTGACCTGTGTGAATAGTCTTTTTATCAAATATTGCCATGCTGTATTACATACTGCATATTTTAAAAATATACACTTTTCTGTCTTGAACACCTTGGGAATATGAATGTATATAGTTAAACAGTAAACTTTAATATGCTTGGTAAAAATCCCAGGTTCTGGAGTCTGTGCTTTCTCTTCCCTACTGTAATACTTAAGCCACTGTGGACACTTTGAGTGGGGGGGCCATAGAATTCTTTGGAGTCCAGTTCTGAAGTGTTGTGTTCTCAGAGCTGGGACTCAGAAGGCTGCCCCCCCCCCCACCTCTCCTTGGTTGCAATTAGGGCTTGTTGGGGGGAGGGGGGACAAGAGGCATGCATGTGAAACTCTTCCACACATCTGCAGGGAGGACAATAGGATCGCATCCTTAAATATTTTAACACATTCACCTTTATAATCTGAACCAGGCCATTGTTTCTTCTAACCTAGTATCCTGAACTCTGGCAGGAGCTCTCCAGGGACTTTCATGTTTTTCCAGATCCTCTACCTGATGTTTTCACTGGAGATGCAAACCCAGGACATCATACATGCAAACCATGTGCTCTATCACAAGGCCATGCTTCCTCTCTGTGTGTGAGAAAACTTGGGCCAAATGCTCAGGACGTAAGTACACTGACGGAGCGAAGAGTAGATTCAAGGAAAAACCACTGCCAAACCACTATTGGCTTCCTTTTTCATAAGGATGTAAAATTACTTATATTTGATGTAAGTGAAAGTTGTCTTGAAGGTTCCAGTTGGGCCAAAAGACAACATATAAATTAAAAAGTGCATGTTTCTGAAACTGGGTGCAGCTTGAAAACACACAACCATTCGAAGAAACTTCGAAGTTGTAAAAACTGCACAAAGAATGGCTTCCTAGTTCTACCAGTGCCTTTCTGCTGTCAGCCCAATTTTGCACTGTGGATCCTTCAGTGAGTTGATGATAATGCTTGAACGTGGATGCTAGTTTTAGCCTAACTTGTAGATCTGCAGATTCTCACCTCTAAATGGCATGGGAATCAAAATGCCTAACAGTTGGATGCAAACAGACAACATGCACAATATCTTTTTTTTTCCTTTTCCTTTTTGCAAGCAGGGGCAGTATACTAGTATGGGAAGGCTCAGGGCCATCTTAACGCATGGGCCTGATGGGCGCTTGCCCGTGGGCCCCATACCAATCTGTGTATCTTAACCCTTGGAAAACTGGAAAACTTCCAAAATCAACAGTCGTTGTAGTTGTCGTAGGGGCCCCAGTACACTCCTTTGCCCGGGGCCCATAATGCTGTTAAGAGGGCCCTGGGAAGGCTGGGAGTTGGTTTGTTGTTTTTCCAGGTAGACCAATTCGGGTAAGGGTGTCTTGCCTTTTTCCATGAAGTCAAATGAGTTGTTGAGATCACTTGAGATCAGTGAGAGGCATGCACTGCTTAACTAAAGGTACTCATCCATTTTCCTTAATGGGGCAAATAGCAGCTTCAGAAGGGAAGCAACACCCTAACCAAGCCACTAGAGCAGGGAGTCTTCCTTGCATCACCATCTCAACCAGGTGATGTGGATGTGGGACAGCTGCTTTTTACACTGATTTAAGAATCCAAAGATCTGTTCACAGATCTTCATTGCCCCAACAAGTCTGGCCTAAATTACCTGCCTGTAAGAGTCATCAGTGATATTTTTCAAAACTTTCCTTGTAATAAGAAGGATGGGTCTTTTTTCTCTTTTCGTTTTCTGTTTAAAATGTGCATACCTTAACAAAGAGTTTGGTTGCTCAGTTTCTCCACTGACTGGACTAACCAAATAACTAATCCTTTACATGCTGGATGTTCAATAATTCTAAAATTAAAATACAAGCACAAAGTTTGGAGGGAATAATCTGAATTTTAAATGCTGTTCCAGTGCTGAGAGATCTTGGATGGTACAGGAGAGCTGTAAAGAAAAGCAGCATATATAAGTACTTAAAGCAGCTAATATCTTAACACAGAAAGATTATGGCAGGAAAACTAGTCAATAACTACGAGGCACATCCAGGTATCGAAAGGGCAATTCTCTCATCAACTGCCCTGCTGGAAGAGAGATGGGGGAGTGCCACACTGTTGATTCTTCTGTACCTCTCAGTGGCTTTCAATACCATTGACCATGGTATCCTTCTAGCTGGGCCAGCAGTAGGTGGCACTGCATTGGACTGGTTCTGCTCCAACGTGTCTGGCCAATTCCAGAAGGTTGTGCTGGGGGATTGTTGTTCTGTGTAATGGGGTACCGCCAGGTTTTCTTTTACCCTTTGTGCTATTTAACATCTACATGAAATTGCTGGGGGAGGTTATCCAGAGGTATGGGCTGAGGTACCACCAATACGTGGGTGATTCTCAGCTCTCAGAGTTGTCACCTGAGGCACAAGCAAACTCAGTGGAATGCAACACCTCTTATCAGCATCAGCTGATATACCAACTACAACCCTGTCTGGGCAGAGAGAGCTGAACTACAGTTTATCCAGGTGCTGGTAACCTCTCATTTGGATTAAGGCAATACACTGTATGTGGGGCTGCCTTTGAAAACGGTCAAGAAACTGATCCTTGTTGGTGGCATCCCTGTTGTGGAATGAGCTGCCTAAAGAAATCCACCTGGCCTTGTATTCTTTTCAGTGCCTGGTAAAGACCTTTTGTTTCTCCCAAAAAGTTAACTTGTTAACCCTGTTTTTATCTTCCTTATTGTTCTGTACCACTGCTATACCTCTGTGCTAATTCAATTGCAATTGCTAATATGATTTTGTTGTTTTAAATTAATTTTTGTGTGTGTACCTTTTAAAAAGATAATTTTGCTGTATTTTGTTTTTTAAATAAACTACTCTTGCAGTTAACTTACTATGTCAAATTAGTGATTAGTATCTATCATAGCAATTAGTATCTATTGATAATTGCCTCTGAAGATGCAAGCTTTCTATAGCTATCTTGACTACAAATCTTGAGTGTTGCCTTCCCCATTAATTTACCCCATTCCTTTTCCTTCTCACAGTGGTGAATTCCACAAATTAATCATACATTGTCCAAAGAAGCGCTTTATTTTGCCTGGTGTGAATTTGCTGCCAGTCGACTTCAGTGAGTGATCTCAAGTTCTATTGGGAGGGGACTTACCTCTTACGAATAATTTTATAAACCACTGCCATGTCCCCTAACTCATCACTTGGGACACTATTCGGGGAAGTGTCCTGATCTGGAGTGTACTTGAAATTTCTACCTGAAGAACGTAATTAAGGCTTTAAGGCTGGGACTCCTCAAGCCCCCATGCAAGTCAACCATGTATTTGGGTAGGTAATGCCCACTTACAGAAAGACAGACCAACATTCGCTCTTTCTCACTAAAGCACCATAGTGCAAAAGGGAGCACCCTGGTGCCCTCCTGATTTTGGGGGTTAAAAGCCACATAAACCTTAACCGTTGGCCATGCAAGGTGGGGCTTATGGGAGTCATAATCACAAATACCCAGAGGGAACCATGATGCAGCCCTCCTGCCATATTCCACAGGGGCACCTCTTCACCATTTATTCATTATATTGATATCCCACCCTTTTCCCTCCAAGGAACCCAAGGTGGCTCACACAGTCCCTCTGCTCCTCCTCTTAATTTTATCCTCACAACAAGCCTGTGGGGTAGGATAGGTTGAGAGTCAGAGACTGGCCCAAAGGCATCTAGTGGGCTTCATGGCTGAGGGCAGAACTAGAACCCAGATCTCCCGAGTCCCAACCAGCACTTCACACTGCTTCTCAGTCTTTCAAACTCGGACAACTAAAAAGGGTATTTGCATAAGGCTGACAGGCTTTACCGAAGGGCTTTTTGTCACAAGGCTGTAACACAATTGCTAGAGTTAAAGGGGTAATATCTCTGCCGCTACCTTGTTAGAAATCTGGATTCTACTTCTGTGATGATTTCCCTGTTTGTAAAAGCTGGCCTTGGATTAAAGGGAAAAAGAGGACTGCAGCTTAGAAACAGCAGTCTGCAGAACAATTTGCACACAGCAGCCTTCATCTTTTATGACAGAGACACAAACTTAAGTTGTGCAGAATAAAAAATCCTCTTTGCTGATATTGTCCTATCTAGCATGTGAGAGAAATCTCAAATACCCAGCTCCAACTCCTGAACTGGGAATTTGCAATCCAACCCCTCCCCTTAGTGCTTGGGGGTGGATGGATCCACCTGGCTGCTTCTGCGAGGTCAGAATGCGACCTCAGGGAGGAGGGAACAGTGTTCTGCTGGGCAGAGAGGGCAGGATATGAGCGTCCTTCCCTCCTCTTCCAATATACTCCCCAACATATGCTGTCTAGCAAAAGTGAAGTGCAAGAGGACAAAGAGGTGAAGATTGCTTCTACCGCTCCTCTGACCCTGCAGAAGGTGAGCATAATCCCACAAATTCAGAGCTCACACCCATTGTCACAGGCTTGTGTACCAATTAAAAAAAATCCAACATGCTTTGCAACTATTAACACGATTGCTTCCTTTCCTAGGCCTGGGAGCAGTGAGGAGTCAGTTCTGCATGAGCAGTGTTCTACCCATCTCCTTGGAAGGTCCAGAAGAGGTCCTTGCCAAGACCCCTAGGGAAACGGGAACCAGGCTCTATATTCTTGGATGCCAAGTGAGGACCAACCAGAAGTTCCTAAGACCTTTTGTCTCTTGTCAATGGCACTGTAGGCACTGTATCTTTTGTAATCTGCAAAGCTCTTCTGGGTTGAAGCGTTCTGTGCAGCTTTCTCCTTCTGCACAGAATCTACTTCCCTCAGAGCTAGGCTCCCACTCATTCTATTTTGGTGCAATCCCATGCACAATTAGACCAAAACAAAGGAAAAGAACAAAAAAGTCCTTCGGTGCCCTGCATTCCACAGCCGAAACATGCACAGGATTCTACCTGAAGTCAATATTGCTGCTCCGCGCCCTTAAACTTACCTGATGCAATCAGAGTTGTCAACTATGATGACCATTCAGAACTTGAGGGCTGCACGAATTGCCTGGCATGCTGCCCTCTTGACCTCTAAAGCCCTCGCAGGTTGGCCGGACTGATAAACAGCTACCTGAACTTGCACATCTGGCTCCGTTCCATCATGGTCTAACAATAAATCACAGCAGAAGAATCCATCCAACAAGCACCTCAGCCAGCGCCGTGCCCGGGCCTCTTGCTCTGCATCTAAACCTGGGTCTGGGTCCACCTGAACAATGACCCCAACCAGGGCCACTGGATTATAGTAGATGCAGCTCTTCAGCTTGTGCAGCATTTCAGCTAGTCGATCCAGTTGCTCCCAAGACTTCAAAAAGGGGGCTCTGCACAGGAAGAAGATAAGTTGGGAATAGATTCTCTCTTGCTGCCTAGAACAGCTATTTTCATTCAGGATCTGGGGCTTCTCAGGTCTTGGGCTGGCTGGTTTATCACAGCAGATCACTGAGCTTGTCACATGGAAAGCTGGTATAGGAAACTTGGCAAACACTTCCTGGCGGAAGTCCTCCACCACTGCCTGACTTTGCAGCTCCCCGAGCAAGTGCACATTGCCACCCATCATGAACTGAAGAGTCACAAATTCTAGCTCTAGCTTTTCCTCATGGGGAAGGTCAGATCTGGTGACAACGGCCAACAGGTCCTTGACTAGCTTTAGGCCTGCTTCTTGGCTCTGGCTATCCTGTTCTGCCATCTTCCCTTGGTTTCTTCCCATTTTCTCAGTGGTCTCTTCCCAAGATCTCCCAGCCTGCCTGAGGATCTTCTTGTGGGTTCCCATCGACCACCCTCTGAATACATCTTGGCGTGCTCCAACTTGCTCTATAGTCCTTATCAGAGTTTCTGCAGACTGTTCCCTCAAATCTTCTTGACCTCCTTGAACATGCTCCTTGATCTTTGGCCTGGCTCCTCCAGCTACAAACTCTTGATCCAGTTCCACCTCTTCTGAAAAGTCCTGCCAAGCAGCTCCATCCAGCACTGCAATCTGTTCTTGTGGCCTTCCTGCCTCCTCTGGAATATTCTCTGGGTCAATTTGCTCCACCGCTGTGGCCTGCTGCTGAAATGTTCCATTCAGATCCCCAAGGTTCTCCTCAGCATCCGTCTCTTGCCGTGTTACCTCCACTTGGACGCCTCCCTCCTGCTCCATTCCCCTTATGCTCCTTCCTCCCCCTGTTCATTTCCCTCAGTCTTCCCACGTCTGACTGACTTCTGGTTGCCTAGACTCGTGGGATCCCTTGTGTCACAATACACATTGACCTGGCTCAACCAACAAAAGTTGACTTTGACTGAAGCTAACCAAATGAAACAAACAATACTAACCTCTTTCAGAGGGATGGTTCCTGGGGGTGTTTGTGGGTGTTTTAAATAAGAAAAAGTGGGGCAGTAGATAAGAGTTTTGAAGAATCATTAGGTGAGGTTCTTCACAAAGGATAGGAAGTGATGAAGCATATACTATTTATTACACTTCTTTGAAGCTTTTCTCAAAGATTCAAGGTGATTTATAACAAATTAAACATAGAATGTATAAAACAATTGAAAACAATTATCCACTAACGTGTCACCCACATTTTAAAAAATCCCCTTTCCCCATAAAAATACATTCCCAAAATAAAATACCGCAAATCTCTGGGAATGTAGGGAAGTCTTATCTCAGTAGTGAACAATGACAATGTTGGTACAAAACAGGCTTTGCTGAAAAGTGGATTCCATATTGGGGGGGGGGGCACTAGTGAAAAGACCCTCACAGCATACAACATTTTGCATATTAACAACAATAAAGGGAGAGCAAGCTACTGAAACCACATCCAGCCAATAGAATAAGGGAGAAAAACAGGAGCTGAGTGGCAGCCTGGAGGTAGCTGTTTTGATATGGCTATGTACAAATATTTACACGTATATACACACAAACTTTTCAATTAAATATTTTCAAGGCAGCTTCTAATGGAAATAGTAAAATACAGGAAGGGCACAAGCCCTACACTGAAACTGAAAAAATCCTACAATTCGCAGCATTCCCCAGCCTGAAATATTAATCACATACAGTGCAAATATTAACACAGTAAGAACACTGCAGAATAAACCCAAGATAAACCCAGCAGCAAAGAGTTGGAAGATAAAGCCAAATAAAAGACAAACACGCAGAGGGGGAGCAGCTCTTCCTTCCTTGTTGCTCTCGTTTCCTGTTATTTTTTGCATCCAAAGGCTTGATCCTGGGGACTCTAGTAGCCCTAGTACTGCAGCAAGATGTAGCAAAGGCAGCAAAGGGCCATAACGCAAAGTTCAACAAAATATTATCAAGCAGACTTTTCAGGAAACCTATCAACATTCAGATCTGCACTCCAACAAGAGAGATTGAAAAGAACAGTGCAGGTGTCCAAGAGGAAATTGGTAACACACCAGAACAAGGCATGGTTATAATCATAGGTGACTGGAGTGCAAAAACAGGAAACAAAGCAGAATTCAGTGTTGTAGGAGAATTTGGCCTCAGAAACGAAGCAAGAGAATGACTCATAATGCTTTGAAAGCAACAATCTGTTTATTGCAAATACTTACGTCAAGATATCAAATGACTGTACACATGAGCATTACCAGACAACCAATACAGAAATCAAACAGAATATGTTACTGGAAGGAGGTGAAGGCTCTGCGTTCTCACTGCCAAAACAAGACCAGAAGAAGACTGTGCTAGTGTCCACAAACTATGATTATCAAAAATCAGAGTTAAGTTGAAAAAGATATCTAACAGAAACGTAATGCCAAAATGCAATTTCAGTAACGTTCCTGAGAAGTCAGAGTCCTTATGAAGAACAGATCTGCATCAAACGAACTGTGGAAGGAAATCAGAGATATTCTCAGGGAAAAATGAAAAAAAGACCATTCTTGAGGTAAAAAGAAAGAAAAAGCCTAGCTGAATGATAGAAGAAACAGTCACAATTGCATAGGGCAAGTGAGAAGCAAAAGATGACAGAAACAGGGTCAGAATTTTAAGTGAAACGTTTACCCAAAAAAAAAAAAAAAAGCTATTAGGATGGCTAGTGCAAAGAAATAGAACAAAAGAATAGGAAAAAATAAGGCCTCTTCCAAGAGATCCCAATAATCACAGGAAAAGTCAGAACAAAAGGGAGGAACACTATCTGAACGGGAAAAAAATAAAGAGAAGGCTGAAAGAATATACAAAAGAACAATACAGAAAGGAATAAAACACAAAGAATCGATTAGGTCCCGAAGTCTGAGGCCTTTTGTCCTTCTAAGCACAAAGCGCTGCCAGAGGCATGCTGGGATTTGTAGGCCGCCTCCTGTCCGAAGAGGGACGCTGCAGGGAACGGGACGCGGCCCCGCGCTGCGAGCCAAGCGCTGAGGCCTGCGGGGAGGGAGGCGAGGCAGCAGGCGCGCACGCGCCGCTTCCCCGCGCGCCTGCGCACCCGCTGGGCGACGGGGCGGGCCGAGCTGGCGCTCGCGGCGCTGTCGCCCCGCCTCCTTGCCCGGCCCTGCGCGGGGCGCCCGTCTTCCGGCGGCGTGTGCGGCGGCGCTCGCGGCCTGCTCGACAAGGTGAGTCCTGCGGCCGCGGCCGCGAGGGGAGCGGATGGCGCGCGTCGCTGGCCCATCCTCCGCCCGCGGTGGCGCGTGATGCGCGGGAGTGGAAATCCCGCTCCGGGCACCGGCTCTGCTCGGCTGTATTTCCCCCCTCGGGCTCCAAGGCGACGCGGCTCGCCTTTCTCCTCAGCCCAGCCTTGTCCTGGGGCAGTTGCCTCGTTATTAGTAACCCCGCTTTATGGGGGGTTGCTGGAAAGTCTGGCTTTGTCTGTGAAGGACGACAACTGGAAAGTATTATTCACAGCGTTTTGTTAGATGCCGTGATGATTCATTAATCAGTCACTGAGGTGCAACGTGGATGATCATTTTAAAGATGCACTAGCTGCTGAAAGCTGCAATCCTGATAAGAACAATAATATGCTTTCTTTCTCCCCTAAGGCTCCAAGGTGGATGACTTTATTTAAAAGAATAACCTGGACAAACCTTTTGACCCTGCAATCCTATTAATAATTCTGATAGTAGTATCTCTTTTATCCACTAAAGCTGTAAGGTGGATTTTTTTTTTTAAATAAGAAAGCATACAAGCAACCTTTTATGCAGAAGTAAGCCCTGTTGAATTCAATAGGACTCCAGGTCTCCAGTAGTCATGTACCAGATCTGCTTATAACAAACCAGATTGAAATGCCAGCTGCATACTTGCACGCATGCCTGCTCAGAAGTCAGCCCAGTGTATCCCATGGAGATTCCTGCCATGCAAGGCATACATAAGATCGCTGCATTGAGAGAAGGTGTTATCTGAACACAGGCGAGTAGGCTTCTAGGGTGACAAAGATGGCCACATTTCCATGAAATTCAAGAGGGTGTTTTCAAAAAGGGGAGGTAGAAGGAGTCGGGAACCTTAATCTTGTATGCAGTTAAGGATAGGAAAAGAGGTGCGATTTGTTTTTAATTTTTTTATCCTTGTGTTATCTTCTTTCCTTTTTCTGGACTTCTTAAAGGAATGGGCATCCTAACTCCCTTTTCTACCATGTTTTATTTTCTTTTTAGCGGAGAACCACGTGCCTGAGTGTTTTTCTTTCTTAAAACCTCCCCCAAGTAAACTACCACTTATAGGAAGTTCTGTTAATCTGAAGGGGAGAAAATTCACCATCTTTTTCTCTGTTTCTTTGAAGTTGGCCTCATAAGGTAGGTGCCCCTTCTGCATTTATTTCTTTTCTTCCTTCTCGCATTTACCATTTTCCAAACTAGGGCCTATGTTACATGTGACAACAGAACATTAGTTAGGCCAGACCTGCAATGACTGAATGAACTGGACCACTTCACACTGTCAGTGAGGGATGACATTGGTCTCCAAACAATCAAGATCCTTGCACATGGGGAAGCATTAAAAAAAATACTGTCTTTCACATCTCAAATACAATGATAAGGGGGTGATTTCTTCCTCCAGTCTAAAACAATCCTATAATCCCCTTTCTGAGGGTTCTTTATAGACAGGTGTCTTTCAAAGAAAAAAAAGTGATTCTATCTAAATCTCTCATATTCTATTTATATAGCGTTTGGGAATTTAATAGCCTTAGGGCACCATTTAACATAGCTGGCTGTAATTCCCAAACACTGAAGATTAAGGGCATCTATTGGAAGAAGTGTGCAGGCAAGGATTGCCTTGGCACTTCTCCTGCCCTCTAAAACATGTAAATGGCTGGGTTGGCTAACAGTTTTACACAGGGAAAAAAGCCAGAGGTATCTCCAGGATCCTCATAACATTGGTGGCACCTTCCCACACACCACAAGCCAGCTCCGTTCAGAGGTCCTCCTTGCAGCCATGGAGACACAGGCAGAGGGCAAAGGGGGGAATGCATTGAATTCAGAATTCCAGCTGTAATCTCAGAGTGGTTCTCTGAGGTTGGAGCTGGGACTCTGAATTATCCTGTGGCCATCTGAATAGCACCCAAAGGGTGTCATTTTAAGTCAGGTAATGCAACTCTACATACAAGTGGATGAGAGCCAGTGTGGTGTAGTGGTTAATAAAGCAGGAGTGAGACTCAGGCTATTTGGGTTCTAGTCCCCGCTTGGCCATGGAGCCAGCTAGGTGACTTCAGGCCAGTCACAGACACTCAGCCCAATCCACCTCACAGGGTTGTTGTGGGGATAAGATTGAAAGCAGGAGGAGAATGATGTAAGCCACTTCGAGTTCTTCAAAGGAAAAAAGGCGGGATATAAATGTAACAAACTTCACAAATGTGTGATTTACTTCTTGTTTCAAGTATTAAAATACCTTATTTTGTGTATCTGTGTGTATATTATTGTATAAAGACACTTATCCATATATTTTATTGTTGTGAATGTGTTTTCTCTGTACTTATTGGTAGCATGGCTGGAAGCAGTTGAATCTCTTTTAAGAAACATGTAACTGAAAATGCATAGAAGTATAAATCTATAACTGAAATTGCAACTGTGGGGCAATATCCTACACTGCTACTGCACTTGCACTAGTTGTGTCACATCATTTGGATCAGCCTGTAATGTAACAGAAGCTTAGGGTTCCTAAAACAAACCTGGAGATGAGTGAAAATGCCTATGAGAAAAAATCTATTTTATATTGCTGGCACTTGCTTTCTGATTTCCATGTGTTCTGCACCTCCTGCTGCTACATAATCAACCATTTTTTTTTAAAAAAAGTGTTTTTCGGTATTCTAACACAAATTCACTCATTTGTCCAAAGGGTGGTTTGGTTTGATTTCGATTATGGGAAGCCATTTATGAGTAGGTAGGCCTGTTTTTGGTTGTGTGGGGGGTACCATGTAATCAGGATTTCATTTATATTATACCTTTCAACCAAGCAACTCAAGGCAGCACACATCATTCTGTGCTGTCCATTATATCCTCACAGCAACCATAAGTTGAGAAGTAATCAGTGCCCTAGAGTTACCCACAGAGTTGTATGACTGTTTGATTATCCCATTGGGTGCAGCATTAATTAATTAATTAATTAATTAATAAAATTTCTGTCCCATCCATTGTGAAACACACCTCAGGATGGTTTACAAAGGTTAAAATAGTAATATAATAATACAATAAAACAATAATTGAAACATTAAATAATAAGTACAGCATAAAACAACCACATTCAAAAATTAAAAGGAGGAAAGGAAGAAAAAAGTGTGGTGTAGTGGTTAAGAGCATGGGAATGGGACTCAGACGATCTGGGTTCTAGTCCCCGCTCAGCCATGGAGCCGACTGGGTGACTTTGGGCCAGTCACAGACTCAGCCCAACCTACCTCACAGGGTTGTTGTTGTGGGGATAAGATGGAGGAGGAGATGTAAGCTGCCTTGAGCCCTTTGTTGGAAAAAGGCAGGATATAAGTAGAAAAATAAATAAATAAAAAGAAGAAAAATAAGAAAGGAAAGAAAGAAACCCTTGGTATGGCTTGTGTTGTGGCCTGTTGCTGGGATATCTGAATGTTGTTTACCCTCCAAACAAGCCATGCTGCCCAGATTCAGACAACATGACAATCCACATCTGGATGGGTAATCATGCAGTAGTGCCAGACAAACATCACAGCTTGAACTATTGTTTAAGCAATGGTGGTTATGCAAACTCATCCAGTGTGTTAAATACTTATTTTTCTTAGCATTTTTAGAACAATTCTGTGTTCTTTTATCTCTATAAGACAAGCCACCATTATTGCCTCTTTCTTGCATATATGTGGCTTGCATAAGGTCACTTACGCCATCAGAAATGTGAGGTTGGAAAAGGGACCCTCCCCTGCACACCTTTGCAGCTGGCATGGATCTTTCTGCTCTGGCTGCATTTTCAGAGCTGCGCATGTGACTTTGGAGCCAGTGTGCTTGGCAGGGGTGGACAGTGGGAAGCGGGGAGTGAGGCTTTGCTGGGGTGTGAGAATTCCTAGCAGTGCCTCAGCCCCTCATCCTCACAAGCAGGACAAAAGACAGAAACTATGACCTTTGCAGGGCGGAAGGAGCAGAGGCAAGGATTGCCCTTGATTGGATGCCTGTAAACCCCTTCGTTCAGAGGGCAGCTGCATCAGATGGTGACTTTTGTGATATAGGTGAGAGTCAAACAGTAGTCTTAACGGTTTTACCTCAGTTTCATTGCTACACCAGCTCCTTGTTCACGTAAGAGAAACCTACAGTGGCTCCTTAATTGAACTGAATTCCTATTTATGAGAATACATTAGGGTCTCACCCTTTTTTTGCAGTCTTACCCTTTCACTTTTTCAGTAAAGTACCAGTTCTCTCAGTTTGCTGGCAACACTTCTGATTTGTGAAACAATATTTGCAATCCTTTTCTATCCACTAAGTCATTGGGGCGTTCATTTTTGGGGAAATTCAGTTCCTCAGTAACAGACACAAACAAACAAACAGAAGAGACTCTTAACTGGTGACTATATGTCACTAATCATTTGGGGCAGAAACATTTCTAGTGCTTTATGTTTCTTCAGAACATTCCATTATTTAAGTTAATGAGTAATACTGAATAGGTGCAAAATACAAATAAAACATTAGACAAGTTTAGCCATTTTAAAGTTGTAATTAATATTTTTCAGGTGATTATCACTAACAGCTTGCCAATTTAAGTTTTCTGGGGAAACCCACATGTCCCTTTCTCATACTCAGTTTGTATTTCAAAGCTAACAAACCCTAGTTCTTACGGTGGTTGAGTAAGGGCTGAGCAATGTACATGTAATGTCTGTTTAAACAGTCAGGTGTCAGGAGATAGAACTTGAGGGGCACTGACCTTTCCTGGGTCCTCCTTGTGGTTCCTGGTCAATATTTTGTAAGTCCTATACTCATCCATGTGTCTAAATCTGCAAAAATGTTTAAGACTTAACAAAGAGACCAAGGTTAACAAGGATCATTTGCGCAAGCTTATATTCATGGATTGCAAAATGTAGTGTAATCTGAATTAAATATTTACGTTTCTTTTGGTTGGTTATTGTTTCCCTCTTGATATTTCTTCTGTTGTCAGAAAGTCTGTAGTTCACAGTTAATAGATAAAAACGTATTTTATCTGTTTTTTCTAGTACTGAAGACTCAATCTAGTAAGTTGGAGGATCTGGACCCTTTTTCACATTCCCATGTGAATAAAGGGAGGAGCTTATTACTGACTAGTGTTCAATCTGAAAATGACACAAAAATAGGTCCTTGGCATAGTCATTCAGTAATCTGCTGGAGGGGAGATTACCCAGATGAAATTTTCTTTATTTCTGGTCACATCACTCTTGAATCTATAGCTATTTTGTTGCATGTCCTCATTCACGTAAATGTGCGACTTCAGTATATGTATACATGTATTATGAGCAATGTGAGTCTAAGGAGGCATTTAATGACTCTCCAGTGGTGTTTTGACTTATAAGACACAGCCGATCATGCTGGTGTCTGGTAGTGGATGGTGCATTGTTGGAGGAACAGTATGTTTGACTACCTGCAAATTAGCAGGAAGGAACACTAACCATTAAACCTATATTTTGCTTATTTTAGATTGAAACAAGATGAATGAACATCCCAAGAAGAGGAAAAGGAAGACTCTACATCCCTCACGTTATTCAGGTAGGTCAGAAATGTACATTTATCTAGTATAGTGACAGTAAGTTAATATATAAGTAAGTAAGTTTTCTGAATATTCTTGTTTAAAATTTCACAAACTAGATTTTGAGGTTGATTAAAGGAAAGGTGATTTTGAAAAAACACCATCTAGAACATACATAATTATACAATGTAACTCAAAAAGAGAAACCTTTGTAGAAATGCTGTATCTATGAGCAAAGAACACAAAAATTTACATTCATGTCTGAAGTAGCACTGCCATTGTATAAAGCAAGCAAGGGGACAAAAAGATTGTTCCAGCCAACAAGAGTATACTTGCTGCTAAGAGAAACATGCTAAGATATCATCTGTCGCATCTGTTTACACATGGATTATGTGTTGGCCCATCACAATAGGGCTGTGGCCATTTAAGTGCTTCTGTGACCTGTGGACTCAACAGTTATGCAACTGTGGAGTCATTTGTGGTTAACAAATCATGGTTTGTTAGTGTGACTGGGTCATGCAACACAATTATCCATGTTTCAGCACCAAGCCACAGGTTAATGACAGTGCATACTCAACTTTAAATGTAGGTTGTTTGGTTTGTCTGGATTGCTCCTGCTAGAAATATAAGATGATAAGATTGCTGGGGCAGGAGTTAAAGCACTTCCTTGCTCACATACACAGCAGTTTACAATATTTTGTACATTATTTTCTTACTCTTACTAATCCACTGACTTTAGGAAGTTCAAAAATTAAATAATGGCATTGATACCTTTGCTATGCTTTGGAATACACATAGCTTTATAAATTCTAAATATTGTTTTAGTATTAATGACCAGTTCAGAGTGAATCAGTTGAGGCTTTTATACATTACATTCAAGGCAACAACATTTTAATGTGCTTCAGTCAGACATGTAAATGATGCTTTCTTTTCTTTCTGTCCAGATTCCACCGGAGTCCCAAAATACATAGAGAATAGTGGCATATTTTCTGACCATTGTTACAGTGTATGTTCTATGAAACAGCTAGACTTGAAAGTGTCTGATAATCGAGGTAAGGTCTTGCACCTCATTACTTCACTCACAAGCATGCTTTGGTGGTGGTGGGCTATATACATCTCCCCCAAAAATGTATGGTATCTGCATAGTTTACATTGACCTTCTTTCTTGACCTTGTGAAACTGTGCCAGTTGCCAGTGCACCAGAAAAAAATAATTTAGATCATATAAATTCTTGCCATCTCATGCTTGCTTTCCTATCCTTCAGTTTTTGCATTAAAGCTACCTGTACAGGCATGACCTAAATCAGGGCTGCACAAAGGGAGAGAAGGCAGATAATTTACTGTAAGTAACCCTGCTCTAAAACAATAACTTTCTATCATAGACCTGGGTGACTTCAGAAAGAAGCAACACGCTTGCAAAAGTTGATGAAATATTTTTTGCATCTACTGAAGTAAAATGTTTATTTGATGAAGTTACCGACCAAGCTTTCTCTCACTTCATGAAAACCAAGATTTTACTTAAAGCAGTGTATACAAACACTTTTAATAAACTATTTTTAAATAATGTTGAATAAACATCCATAGAAGTACACTGTTAGATGATCCGTTAGCTCAGTTTGCTGTTAAAACACATATTGAGGAATTTGAGTGAAATAAATGCATAACAGATTTTTGGAAAGAAGTTATCACAGCTCTTGCAAGGCTGTTTTCCTTTAAGTAAAAAAGGATCAATAATGTAAGCCTGGTTGTCTTTCTCAGTACCACCTCCAACCTTTTGGTCATTTTGGTCATCTGCATTGCAATCCTACACAATTTTATGAGCACTTAGAAATAAGTCCCCCTGCATTCAGTGAAATTCAGTCCCTAGTATGTGTGGTGTTCTATCATTTTGAACTATTTAAAATGTAAACTGTTTCAAATTTAACTTTAATGTGAGTAACCATAAACTCAAGGTTGGCACTGTTGTTGAGCCTCTTTCTAACTGGAAAAGTGTTCTTGAACTGAGCAGCTGAATCAAAACTCATATTGTGCCTTTTTGGCTATCTTTATTTTGGGGCAGTTGAAAGTTGAATATAAAATTTTCTTTTCAAAACCTGCTGTAAACCTGGCTCACAAATAACAGCCCGTACCATGGCTTGTTGAATAGTGAGTTATTGTTACATACGAAATTAGAAAAATGGGTTTAATATTTATGGCTAACCATGGACACCTAATGTAGGGAACCCGTGGTTTGCTGTTAGGTTGTGAATGCTGAGTTGTTTGAACCATTGGTTGACATCACGTGTGAATCCAGAACTGCGAGTTGTTCGTGGGTTGCTTCAGAAGGCTATAGAGAAGTCCAAAAACCAGCAACTCTGCATACCAGTACCACTGTGCATAAAGGCATTTGCAATGCAGCAAGGAAGAGGGTGAAAAGGGCAGGAACCAAACAACCCTGGAATTGATCAAGCTACTAGAGGTCTCTTCAATCACTTGACACCCAGATCATAGGTTAATTTTAGATAAGACAATAAGCCATGTATTAATTAGATCATGGTTGGTTGTGAACTGGTCACAGTGACAGTGTGCACATCTGCTGCATGTTACTTACATCAGGGATAAAGTAGGAAACTATCATTAATTTTAATATAATGCTACCAACCCTGTACCTTGAGGATAATTTGTGAAATAGGTACCAAAATATATATTATAGCATATAAGTTTGTGAAAATAGATGAACCGAATTAGGACAAGACCACCCAAACTTCCTTTTTTCCCTACAGGCAGATTTCATAATGCAGTACACAGCACAGATACCGATGAGGATGGCAGCCCAGTGTATGCTGGGACATCTCAGTGGAGTGGGAACCAGTCTAATGCCATGGGGTCACACTTCATGGACCCTAAAAAGAAAGGTAAATGAGAGGTGGTTGTGCCAAAACTGCACTTTTCTGAACTCTGATTATGATTACTTTCCCTCTTTTCAATGAAAGAATATGTAAGAAAAAGCAGTATCAGTTCCTAGGAAGGGTGCTAATTAGTGCAGCCTGAGCACAAGTGTGGTAAGAGGGTTAGAGTGTTCGGCTTTGGTTCGGAAGACCCCGGTTTGAGTCCTCAGCTGTGAAGCTCAGTGGGTGACCCTTCGCCAGCCTCTCTCAGCCTAACCTAACAGAATTGTTGAGGGAATAAGTGGTGGGATGCAGCAAAAACCAGGTGACCACGTGTGCTGATCCAGTTGCGTATGAGCATTTGGGATAGAAATACAAACTGCATTGATTTCAGCGAGTCTCACCTCAAGTGTGCATAAAATTGCAGTCTTCATGATCCAAGGAGAATGTTTGTCTTGGAAGAGAGCAAAATGTTATTTTGCATTATAGCATACTGTGTTTACTGTGCAAATAGCTTCAGAATTCCTGCTCTTTTTCCTCAACTCATGCCTGTGAGCTAGGTCGTTTTTCCCCGCTGTTCAGGCAGGAAGATGAGGCTGAGTTGATCTTGCATGTAACTCAGTGGATTTAACCTAAGTGCTTTCTTGTGCAAAGCTGACATGTCTGTCTACTGAAATAATAGATGAAGAAGAAAAACCCACTAGCATCTGTGATTCTTTATAGACTTCATCTTGCATATCTATTGTGTTGCTTTTGTAGACAAACCTGCCAGTAATGGTATTTTTAAAGATACATGTGAGTCACCAGTCTTCAGTGACAGCTTAACTGAAGAGGAGAAACCCCTGGATATACAAACTGTAGAAATTTCCACCACCGAAGTCCAGGCCGTAGAAGTCCATGACATAGAAACGCAGACCATTTCCCCAGAGAAGCTTGAAGTGGAGGATGCCGAAGAAACCCCAGCTGAAGCCTGCAGGACGCTTGAGAAGAACGTTCCTTTGAATGTCACCCTTCAGCCCAAGTGGCCTCTGCTGCGGGCCAACAGCAGCGGCTTGTACAAATGTGAGCGGTGCTCGTTTAATAGCAAGTACTTCTCAGATCTGAAGCAGCACATGGTTCTGAAACACAAGACATGTCCCGAGGGCAACATCTGCCGGGTGTGCAAGGAGAACTTCTCCTCCAAAAGAGTGCTTATTGAACACTTGAAAATTCACGAGGAAGACCCCTACGTTTGCAAATACTGTGACTACACAACCGTGATGTTCGAGAATCTGAGCCAGCACGTAGCCGACACACACTTCAGCGACCACCTCTACTGGTGTGAGCAGTGTGACGCTCAGTTCTCTTCCAGCAGCGAGCTGTACCTTCACTTCCAGGAGCACAGCTGTGATGAGCAGTACCTGTGTCAGTTCTGTGAGCATGAAACCAGCGACCCAGAGGACTTGCACAGCCACGTGGTGAATGAGCATGCTGGCCGGCTGATAGAACTGAGTGATAGCCACAACAGCAGGCAGCAACAAGGCCAGTATAGCCTGGTCAACAAAATCAGCTTTGATAAGTGCAAGAACTTCTTTGTGTGCCAGGTGTGTGGCTTCCGCAGCAGACTTCACACGAATGTCAACCGGCATGTGGCGATTGAACACACCAAAATATTCCCACATGTTTGTGATGACTGTGGCAAGGGCTTTTCAGGCATGCTGGAATACTGTAAACATTTGAACACTCACATGTCTGAAGGGATTTATTTGTGTCAGTATTGTGAATATTCGACAGGGCAGATTGGCGATCTCAAAATTCACTTGGACTTCAGGCATTCGGCTGAGTTGCCACACAAGTGCACTGATTGCTTGATGAGGTTTAGCAATGAAAAAGACCTTTTAAGTCATCTTCAGATGCATGAAAATGTTTGATCATTGTGTGTGAGTGTATGTTTTCCTTCTAGCCTAGAATATTAGAATTTGAGACATAATCTCTGCAGACGCTTTCCTAAGTTCAAACTACAAATGAGTCTTCCCTTCTGTCACTGGAAGATTCGCCTTTAGCTGTAGCCCTAGTCCTAAGCTGGTCCTTCCTATATTCAATAATAAACCTTGACACCAGTGGAACCCAGTGCATTGCATTGATGATGCACCAGTAGCATGGGGTAGCATGGGCTGGTTGCAGACCTCGACTCACCAGCTTTTTGTGTATGCACCTGTGTTAAGTACTTTCAACTCATTGTGTAAATTGTTCAAAAACTGTCCAGTGCATTTGTTAGAACTTAGGTACAGTAGATTGTTTCATCTTCGTACATTTTGGATTTGTTGACTTAAGGGAAACTATTAGAAATTAAATGCCTCAACATTGTGAGCCGCCCCGAGGCTTCGGCGAATGGGGCGGCATAGAAATGTTTTAATAAACAAACAAACAGCTGTTGAGTTTCTGGGATAGAAGGAGTTGTATATGCCACCAAACCCCTTAATGCATAACAGTGTGTACAATTCATGTCTGAAGATGATGTAGCCTGAACTCCTTTTGTACCAAAGGATGGAAATAAACATAAATATTCAGATAAAACTGTACATGATTTGTGTCTATATTACAATTTTAAAGTAAACATGAATGGTCATACAGGGTATTTTCTCCCTCCTTTTTAAGTCGCACATGGTTCAGCCTTGTATTGGTAAGGGATGTGGAATCTATAGTTTTGAAATAGATTCAAAATGTGTCATTTACCTGGGGGTAAAGAGGGAGAGTGAATGTTTAGACTTTGGTAACAGGGAATCTGCATGGCTACATTCATTGGCAGTTATACATCAGTTTCAGCCAGAAAAGTTTCAAGAATTCATGTTTCTGAATGGAAGAAAATACTTGTAGGACTTCCAGGTATTGCAGTTTAAGGGCTAACATGAAAGTGCACCTTTATCATTTTCACCATGGAGATATCAGTAAGATTGAAAAATAGCCTCTGTGCAAGGCCGGACTTTGCAACGTTTATGCTCTTTTGCCATTAGTTTTACCAGCCCCTCCTAATGAGTACCATACTTAAATAGCTAAGTCTATCTGATGCACATTTTAGCTTTTTCCAGATGCCTAGTCCCTGCTTGACTAATTACCAAGCTTAAGAATCATGCCTTCTCCATTTTATAATTTGAATTGTCTCCATGTTCCCAAGGCCTGCTATGTATATATTCTACTACAAAAGAGCAGTATTGGATCAGTCCATCTAGTCCAACCATCTCTTCACAGAGTGGCCAACCAGCTAGCTGCCTGAAGGAAATCTACAGATGTGATACAACTGTAATAGCACCCTTCTCCCTAGCAAATGCTACATATAGACAGAAAGTCATGATAACTTTATCCTTTCTGCATTTGTGCATTTCCCTTTTTTAAGCCATTCAAATTGTGTCTTAATGTTGTCTTTCTTCACATTCTCCAACATGTTTGTCAAACTTGTTTTCATAGAATAGAGTTGTTACTTTGTATTTGGCTAACAGTGCAATCCTATATGCAAGAGTCTCTTAACTTTCAGTAGTACCACACTATAGGAAAAAGCTGCAATGAAACAATTGTGCTTGCTTCTGAATAGTGCTGTGCTGTAGAGAAGCATGCAGTCAGACTCCAGGGCATATATATTCAGAATTCCTGTTGATGTTACTCCACTGGTATTTAGGTTTCAGCCAGCCTGAGGCTCAGAGGTGGTGTTGGCAGGTGTCCCTGTAAGCCTGGAGCCCCGAATCTTTCATTTGGAGCCCTGAAGTTCTGGAAGGCCTTTGACCCCTGCCACTTGCTGAAATAAAACAACAAGAACAGTGATTATCTCTGATCAGATCTTCCTGGATTAGATGACTTTCGACCCACATGGGCTTTACTGCTGGGTACTCCCTCCTTGAATGTTTCTGCCTGAGGATTGTATCTGAAATCAAATGCCCTCTTCCCCCTTCTTCAATATCCGTGTTTACAAATGGGTATTTTTAGGAGACAGGGACTTTTAAAGACACCAAGAAAGACTTAAGAGCATAGGTAAATTAGCATATTCAAACTTGTGCTTTTTCTCTCTTGAAGCTTCTCATCTTTTCAATATCAAGTACTGCCCCTGCTGAAGTCACAATCCTATGCATGCTTAATTAGAAATCGGCCCAAATACATAAAATATTGAGTGCTGGGTGGAGGCTGAAATAGGTCCTCCCCCATCCCGTAGTATATACTGCTTACGCTCCTTCTTAACCCTAACCTTGCCCCACATATGGCGGTCGGAGGTCAACTGACAACCTGAAGTGTCACGTGTATCTTTTTTTCCCCTTTTTTATCTCTATACAAAGACAAAACCGAAGGCGTTTTCTACGCCTATGACTGCAGCCGCCTGGGAAGGAGTAGGACCATCAGCGTCGGCGCACGCGCGAGCGGAGCAACGGGCGTCTGAAGCCGTGCCCTGGCCAAAGATGGCGACACGCATGGCGGTGGGAGGAAAATGGTAGAAGGAGGCGGAAGTGCGCTCCGCCTTCGCGTGGTTGGCTGAGCGGGGGAGGCGGAGGCCGCTCTGAGGCGGAGGGGAGGTGTGGACGAGCCCCGCGGAGGCTGCCAGGTAAGGCAGGCGGAGGCTCGGCCCCTCTCTCACTTAGCCCTCTGGGGCTCTCAGTTGGGGGGGGGGGTTACTTCTTGACATGGAGGCAAGCCAAACGAGGCAGGGGCGCTTGTGCCGCATCAGAAGGCGGCGGGGCTCTGGGAGGTTACGCAAGGCCAGGTCGCGTGTCTCGGTCTGGGCTGGGGCTGTGATGAGGCTGGCTCTGTACAGCGCCGGGCGTCTAGTTTGCACCCCGCTCGGTTCAGTTTTTGGGAAAGAGCTTTTTTTAAAGTAGCGGCCATAATAATTTAGAGCGCAGTCCTGTGCTTGCTTAAACTGAGGAGAAAGCTGTACAAGTCCCGGGTTTTTTCCTGTGAGTCTGATTGTTGTGGGGCTTTCCCCCGCGCGTAAACGTGCATAGGATTGTGTCCTAAATTATGGCTACTATGTTTTAAACGCTCTACAGCGCAACTGGTTGGGGGAATCCTGGGAACTGCAGGGCTTTTTACCTGCCTTAACATGCACAAGAATGTGTGCCCTAGTTACAGAAGAAGCTTACTGGATGTCTAGGGGTGTCACAGCCCCATCTTTGCTGGAAAAGAGTGGCTGAAAGTGGTAATTCCCAAGCAGGGAACCTTGTCCTTTGTATAAAAAGTTGTTTTTTCTACAATTCATAACTCCCATTAAATAAATTAAATACAGAAAAAGTGGCTGTACAACAGTTAAGTTAGCTCACTTTTGTGGGCAGAGCAGTCCGGACCAGATGTGTTGCCAAACGGCTTTCTTTTTTCTTTTTTAATCTCTTCTGGGAAGTCTACTTTGGAAAGGTCACTGCCTTAAAAAATAGCAATGTGAAACTTGTGTTTTGACTTTGAGGAAGAAGGTTGAATGAAGCTGCTAAACTGGTATTCATAAGCAATTTGACACTATCAGACTTAGGAGAAACTATCTAGTTCCCTCCAGAAAATAATTCTAACTTTACATCAGCCTTCCCCAAGGTTGTGCTGGAGATATGCTGGACTGCAAATCCCATCACTGGTTACAAGGGGCACTGGGTTAAAGAATGCTGTTCATCTTTCCTTGCTAGTTTCTTTGCGAGTTTGATGAGCTCATGTCTCTTATGAAAGCTCTCTTACTCCTGTTGTTCTTGTTCTGAACTGGAACTTAACATGATGCACCGCTAGGGGTTCTGCCCTTGCTTTGATCACAGACACACCTGCCAATTGAGGGTAGCAATTAATGCACCTGAGCAAGAGTTCTCTGGCCTGTAAAACTGTGTGCCCTGTACATGTGGTATTTTTTAAAGATGCAACAGGATTGTCTGCTATTTGAATTTGCTCATTAAGCAAAAGAAAAGTAGGCTGCTTAAACGACGCAGCTTAATAAGTCAGCTTTAAAAGGCAGACTGTAATTGCCCAACAAGACCTGGCAAACATTGTTTTATACCTGACAAAATGTAAATTCCATATATTGCATAGAGCTGCCTTTGCCAGCAACCAAGAGTAACGTACACGCCCAGTGTGGAAGATCAGGAGAAGGACTGAGATTACTGGGTGCTACCTGCTGCACTTGTTTGGTTTGGTTTCCTCACTGCCTTACCTGGTCACTTTTTACAGAATAGTTCATTTCAGTTTGCATTCAATACACTTACACTTAAAGTGCAATGCTATGCATATGTAGACTGAAAGGCTGCCTACAATTCCCAGGCTGGGACTTGTCTTCTGTCTAAACATGCATGGGATCGTGTCCTTAACTTAGAACTTGCATGGCTGGGAGAAAAATACAAGTCCATACTATGGCCACCCAGCCCTTTCGAGAAATGTCTCTGAACCAAGGTTATACCCAGGACACTGTAGATTCCTGAATCTGCATTTATAGATGCTAAGTAGGTACTATAGAAACCACCTGAAGGCTGCTTTTCCCAGACTATTGATTTAGTCAATTTAAATTTCCCCCTCTAGTTGTTCAACCCTCACAAAAATACCTCTTGCAGTGTAGGTGGGCCTTATTACCTCCCTGCCTTATACCTAAGCCCTGTTTAAGAATTACTCTTAGGATCCTGATAAGTGTCTTTAATTCGCTAGTTCGATATTCTTTTGTATTTTAAAAAAGTGCCTGAATGTTTCTGTGCAAAAATCAAAAGTGACTGTGTTGCTATAAGCACAATTCCAAAATCCACGTAGTGTAATGCCTGTATTTCTGCTCTTCTGCCTGATTAATAAATATATGCATTGAAATCTGACACTAGTTCTTTGCTTTGTTTGAAGGATGACATGGGACTCTTTGGTAAAACACACGGATCTATTTTTAAGAAGTGTAAAGGAAGCTCTGGAAAAAAAAGCCATTTGTTCTGCATATATAAATTCATGAGTCTGGATTCATACATGTCCAAGTTGTGGTTATTCGATCTTTCAAAAGACTTACTAATACCTCCAATGGGTGTTGGAGGACTAGCTCTGAGTAATGTAGCCAAATGGCATTTCTTCCATGTTGAATTGTTCCATCATAGCATTTTCAAAGTAAGAAAATTCAGAAGAGGTTTACAATTGCTGCATTCTGTGTTGTACTGACAGAGTTAGCTTAAGCTAATTGTCCGTGGGAGATCCTCCTCCGATATTGCCTTCAATATTGCCCAGTAAGTATTCCTTAGGAGTTTCTTTGCTCCATTACCATCACCATCCTCTTCTACTGACATGAATGGCATTCCTTACGAAATTGGATTCATCTTAGCCAGGTGTCTCGGCCTTCCCCATTCTGCATTGGGTGACCCTGCTGGGTGACCTAGTGAGAGAGCCTGGCCTTCTGGCGATACTGATTTCACCTTCTCTGGACCCCCAAGCCCCCTCACCATGCCCGGGTGTGCATCCAGGATCACCATAATTTGGAGGCAACCGGATGGCACAGAGCAACGCAGCCTGTCCTATCTCAAAGGGCTGGAGGCAAAGACACCCTGGCTGGTTGTAGTTGCCTAATCTTTCAAGGCATCTTGCATAAATAAAATATTGTTTGAGGATCTAAACTGAAGGAAAAGGGTACTGCTAAGATATTGAGAGTGAGTAGCGTGGTTAGAATGTTGGACTGAGGACTTGGGAAATCCCAGTTCTCTCTCCCGCCCTTGTCCATGAAGCTTACTGAGTGACTAGGTGAGTCCTGGACCATCAGTCCAGCCTGCCTCACTGAGAGGCTAAAAATGGAGCATGTAAGCAGCCTAGGGTTCCTCAGACAAGGCAGGATATAAATGCAAATAACAATGCTATTATAAGAGAATTATCTGTTACCATGAGGAGGACACTAGACACTTTTATAACTTCTTTTATATTGTTTATATTTTTTTTTATTTATTTTATATTATTAATTTTAATTTTATATTGTTATTTTTGTATTGTATTTTATTGTGTTGTAAGCCACCCCGAGGCTTCGGCAAGGGGCGGCATAGAAATGTTCTAATAACAACAACAACAACAACAACTAGAGAACTGTGATTAAGACAGGCATGTCATCTTGGCAAACACCACTGACTTTTGATTTATGAGGCAGAATTTGCATTTGGAATATTGCTGACTGTGCATAAGTGATCTTATTTGATTGATAAATATGGATAAATACAAATACAGTTTTGTCTTCAATTTTATTAAAGTTCATAGTATAGTTTAACACTTTAGCTATATTTTACCATATCTCAGTTCTCATTCTACAAATGTGAATAGTTTTGTAAATAACTATCCAGTACCTTTCAGAGTTGTATGGGTAAGCCACAAAAATAAGTTTACTCTGGAACATCTTACGGATTGTGAAATCATGTGAAATTTTTTGAACCCTGACACAAAGATTACCCAAGGTCAACAAGCTTTAATATCAGCATTCCACTCTTAATTATGAAGAGTGTATGTGTTTCACAGTGTGTTTGTTTCAAAGAACTCAAGGCAGCTTACATAATCTTCCTCCTCTCCATGTTATCTTTGCAGCCACCCTGTGTTAAGCTGAGAGTCTGCGACCCAATCAGCTCTCTGGCCAAGTGGGGACTGGAACCTGGATCTTTCAGATCCCAGGCCAGCTCTAACCACTACACTACAAGGTATGGGCTTCTCCACCATAGATGAGGATGATGCTATTGGAAATGTGCTTGGGTACTTATTGCATGGAAATTCAGTCTTCTGTAAAGGTACAGAGTTCCAGATAACCCTCACTAAAGATCTCTCTGTGGCATTTTAAATGACTGTGGACACTGCTCAGTAGTTGAATATTTTTGAAACCTATTTACTCAAGAGTATGTGAATGCATTTCTTGCAGTAAACACCACTGGGAAGGGCAACAGCTGTCTGAGCTTTTTATCCCTTGCTGTCACTAGCTCTTGGAGGATGGCATCTTGAATACTCTTGTACAGAGTGCAAAGCGTTGTGGGATATTTATAATTCCTTTTCTTGGTGAAAGGCACCTGCCCACTCAAACTTCCTCCCTTGTTGGGGGAATAAATTCATATTGCAAAGAACATAAATAATGCATTACCATAGTTAATAAATGTGTTTTGGCTTGATTAAATTTGGACATTTCAGTGATTACGTCCTGTGCAATCTACTTTTTCAGTTGTATAATGGCAGACATTAACCCCTCCCCACTGAAACACTTTGTGCTGGCCAAGAAGAAGATTACCACCGTATTTGAAGAGCTGCTGGACTACGTTACCGAAGGAGCAAATTTTGTGGAAGGTTGGTTTTGATCCGAGGCTTACGGGCAGGGAAAACGTAGTTTGAGAGCAAAGCAAGAAAGCAATGCGAATCGTAGTATCTCAGTCATGGCAGTGACTCAGTAATACCAATGTTTAACTCAATAAATAATGTTTAACCATAATCAGATGATAGCAGGTTTGCTTAGGCACTGGAAGATCCATGGCCTGCTGTCAGTTTGTCTGGGTTGAGTATGACAGAATAAGTGTTGATGTGGGTCATTTGAGATGAGCAGGTTGCCAAGATTTTTATTGTGGGATCATTATACATCCCAGCGCTAGAAAATGGCCCATCAGGTTGTTTTTCCCTCCCATATGTGCTGCTAGATCTCCTGGACTTTTCTACGTGCTTTTCTTTCCTTAATTCCAGTAGCTGAACTGCTCTGCAGAGCTTGCACCCTGCAGGCTGCCACAAGGTAGTTGCTCCAGTAAGGCTGGACTGTTCTGGGCAAACTCGGACTATGAAACTAAGCAGACTCCGATGACAAAAGCAAACGATGCCGGATAAATTAAGAGTGCAACCCGATGCCACACTGACTGACATTTTTGGAAGAAAGGCTTGCTACAAAATAAAATAAAATAGCAAAGCAAAGCAAAGCAAACTTAATGTGATTTAAATGTTGTATTGGATAGACATGTTTCCTGGAAGGCTTGTACAGATAGTAGCATCCACTGCTTCACACTGAGTAGGAAATAAAGAACCAAAGATGCTGAAAGATGTTGCCATGGTATTTCAGCCATCCCCAATGTGGTACCTTCCAGATACACTGGACTGTGTCTAGCATTCTTAAGCAGCATGACTGGCTGAGGAGCAGTTCAGCACATCTGGAGGACACCAGATTGGCAGAAGGCTGCACTGATTTTAGCAGTCTGAGAGCTAAACTTGATATGCTATAACCACTCGTTTTCTTTCTTTCTTTATTGTATTTACTTCCTGCCTTTTTTCCTTCTGAGGAGCTCAAGGTGGCTTACATAATTCTCCTCTTCTCACTTTTACCCTCACAACAACCACCCTGTGAGGTGGGTTGTGTGGAGAGTCTGTGACTGGCCCAAAGTTACTCAGTGAGCTCCATGGGGACTAGAACCTGGATCACCTGAGTTCCAGTCCTACCCTCTTAACTACTACACTGTACAGGTTCTCAAGCACTCGTCTGTTTCAACAGAGTTCACCTCTCTTCTGCTGAAGTATTTGGGGCATCTCTAGCTTTGCTGTCACAACATATTAGTTTCATTTCTCACTAATGCATACATGCATTTCAATGCCATTTATGTCTCCTCTCACATACTTGTCATTATATGTTTTTCGGCGCCAGATTTTTAAGACCTTTTAATCAATATTTTAATAAGTTTTAATATCAAATTTTATTATTGTATTTTATCAGTTGCAGCCAGAGTGGGTTGTCAATTTATTTATACTGTTAGCCATCCAGAGACGTTAGTCATTGGATGGCATACGCTTTTTATAAATAAATAAATAAATAAATAAAATAATCACTCCAAATCTATTAATACACCCTTGAATCCAGTCGAGCTCACATAATACTATATTCATGTATTTAAAACATTTGTATGGTACCCAGTTGTGCCATAGCACCTTTGGGCGGCTCACCATATCAGCCCCTGATTTCCATTAATTGACTTGCTTGGCCCATCCTGCTGCAATTTCTTAGTTGTTCGACCCCAGAATTGTTGAGGTTGAGCAAAGTGGTCACACAAACTTCCCATTTCCACTTCAGTTAACAGCCTAGGAGCACCCCATTCCTGTGTAGCTTTGTTGTGTGCAAAATACGTAGGTTATGGATTAAACAGCCCAGGGTTAACCCAGTGATTGCCCAAGGTTTGTTGTTGGAACAAGGCGTTCCTGGGTTCTCAATGCGAAGGGCAAACAATGAATGCTTGGGAACCGGTGCACTCATTATTTCATCACTGGCAATTTCTGCAATAAACAACCCGTAAATCACAACACGCTAGGTGACCTGCAGCATTGTTACCATTGAATATATGAAACAGAATAATTTCTGCTCCATATCATTGGTCGTTAACTCTCTGAACTGGCTACTTCTGTAATTTTGTAATGGGTGTGCAGATATGGTCCTTTGTTGTATTTGCCCATGTGCATCTCTGACTGAGTGGGTCAAGGTCTGTGCAGAACTAGGTCACCAGGTTGCCAGCAATGAGTCTTAGAAATCATGTGGCAGGAGAGTCAAAGGGCAAGTGGGCTTCCTGGGCTGAAGAACTCCATTATGCTGGGCTGCTTCGCCCCAGCAAGTTCGGAAGGCTCTACTGTAGTTAGTTGTCTGTTGTTAAATCTCTGTGTAATTTGTCCCTTCTGATGACAGAAACTTACAAAAATCCAGAACTGGAACACATAGCCACCAAGGATGAACTGCTGGAAATACAGGCATACAAAAACAAGTTGGCGATCATTGGAGAGGTCCTAGCACGACGGCACATGAAAGTTGCTTTTTTTGGCAGGTAAGGAATGGCATTTCGTGGGAACAAATGGCGTGGTTTGCACAAGCATGTCACCGCAGCTTCTTGCAGGCACTGGACGTGATGGATGTGTGCCAGCCAGATTTCTCTGCTACCCACGCCTGGCCAACATGGCTTGTTTGGGGTGGGCAGCAGCTCTCAGAGAACCCCACATCAGCCAATGGATTTTTTGAGGGTTGCTGCCCACCCCCACATGCTCCATGGAGAAATTTGGCCATCATGCACAGTGGCTGGGACAAGGTGCAGTGGCTTCTATCAGCCCCCTTGCACTGGTCTAATGTGTACTATTTGGGTACAATTTCATAGGCACCTCTTGACTTTTGGATTGAATGGTGCTAAGAAACTCACATGAGGTTGATGATACTTAGCATTTCTCCAGTGCTTGGCAACCATATGAGACAGGTCAGTCTCCTTGTCGCCTTGCTTCATGTGGAGATTGTGGGTTGCCCAATCAGAGCATTGCTGGATTTTGTTTTGAGTGTCCCTCCTCCTCTTTCCCTCCCCACCTCACCCCACTGCCTGCCTTTGAGCAGTGGGGTGAGCCTCACTCTTAGCTGTCCCTCTTTGGCCAAGAAGGGATGCGCTAGTGGGGAAAAGATAACATTTTGCGTGAGCTCTGCTGTTCCACTAGTTCAAAACAAGGGTTCCATCAACCCACCTCTGACACCTGGTTCCACAAATGGTCACGTATCTCGAACGATCTGGGAGAACAAAAGCAAAGTGAACCGAATTGGAATTACCCCAGGGTTGGAGATTGTCCGAGTAAAGTCCCAGAAACAAGGCTGTATATGCGGAATGATTTCTCCAGAGTGTAAAAGAAAAACACCATTTGCTATTTATATAGTTCAGCTTCCAGAAATAGCTTTAATTTGAAAATAAAATAACCTTTCCATCTTTTTTTTTTTGAAACTATGCTTGACATGTGGGTAGGAAATGCAGATACCTGTCTCCACCCACTTGGCTTCTGTGGAGAGTTTCATTTTCATCTGAGTAGAGCTCTGCCATGCCACTAAATGCCTTGCCAGAGTTCCAGTGATCAAAAATCCTGAAAAGGCAGCATTTGTGATCCCAGGAACTCTGAAATCACACCCAGCTGAGTGCATTTCTGGAGCCCTCTTTAGATCTTTAGGAGCAGCACATGAAGCCAGTCATGCAGAACCCCAAAGGCAGAACTTGCGCACATGTCTCCGTATGCAGCTTAGCCCTACACGCAAGCAGGGCACCTGCACAGCACTCAAGTGTATAGACAAGACCTGCAGAAATCTCCAAAGACTGATCAGCATTACCCCAGTAAACTTTGCCAATCATAGCATTGTGGAGCAATGCAAAATAAGAGAAATCATGCAAAGGTTTGGTTTAAACTGGCCTTGAAATCTGTGGGTCAGATTATTCAGCGATTCTCGGTTTGCGATTTTGGATTCTGGGATTTCCCAAGTTTGGGAGGGAGCTGCTCAAGGGGGTCTTAGCAGTGAGTGTGCACATGGCTGCCTAAAATTGCAAGATGAAGAGATGTGTGAACACTGTCACCCTGTTCCCCCTCCAGAACCAGCAGTGGCAAGAGCTCAGTCATCAATGCAATGCTATGGGACAAAGTCCTCCCGAGTGGCATGGGGCACACAACCAACTGCTTCCTTAGTGTGGAAGGCACTGATGGTGATAAGGCTTATCTCATGACCGAAGGCTCGGATGAAAAGAAGAGCGTCAAGGTATGAAGGTCTCTCAGCTCGTAAGCGGGTGTCTAGGAACTTTATCCACCCACAAGAACATCCGCAACGTATGTTTAAATAATTTTCAAAGGCTGGCATGCAGGGCTGTACAGATACTCTCTGCAGAGCAGAATAATGAGTCTGGGAATAGACTTTTAACTAGAAATGGTAGAAGACAGACAACCAGGAGGGCTGGATTTACACTTCTTTAGAAAGCACAAATTTTGTTGCAGAAAAATTATGCAAATATGTTTACATCTTGGATAATTTAGGTGAATTCCCTTGCTTCTCCTTAAATTTCTGTTTCTCAAATAGGGAAAGGGACCACAGAAGGAAAGTAGTAGCGTATAGAACAGTTGAGAAAAACGGGTTTCAGAAAGCTAGGAGATCAGAATTGGTGGAAGCAGGTTGCTGATTAGCAAAATACCTCCAATTTTCAGAACTTTTAAAGGTGAAAGCTGAGGAGAAACCTACTGATTCTCTGCTGAAGGGCAGAATTCCACACTTCATAATATACAGGAAAGCTGGAGTTGGCAGAAGATAATTGATGAATTATTGGGAGGCAGTTGCATGATTTTCAGTAGACTGGCAATGACTTTTGATTCCTCATCGTTTAACAGTAGTGGGAGTAGAATGACTGCTTACCTGCCCTCAATTATACTTCTGAAATGAGAAAGCTTGGGGTAACCAGAAGTGATTTTTGTGCACATGGAAGAACTGTCAGCTCTGTTTGGTTCTGGCACTGAAAACTCATTCCTGGGTTTTCTTTTCCAGGGTCTAGGTGGCAAATACTGGGTTTATAATTTTTAAAAAATCCCACCTGTCATAAGGCTACCCACCCCTGCCTTAAAGGCTTTGGAGGTACAGGTTAATAAAGAGCAGGTCTCTTTAAATGATCGCACCACTTCAGCAGGTATTGACCTTCCTTGAATATGTCAACTTCTCTGCAGACGGTTAACCAACTCGCACATGCCCTCCACATGGATAAAGACTTGCAGGCTGGCTGTCTGGTGCATGTTTTTTGGCCCAAGGCCAAGTGTGCCCTTCTGAGAGACGACTTGGTGTTAGTGGACAGGTATTGCTGTTTATGTTTTGTATGAAGTCACCACGAGGCTTTTAAATGTCATTTCTCTCCTGGCAGTGCTTTCCTCTTTAATCACTAATCCGTGGCATGCAGGTTGGCTTGGCTACAGCTGGAACAAGAAGCAGTCCCATGATTGTGTTTGAAAAGAGAATCTGGCACTTGGCTGCATTTTAAATCTATGCTTGCACAACAAAAGAAAGTACAGTGTGGGAATGCACCCTGCAGTCACATCTGTTTTAAAATGCAGAGGTCCTCCCAGATGGATCAGGAAGAAGGACTTTCTGAGAGTTAGGAGGAAAAAGTTTGTAAAAGAGTGTCAAAATGTTGTCATTGACACCATATAGTCTAGCATATTGGTTATGGCATAACCTGCCTGGCCTTACAGTCCTCCTGGCATTGATCATTTCACCTCAATAGAGACTGGAATATTACATTGTAATAGGGTGCCTTATATTTTATTAGTGATTTTTAGCGTGCCGTTTATTCTGTAAAATATTTTTGGCTGGAAAAGTAACTAGAAACGTGACATGATGCATTTGCCACTTGCAAGGAGTGATTTAGAACGATGCTAGGCACAGGTATGAGTACAGATTTGGAAAAGTTTTACACAGATGGGCCCAAATATCTAGGGCAGGGCTAGGCAACCTGTAGTCCCCCACATGGCTTGACCTACAGCTCTTGTTTTCTGCACAAGTCTTTACTTCTGTAGTTGCCCAGAGAATCTGAAATCACAGCACATTGTGATGAAACGGAGTTGTATTCAGTCAGGTTGTGATGTCCCTGGGTCTGAGCTGAGTTCATACAGCAAAGGTGAAAGCTATGTGTCCCATCTTCACACACTGGGCTGTGTACAGACATCGAGGCTGTGTGCGTACAAATGGACCTTTTGTCCAAACAGACAGTCACTATGTGAGCTGGCAAACAAGTGAGGAATTCTTAACCACAGATTCCTGTTTGATCCAAACCAGTAAGCCGTGGGAGAATGCCAAGACACTGAGCCAAGGTCAAACCAAGGTTTAATATCCTGGCTTCTTCCAAAGCTTTTAACCATTTTTCCCAGTTCAGAAGCAAACCAACTATAGTTAATGGAAAAGTTGCTGGTTTGTTTGCCAGCTTGTAGAAACAGAGGAAGAAGGGGGCTATGGGTGCTGCCAAAATTCATATTCCAGTGTTGGCTTATTAATTCAGAAGATCGTCTAAATTCCTTCCTGTGTGTGTTCATATTTCTAACTGGAAGAGCTCTGTCCTATTGCCGAGTAACTCTCTAATGTCGCTCTACAGCCCTGGCACTGATGTCACCACGGAGCTCGACAGCTGGATTGACAAATTCTGTCTGGATGCTGATGTCTTTGTTTTAGTTGCTAATTCAGAGTCAACCCTCATGAACACGGTAAGGCTTGCTGTTGTAAATGTCCTGTTTGCTAAAGCCCTCAGGTATCCCCAAAGGTCTAGCTTAGGATGGGCGACATCTAAATCAGGGCAGTGTTTGGCCCCCAAAGAAATCCTCTTTTCACGATTACATCACATCTGGAAGGAAATTACTGGGGTGTGAATGCATATCTCCGTCTTGTGATTAATGTGCCCAATTGAATTATAGGGCATGTATTCTAAGTGCTTCTGGCTCTTGCTAAATCTTGACCTCTGTACATCACTTAATGTTGGAATTCTCCTGGCAAGTTTGCTTTCTCATGTGTGTGTCATGACTCAGAGTTTTGACTTGCTAATTTCTAGACTTGAGCTTAATAAAGCAAGAATACCACATTCTGCCAGATATTGAAGAGAATGGCCTGCACATGCCCTGTGCCATTCAACTTTCCAGCAGTGGGTAAAAATTCCTTCCAATGCAAATGAAACATCATTGTCCTTTACATTTGTATGCTGCTTTTTTCCACCATGTGCTGAAAGCAGCTCATAATGCAGGAACAGCAGAACAAGAATGGATAACAGTCCATTCACTGCAATAGTACATCGTTATTGTGGCCACTCAAACAATTCATTTCACTAATACTAACATTATATTTTAAATTAATTACAAAATAAGGTTTATCAACCATTAAGACCCAGTATCAAATAAAAATAAGAGGCTCAAGCTGGCAGCAGTCTTCAGTAAACCACACGAGGCTGTAGTCTCCATAAATAAATTTGCCCTTAGAAATTTTACAGTTAGGTTTTTTTCAGAGAACTGGAAATGACTTCTCACTCAGTTGTGGTGTAAATGAGTGAGTACATGAGGCCCACTTTACAGAAGTCCATCTGTCTCACAGTTGGTCTTCCCTTTCGTCTTCTGCCCACGACTTTCCCTAACATGATGTCTTTTCCAGGGAGCCTTCCCTTCTCATGATGTGCTCAAAACATGACAGCCTCAGTTTTATCATTTTTGCTTCCAGGGAAAGCTCTGTCTTGATTTGATCCAGGGCCCACGTATAACAAGACATCTGTGTAACAGGAGTCCCAGCAGGAGACAGGGAAAATCAACCTATTAAGGTGGTTAATTTTAGGCAGTTCCCTGCCCATTCTCTGTTCCCAGCACATGCATTGGCTTGAAGTCTATACAGAAATAAGAAGACTGTAACCCTGATATAAGACAGCAACAAATCAGAACACCTAGCCATGGATGTACATCTTCTGCCTTGTCCCTATACATTTGTTATTCAAGACATTCATTCATTCATTCATTTCCTGGAAATGGCTCGAACAGCAAGCTGGCTTTGGCCGCCAGCTTGTCGCTTCGTTTCATCAATAGAGACAGATGGATTTTTAATTGACATACAAAGCCTCATTTTCCTTTTTCTTCCCACATATATCCAAGCCATGATGAAATTCTGGCTAAAATTCAGAGCAGGAAAGAGATTAACACAGGACCTTGTAATTTCACTAATGATTTCTGACTTTGCAGCATTGTTCGGCTACGCAAGCCCTCGAGTGAAGAGCTTGCCAGCCCCAATTTCCTGCCTTCCCTCGCATTTTTGTCATGAAATACAAACTGTACACTCTTGTTCAGTTTTTTTTTGGTCAATAAACGTCTTTATGATGTTGCCTTCACGTATTTGTATGCGGCTTTTCTGCTGAATCTCCAAAGAAGCTTTCTGTTAAAAATCGCCATGCCTAAGCAGACATTAGAATAGAATATTTTAATATAGCTGACAAATAAAAGAGGGACAGTTAGCAAACAGTAATCATATGAGGCTGTAGTCAACATAAATACATTTTGCCCATAGAAATGTTGCAGCCACTTTTCTCAGAGAACTGGAAATGACTTCTCATTCAGTTGTGGTGTAAATGAGTGAGTGCGAGTCTCACTTGACAGGTGTGTTTTCAGTGCTTGGATCTGCATGTTGTGCTAGGCCAGCCTGAACATAGTCCCCCGTGGGCTGATGGGTTGCTTGCTCACTAAACCAAGGTAAGATCTGGTGTGCTGGCCTTAACCATGGCTTGTTTCCTACCTTGGTCTTCCTGCTGGCTCTGGCATGTATCGCAGCGTCTTTCTGCAGTTGGCCCGCTGGGGTTGCCGGCTCTTGAGCAAAACTATTTCCGCATTGCATCAGATTGCCAAATGAAATCAGTTCTCTGGGCACATGGCAGTGCATTCAAAACTAGCTTTTATTTTATTTGGGGTGGGGAGGTTGTGCTCTTGGATAAGAGTTCAGGAGCACCTGTCTGCTATTTATCCGGGCATGCTAAGGTTCCTTTCTTCTCAGTGACCTTGTTAATTTCGTCCTCCATTTCCATGTTCCCCTTGTTAGCCAACACCTTTTTAAAAAAACAGTCTGGTTCACATGACACTGAATTTACATCTACACCTGAAATGACAGCCGCCCGCCATGTTCAGCCGTCCTTCCACCTGCTATTTGCTTGTTGCTCCCTTATCGCTGTTGCCAGCTGTCATGTATGCATCCATCAGGGTCACAGAGGAATAAATGTGATCACTAAATGTATAAAAATGTTATAGCAAAACAGTAAATGGAAAAGAAAACTTGCAAATTTTATGGCAGAGAGAGCCATAACATAGAGAGGAATACGGCACAGATCCCATAATACAGAAGTCAAATGGGGGCACATTTCATGGTGAAACTGTAAAAGGCAAGGAAAATTGAACAAATTTCAGGGCAGAGTAGCAAAATGGAGACTTTTACACACATTTCCTAGCAATGAATTTCACCGCTGCACTTGTGCAGGTCACTTCCATTGCCCTGTGCCTCAGTTTCCCCTTTGTGTGGCAAGGGTTGTTGCTTGCTGGAGGGTCGAAGGAATGCCTTGTCTCTGGGGACCCCATGGGCTTGGTCCACCAGACCCAGCTGGTTGGGTTTTTAGTTCACTTCCCCACCATAAGTGTCCCCTGAGTAGCCTATCAACTATCAATGCAAACAGGACATCCTGTCCACAGGATTGCAATCGAAAAGGTACAAGAGAGGTGGGCAGGAAACCGACTCAGGCACAATTCTTAAAGCAAAATGGCAGTTCCAAAACCAAATGGGAACAGTTCAGGTAGAGAAAGACCTCAGTGTAGCTGGTGTTTAGAATGGCCTTCTTCTAAACTCATAACTTTCTGCTAAAGGCAAATAAGGTTTTGCTTATTTCAGAGCTGACTGGATTTAAGAACCCAATCATGACCTTTCTAATGTCACTCTTTTTTTTTAATAGGAAAAACAGTTTTTTCACAAAGTAAACGAAAAACTTTCTAAACCAAACATCTTCATCCTGAATAATCGTTGGGATGCTTCTGCATCAGAGCCTGAATATATGGAGGATGTGAGTTATAGTTTTGAATTGTATCCAGCAGTGGAATGGTGGGACACGTATTTAAGAAAAATAAGTTATTTCAGATGTCAGTTGAGAAGCTGAAACAAGTTCAGAGATTTTTTTACTCTAGGGTAAGCCACATGTGAGGTGAGGAATGGTGAGGTGAAATGCCCTTAGGCATTTTTCCCACCTGTCCAATACCTGGCATGTGATCCTGAGTTTCTAATTTTAACAGTATAATGGAGACTCCAAAAGGTTGCACGAGATTTTATTTCCGACAACTAGAACTGATTTTTGACTTACCTGCATATGTGGCAAGCAAGCTTCAAAAAAAAGTGTGCCATGTTCCTTCCTGGATGGGAATTTGACTGTCATCACATACCAGGGCAATTTAATAGCGTTGCTGTGTGAGCTAAAAGTTGAATAGTGCCACTTTTCTGTTTTGCAGTGTTTCACTCCCCCCCCCCTTCATTCATGCACTGGGGTACCCCCTTTTTTGCTCCTCCAAATTTCTGCAGATACCATTCTCAAGTTCTTTGTTGACCCATCAAGAGCCAAATAAATGGGATTGGGGAACCCTTTCTATGGAATTTCACGTTATAAAGAGTGCTGTTAAAAATGGCAGCCCAAAGTCAAATTCTCACTGTCTGTAAAGAAGGTGCCTACGAGGTGAAGGGCCTTTACAACTGGGGCACCCCAGCTGTGGAACCAGCCCCACGGGGGGAGCATCCTGCACCTACTCTTTATTCTTTTCAGCGTCAGCGGAAAACCTATTTATTTGCCCAGTATTTATTTATTTTAAATTTTTATATACTGTCTGTTACCAAGGTCCCAGGGTGGAGCACAACGTCCAAGATGAATTTCTAATAGTTAGCCTTTGTTCTTTATTTTTATACTGTTTTTTATCTGGTATTGTTGCTGGACCTCTGGACCAATTTGACTCTGACGGCTGTGGGCCTATTGTCCCTGGTTTATTTGGGGAGTATTGTTTCATTGTTGGTTTATTATATATATTTTTTATTTTTTGTTATATGCACTCTTTAACTTTGTGAACTGCTGAGATTGGGCAGTACAGCGCACCATGTGCTGATAACATTGCCTGGTGTGGGACATGCATCATGTGAGAACATCAGAAACGAAAAGCAAGTCCTGTTACATATGACAAAGGAAGCGCACCTGCCATTGGACACTGCTTGTCTTGTGTGGCTCTACTCACAGAGCCTGGGTCTGCTTGGCTCTAAATTTATTGGTCCTCTGATTTATTTATTTATGTATGTATTTATTTAGGGCATTTATAGGCCGTCCATCACTGTCATCTCTGGATGGCTTGCAGTGTAATGTAATGTAATATAGTATAGTCCTAAACAAAATAAATTGGCTATACCACGACTGAATATAAAAGTAACATAGTTAAAATAAGTTAAACAAATAAATGTACAATTAAAATCAATTAAAGTATTGGTCAAATAAAAAAAGTCTTGACCTGGCGCTGAAAAGCATGTAATGACGGCGCCAGGTGGACCTCTCTCGGGAGTGCATTCCATAGTCGGGGCGCCACCACAGAGAAGGCCCTCCTCCGAGTGCTCTGTCTCCTGACCTCTTTCAAAGAGGGTTCCCGGAGGAGGGCCTCTGCTGCCGATCTTAGGGGGCGGGAGGGCATATAGGGAAAAAGACGGGATGGAAGACTGATGCCATCTAGGTCTGCTGTCTCACTGCAGGTACGCAAGCAGCACATGGAACGCTGCCTGAGGTTTTTGGTAGACGAGCTCAAAGTTGTGGATCCAGCTGAAGCCCAGAACCGAATCTTCTTCATTTCAGCCAAGGAAGCTCTCAGCGCTAGGACACACAAAGCCCAGGGCATGCCTGAGGGAGGTGTGTATTAGATGTGGGATCTCCTTCCTGCAGTATAAAGAGTCCTCCTTTTTTTTTTTTTTTAGAATTCTTAAACTCGAAAAAGCAGGGATTTGGTGTGTGGCTTCTGTGAACTTAGGTTCAACAACTCTGTTTTGTGCCTCATAGGTGGTGCGCTCGCGGAGGGGTTTCAAACGCGGTTCCAAGAATTTCAGCATTTTGAAAAGATGTTTGAGGTAAACTTCCTGTCTAAACCAGTTTGACCTGTTTAAAAAAAATTGTACAATGGTGATAACTTTGTCATCAGAGTCCATTGAAATGTTATAGCCTCCATCTGCAGCCCATCTCAATAAGCACTTGCCTGTGGCAGAGTCACTCATGCAGTGTCTGAACAGGTAAGTTCTTGGTGGCATCCAGGTTGAGGCTGTAACATTTCAGTTCGTCTTTAAACACTGGATTGTTTGTTGACCATCATTTGCACATGAGCTGAGTTACAAGGCCTTTTTAAACCGCCTCCTGATCCACTGGGCCTGCTTGGGTGTTATGATGCACATGCAAAATCCAGAACTGTTCCCTAGGAGCATGGGTATTTCGAGCAGGCCCTGAGAGTTTAAATCCAAGGGGAGAAAAGCTTCTGCATTCAAAAACAGCAAGCTTTCTCCTTTAGTCATGCTCACTGCACTGATGGAAGCTGAGGGGGAAGCATACTTCCATGTCATCCAGCCAGGATAATAAAGACAAATATTCTTCGCATCATGAACAGGGGAGTGGAGTTGCTGGGAGGTAGAAGGGGAGATACAGTGGAAGGGTATTCTGGCTGTGTCAGTGGGTTTACGTTCTCCTGTAAACTTCCAGTGATGATGCAGGTAATATTTATTGAATTTTGCAAGAATGTTGCTTGAAACTGCTGTGCTTTTGCCAGTGTGGCCACTATTTATGCTTGAGCTGAAAGGCAACTGTTCGTACCTGGTCTCTTTGCACTGCACTTTACCTGCAGGAAGTCCCTGGATAAATGTTTGGCATCTCCATTTAAAAAGTCGTTGAATAGCAGAAAAACCGGAGTGGGGAAACACACGACCTGCCTGAGGTCATGGAAGGATCTTGCTGGTTGGAGTGCAGCAGCATTTCCCAACTGCTGCCCTGCAGTTGAGCTGGACTATGGCTCCAGCTGGGGAGTGCCAGGTCGGAAAAGGCTGCTGTTGAACATACTGGGCTGGAGAAGCCAATTATCTGCCTTCACACGGTCCCAGGTACGGCTTCTCCAGCCATGTTCCCCGAGATCCTTTTGACTGGAGATGCCAGCCATTGAACTCAAGACCACCTGCATTGCATTGCTCTGCCATAGAGTTGTTCGTTACAGGGAGCAGCCTCGGTGCAACACAGTCATCCTTATTTCCTGTAGCTTTGATGAGTGAATCACATACTCACAACTCGATCATTTCTGTCTCTTTTCTCCTGAGGTGTCACTAACTTTTCTACTTCTTTTAGTTTGTTACAGACTTTCTGGTTGTATAGTGTGTGGAGATGAGAACATAACCATTTGCCTTCTGTCTGTTTGCTTGTCTGGACTATGACCTCTCTACACCTCTTGTCTAGCTCTAACAATGTGCTCTTTTTATGTGAAATTCTTGCATTTTCATTGCTGATTTCTAGATCTGCTTCATCGAGGATCAAGTAACACCTTTATCTCTTTTCTTTTCTTTTCTTTTCTTTTTTTCCTTTCCTTTTTCGTTTGTTTGTTTGTTAAAGCAGAGTGGGGCTGTGACCTGGGTGCAGTAGAATGCAGTGAAGCTGGGCACAAGCTTTTTGTCAAATATGACAGCAGTAACAATTTTAGGAATCAGTTGCTTGTTGGAGTTAACTCTGAGCAATCTACTTTCCAAGGAAGTGCATTTGTGAATGCTGCTGCAGTCCTTCAGCAACTGTCTAGATTGATCTAAACTTTTATTACATTCCAATACCGCCCCAGAGCTGAAGCTCTCAGGGCTGTTCACAGAGAAATACATGTATTTATTTGCTCATGATATTTATATCCTGCCATTTTTCCTGCAAGGAACGCAAGGCAGCTTACATCCTTCTCCTCCTCTCCATTTTCTCACAACAACCCTGTGAGGTGGGTTAGGCTGAGAGTCAGGGACTGCTCTAAGGTCAGCCCGTGAGCTTCACAGCTGAGCAGGGAGCAGCACCTGGCTCTCCTGAGTCCCGGTCTTGCACTAAGTACTACCCAGCTCTCAGACTTCATTATAGCATCGTATTTTCGTATTTCTTGCATTTATATCCTACCCCACTTTCACCTGCTAGCCAGGGAGCTGCGGGCAGTCAGAGCACCTTCGCCGGTACTTTATGTGCAGTCGGCGCATTTCCACATTACATTTTTTGGCGTTGGCCTAAACCTGCCATGGGTGAAGCAGCTGTTAGTGAGAGAGTAGTCGGTCACAAAGGCCCGTTCTCTGGAATTTGGGATGAACAGTGAATGCCCACCATGTGTCTGTCGGCCATAACTTCTTGCCTTTGTAACTCTTTCTTTTGTCCTCTGCACATTACAGGACTCTCGTATTTGCTGCTCTCCAGTAGTGACTTTGTTTTCAGTCTGTCTTTGTTCCTTATACTTTGCAAATTTTGATTTAAGGTTTTTTCAGTGCTTTAGAATTTGTTGGCATAAGTAGCAGCAAACAGCTTTCTGACCTAGAAATTCCAGAGGTGTGTTGCTATTGGAATTGCTGTAATGTGTTGTGGCTTGGGCCCCTCGCAGGAGTGTATCTCGCAGTCAGCTGTGAAAACCAAGTTTGAGCAGCACACTATCAGAGCTAAACAGATCCTAGATACTGTGAAAAACATTATGGACAGCATAAACGTGGCGGCAGCCAATCAGAGGTAGGCCTCTCGTTTTATGTTCACCTTGCTTAGCTAAGCTGGAAAGAGCCGTGGGGTGGCACTGACCTTTCTTCCATTTATCAGGCGATATGCTATGCAGCCCTTAGCCCTCTCCTGGCAGGAGGTGAGTACAGGATTTCTCTGGTTCTTAGCCCCCTCGCATATGCGGAAAAGGAGGTTTTAGGCACTGTTTTTCACCCCTGCATGGCGCCTGAACACTCAAGGACATGCAGAAGGCATCCACATTGTCTCCAAGGCAGTGGTGTTTTGGCCTACCACTCCCATCAGCCCTAGTCTGCACAGTTAATGGTGAGAGATGGTGGGGGTGGTAGGCCAAAATATCTGGAGGGCCACAAGTTGCCCAGCTCTGCCCTAAAACAGTGTCCCCCAAAAGCTTGGCCACCAGCACCTGGGCTCACACGTGGCAGTCAGTGCTGGCACTGTGCTGCACTGAAGAGCAGCCTGTTTCCCTTCTGAGAGGTGAGCCAGGAAGAATTTTATTCCGATCTCACCTCTGCCATGAGCTTTTTAGCTGGCCATAGGTAAAGTCCTCTCTCCTTTTCTGTTTCCTCTTTTCCATCTGCAGCATGGTGGTAACACATTACAGGGTTATTCTGACTGTCAAAGGATATACATGTATAAAATATTTTAGCCCTGCTTTTTGTAGATTAGTCCTAAGACAGCTTGCCCTCAAAATACACAAATATAAGAGCTAGTGCAAAGCAGTGCATTAAACACTGGATGAAAGCCATTGAGGCTGCAAGGGGTGATCAAAATTTGCAATGATAGATAAAAGAAAAATGGCAAGCACTCCAGTACCATGAAAGGGCATGTGAAACACATGCCAAAAACAAGGGGAAACAGAGAAGCTTCATTTTTTGGTAAAGATGCCACAGGTGAAATATCGAATGTTTCATATATAACACGTGAATTATAAGAACATTCATCTTCAGTTGGATGTGTCAGGAACAGCACACAGGCCATGCCGTAATGCAAGGTGGGTATCACTAAAAGTTCTGCCACGTTTTTACTTGTGTGGAACTTGGTGTATGGTGCAGGTTGGAATTTTTCTCAGGGGAAGAGGACTAACGATGGAAGACAAGGTCCCTTTAATTTTAAACGTTACATAGAAGATGGAATGTATGTTGGGGACTGCTTTGGCAAGCAAGGGGCTGAAAATATGAACCTTTTCTGCCTGACTGCCAAAGATGAAGAATTCCCCCTGCCTCTTCCATTTCCTAAAGGTTTAGAGGAGGACCAGAAAGGGTCATACATGTTTAGAAAAATAAATGTAAATAAAAGCTGACACTTTGGGGCGGGGGGCAGTTAAGGTCTTGCGGACCATTGCTCCAGTTTATGTCCTTGACTACTGCAGAGCTGGTTCAAGAGCCAGGGAGAGGAAGCATCCTTGTGGCGTTCCACCACTGCATTTCTGGGGTATTCAGTACCTGCAGACTGATGGCTGCGTTTGCATTACCTTAGAGTCCATTCAATGGAGGAGCGAGAGGATCAGAAGGACAGGCTGGAGTTTGTTCGAAACCAGCTCAACCTTTTGACAGAGGACATTAAGAGGAAAATCAAGGAAGTTACTGAGGAGGTGGAGAACAAGGTAGGTTGTGGCATCGCAGGCGAGCGTCTCGGAGCATTCTGCTCACGGTTCCCATCTCAGTTCACCGGCTTCTGCTCTACAGCCAGAATGCCTGTTGCACCTTCCTTGATGTCACGAATGCTTAATAATGGCTGACATTAGGTGGCCTTTTGGGGTTGACATTAATGTGGCCCTTTGGGGACTTAAAATGTTCCTGGTGCTAGAATTCCTACTGATTCTGGTGGAGTCCATAAGAGCTTGACAGAATTAGAAATGTCATTTGTGAGCTGGGATTGCCAGCTCACAAATTAGAGTCGCAATTAGAGACACCCTCCATCCATCCATAATATGGGACTATAAGAGACCCACTGTGCAGCCTTTCAAAGATGGTGGCGGTTACAGCTCTTGTGGTTCCTTTACTGCATGCTTGGAAGTCCCTGACTCAGTTCCTCACATATCCAGTCAGATACCTCTGCAGAGCATAGCTATAGGTTGCAGCTGCTCCTGAAAGGGGACTAGATAGAGGATCATCAGTTTGGCTCTGGATAAATCAGATTCGTATATTCAGGATGATTTGGACAATGTATGTGGAGGACTATAAGCAATTATAGTGAGTCCTTTTAAATCCCAAGCATACTGCATTGAGAGACAAAGACCTAACAATCCCCCAAAGCATCACCTTGGAAAAAATGCTCATGCGTATTCTCCTCAAAGCCCCCTTGCACTGCTCTTTTCATCCACTGCATTTCTCACTTTCCAGGTTTCTTCTGCCCTGACAGATGAAATTTGTCGGCTTTCTGTTTTGGTAGATGAGTTTAGCGCCGATTTTCACCCATCTCCGCATGTTTTGAAAGTATATAAAAGCGTAAGTTCTGCCATAGGTTGGAGTTTGTATTGTCCCTTTGTTTTCATAGGCTCCCAGGCTTTATTTGTTCCTGTGATCTCTTCTTGTGTTACTTGAACATCAGTTAAAACATCTCTTATCACTGATTTCTGTGGTTTGAATACGTGGAATCCAGGCCAGTCAGAGTCTCCCATGGTCTTTGTACCTTACCCACTTGGTCAGGGAGAGGCTGCTAATTTCAGCGGCTTGTATACAACCAGCAATTCATTTTAATTAATTATGTATTATTATGTATTATTAAATTATTTGTTTACTATTAATATAAATATTATTGAGTCTCTCTATTGCAACCAGATACAGTCTGAGTTGCCGGGAGCTGAAAAGTTCTCAGCCTGACCAAGAAAACAACAACGCAAACAAAATGAAGAGAAAAGAAACCAAAACAGAACAAGCTAGCAATGCAAAAACAAGCATAAACAAAATATATGAAGCAAAACTGGTCCAGACTGAAAATTTTTCAGCATTTCTTCACATGTACTGTGGAATGGACTGCGGGAGAGAGATGTCTTATAATCTCCCGGATTGTTACCTTTGAGAGGGAGTTAAAAACATACATTCTCCATCAGGCTTTCCCAGGTTAGCTTCCAGATTTCTTTTATTTAATATGCTTGTTTTTAATCCATTTTAATAACTTCTGGCTTTAATCTCTTGTACACTACCCAGAGCCTATAAGAATGGGGCGGTATATAAAAATTAAATGATTATGATGAATAAATACTAGTCATAAGGTTTTTGAAATGTAGGCATGGGACTCATTGCATTAGGACTATTGTATCAATACAATGAATTGTCTGCTGTGTGCTTTTGAGTAGCACTGTGTCCATTTTACATAGTTTAACATGCTGCAACTAAGCTGCCTGCTTGAAATTTGAGGATGCTTGAAATCCATGCTGCAGCCCAGCATGTCATTTAACGGCAGCGCATTTCAAGGGTGCAAACAAGAGAGAGGACAGGAGGAGGCAATGCCACATTTTCTTCCTCTAGTTCAGGGGTCCTCAACCTTTTGAATAGGGGGTCCGTGGAAAGGGGCCAGGGATGGGCGCAGGCCGCCAAGGTGGTGCAGGCAGGGGGCACGGGCCGGGCACTGGGGGAGGGGGCACGCGTGCGCCATGCAGAAAGGCGGGGGCACGCGTGCGCAGAGATCGTTTTCTCCCAATGAGTCCAAAATGATCTTGCGAGCAAGCCGGCATGGCACGGTGGGCCAGTCCGGCCCGTGGGCCCTAGTTTGAGGGCCTACGCTCTAGTGGCAAAGGAGGGTGGCGCATTTGGGAGGCTCTCCCCCAGGTGAAAGCCCCCCCCCCCCGGATTTGTCGATGGAAAGGTTAGGAGATGAGTGGCAGGCAGGGCATGAACAATACCTTGTGTGCACAGCTGTTCTCGGCTGAGGGAAGTTGCCAAGGGATGGTTTAGGTGGAGCAGCAGGAATGCCGATGTCTGTAGGCCATGGTCAGTTCCTGGGCCTGACAGCACCCAAGCTGGGAAAGGTGGTCGACTTATGTTTTGCTCTCTTTGTGAAATGCTAGGAACTGAACAAGCACATAGAGGAGGGCTTGGGAAGGAACCTGGCTGACCGCTGCTTCGCCGAAGTCAACAGTTCTATGTATCAGTCACAACAGGAAATGATCGGTAAAATTTGCCCCAAGGAATGTCTAGAAGCTGCTCTTTCTCCCTTGCATATCTGATAGAAGATGTGTGTTTCAGTTTGGCTTTTTTCCCTTGCTTCTCCCCCCTCCCCAAAGCTCTCAGAACAAATTACAGTTGATTACTAAAACAGGACAGCCCCTGCCCACAGGCTTAAAGCTTAGAAAGACATGGCATGCAAGGAACAGGGGATGGTGAGGGAAGAGGAAATGATTCAGTTATTTTCAGCAGAGCTGTTGGAATGGCCCTGCTTTACCTCTCATCTCCTAGTAATCTGGGCAAGGCAGTACTCCAGTTGCCTTTGACCTGTTCCTGCCTCCCTCACTCCTTCCTCTCTCCTGCAGCACACTTGATATCAGGTCTCCCTGTGGGGAGGGGGGAATCCAAAATGGGACAAGCCCTGACGTTCCTTCTGCCCACTCTTGTTGGCCACAGTCCTACAGATTCAAACTTCCGGAAGCAGCAAGGCCGCCCCATTGTTTTCAGACAGATGCTGAATTCTGACCAGCTATGTGACCTTGTCCCAGAAAAGTCCTCAAAGCCTAGGGCCCTTTCCAGGCTTCCCATTGTCCAAGCCATGCGAGAATGACCAGGCCGCATGTCACCCACACACGAGGACCTCTGGAGCTGTGCAGGGCTGCGGCTGGAACAACCGGGGGGGGGACTGCGTGCCTCTGCGGTGCACGTGTCTGCCATGGTTTTGATAATCACACAGGCCCTTTCCAGCTAAGGCTATTACATGAATTGAAGCTCAAGTGAATCCACTCCCAAAAATCGTGAGTCCTGGGCAGGACTGCAAGTTTGCAAGCAGCCGTACACACTTGTGGAGGTGTTGCACACCGGCTGCCGGCTGGATAAGCCCGTCCTTTCCTTGTTCTGCACTTCTGCCGCCTTCCTTGAAGTCTCAGTCGCTAGTGCAAAGGGACCAGTTCAGGCCGCATGCAGGCCTGCCGTATTTGAAAGCATTTCTAAAAAAACAATCCCTCGCTTAAAAAAAATCTGACACAGCAGGTGAGAGAGTCCAGCCCTCCCTCATCTTGTGGTGTTACGTTTCTGCTGACAGGCAGGCAGGAAAGGGAAGGATTCGGAACTGCCGTTTCACCCCATCTGCAAAACTTAACCACCTCATTCATTTTCTTGTGTCAGCTTGGAATACACTGAATTCTTCACAAAATTCCAGCTCCTGGATGGATTATTTTTGGAGGGGGTGGTCTCTACTTCACCTTCCTGTCTACTTGGGTCTTTGGGTTTCTCTCTGTGTCGGGGCATCAGCTCAGACTTTATCCTGCCTATACAGTCCCTCTGCCATGTTCATGCCAAGCAATTCAAGATGCCAACACTTGCTGTTTGTGCGATGTGGGGGGCACACCTCGTGCACTGTCTTAAACTAAAGTGCATTTCTCTTTCCCTTTCTTGGATCCCTTTTTTAAATGGTATACCAATAAAAATGCAGGCATCGCTCCTATGCCGAGTCCCATGTCTTCCCTTTCTCTCTTTGTTCTTTTAGAAAATCTGCAGCCCCTTTTGCCTCCGGAGGTCCAGAACAAGATCCACTTGCTTGTGCCATGCAGGAAGTTTGACCTTAGCTATGACCTGAATTGCCATAGCCTGTGCTCCAACTTCCAAGAGGACATCACGTTCCGGTTCTCCTTGGGCTGGTCGGCGCTCGTCAGTCGGTTCCTGGGCCCCGGGGCCGCGCACAAGGTGCTGATGGGCATGACAGAGCCGACATTTGCCGTGAGTACTTCCCTGGGCCAGGGTGCACAACTCACGGGAGTCGGGGGCCAATTTCATCTCCCCCACAAACCTCGCTGGGGAAGGCAGTCATGGTAGGCCAGGAAGAGGAGGCAGACCTTCAGGGGACCAGTGCAGATACGGAAGGAAGGAAGGAAGCCACAGCCTTGAGTCAAGGGGCGGGCATCCTAGGAGGCGTTTCTTCATGGGGTCGTCATACGCCAGGGATGACTTGATGGCACATGACAACAGTGGACTTTTGCTGGGCTCTTGGACTGAGCTGGGCTGGGTAGCAATCCAGAGTTTGCAAAGCTGGCACGAAGATGCACAGTTTGGACTGCCTGGGTGCAAGAGAATCATTTCACTTTCATGCAGGCCTCCCCAGTCAACTCTTTAAGGTTGACATATTGTGTGCATTCTGATGGCAGCTCTCCTCTTAAATAGTTTCATCCCACTAGGTTCTGGGTTTGGGTCATAAACACACTCATATGGAATCTTGGCCTCAGTGCTTCCCAGGCGGCTCTTCGAGTTTGCGTTCTTCTGTCCTAGATCCCCAGGTCTCTCGCCTCCACCCCTAGTGCCTCCAGTGTCCCAGCTCTCCCTCCAGAGAACGCCTCGCAGGAGGAGCTCATGGTCTCCTTGGTCACCAGTCTGGCCTCTCTGACCTCCCGGACCTCCATGACAGTCATCATTGTTGGAGGACTGGTGAGTAACACGGACAGACTCTGCCTTGGTAGGGCAGCTTGGTGAAATTGCACCAGCGGACGGGCTGGATGTACTGGCACGGGGAGGGCCACTTGTTGTCCGCCAACTGATGTGGCCTCTAGCTGTTATGAGCCCAGCCGTTAGGGATGATGGGAATTGTAGACCCAGACATCAGGTAGGCCACAGGGCATCCTTTTTGCCTCTCCCCCCACCAATCTTTGAGAGTCTCCCCCCGTGACCCTCACCCTTCCGACTCGATGCGTGCGGCCTCTCTTGCAAGGTTGTGCGCGTGGCCCACATGGACTAGCTCGGCCAGCAGTTGCGGGCGCAAGGTCCTGGTGGGACAGCACTTCTTGCCTCCCCTCCGAGAGGCTTCCTTTCCATGACCACAAGGCTTCCACTTTGAGGCTGTGGCTTGTAAGTCTGCCTTCCTACATAATGTTGCATCGTGCCAGTTTTGCTTGGGAAGAAAGTGAAAAGCAACTGGCTTAGATATAAGCAAAACCAGTTGCTTTCCACTCCCTAAACAATGATCAGCCAGTGTGACAAATTGGCCTGAGAAGATAACAGAAATTCCTTTCCTAGCAGTTTTCCAAAATGGAACGTCTGCCCAAGATAATTCAGGAGCTGCTTCCACTGCAGGGAGGGACAGCTCTTCCAGCTCTCTGATAACCTCACTGATAATGCAAAGTCCTGTTTTTTATTATGAATACAATGTAAAAAATAAATAGTAAAAAGAGAAGTCTTTAAAGAAACAGCAAACTTGGTGGAAAAGAAAAACACCAGAAGAAAAAGTACGTTAAGGTTGCTTTCCTGTGCATGTCTGCACAGAAATAATTCCTGCAGTCACGTTAGCTGGCGGGTGCCAGGAGTTGCACTGTGAAATTGCATAGGATGGCACCATAAAAATAGCAAGTAAAAAGCAGAGTCGTGTCTGCCAGTCCATGGTATGCATGTGAGCAACAATCAGCTTTGTATTTTTTTAAAGAAACAAGAAGTCCATGAAGAGAGGGATGGATGAATTTCTGTAGGAAATAATTCTGTAGCCTGGGAGCTGTTACAGAAAAGTTTGGGCTCCTTCCAGTCACAGATCTAAATCCAGGGCCTCACTGAAGATCTGAATAGGCTGGAGCAACCCATACGGGTAGCGGTCGTGGTAAGGTTACTTTTCTTCTAGCCTCACCGGTTTGCTCTCTGGGAAATGAGTGTTAGGTGACTAGCCATGCCCACTTCTCCCTCCCCCTCCTCCCACCATTGTTAATCATTGTTATTATTTATACAGCACTTTATTCCAAACTGCCGCACATAAAATACAGTAGAGCAACCATTTAAAATACTAAGTGCAGTAACTGGAACAACCAATTATAACCAGTAAGTCACAGAAATCTAATAAAAAGCTTAAACTTACAGCGCAAGCACAGATCTTTCCTAAGCCCCATGCAAGTGCACAATATCTGAACCTACTTTACCAGAAGTAACCTGCCAGTCCCTCGACTCAAACTCTTCTTAAACTCTTCCAGGCTCTCATTTAACGACCTCGGCAGGAGAGAGTTCGGCGGCGGAGGAGCAAGGGCCTGGTATGCTCCGCAGCAGGACACTGCAGTCCCGAGTGACCTGGCTAAGCACTGACCTGCTGCTTCTCTTCCAGGTGTGGAGAACCGTCGGCTGGAAGGTCATCTCCCTCTCCTTGAGCATGTATGGGCTGCTGTACCTCTACGAGAGGCTCACCTGGACGACCAAAGCCAAAGAGCGAGCCTTCAAGCAGCAGTTTGTCAGCTACGCCACAGAAAAGCTGCAGCTGATCGTCAGCTTTACCAGCGCCAATTGTAGCCACCAAGTGCAGCAGTACGTTTCCCCTGCTTCATACCTTGAATGCCAATCCCAAAGGAAAAAGCTTGTCACATACTGCTCGGCACTTGTCCTCAGAGGAAGCCTGGGCGAGCCCGCCCGGGAAAGATTCCCCTGGCAACTGGCATGCTTTTCCATTACCGCCTGTGGAAGACAACCGATTCACTAGCAAAGGGGTTCTTGGGTCATTGCAAGGATTGGTGACCTGCTGTCCAGCCACGCAGCTAATGTCCTCCGCTCTGCTCTGGGCACCTTCCTCCTTCACTTAGTGCAGCCTGTATCCCCTGCCACCATGGTTAGCCTGGTTCAGTCTCTTAATTTTTAAAAATCAAATTGCATCCCATGTCCTACCTAACCCCTTCGTTAAAAATTCTGAAATTAGAATGAATTATGGGAAAAGATACTGGTTGTGCTTTTAACAGCTTTTTGAGCCATCTCCCTTTTTCCATGATTGATGCTTTGGCATCTGTTTTAACGAAGTACTCTTAAGAACAAAATGATTAGGAATTGCTGATCATGAATTCTGCAGTGACACTTCTGTTTCAGCCAGCATAAGGGCAATGGAACAAGGTCTTGGGCAACAGCATTGCCGTGCTGTGGAACTGACACAAACTGAAGTCAGACTGAGAAACTTTTTCTTTGCTTTAGGGCCAGGGTGGGCCACCGGTGGCTGTCCAGGTGTTTGGCCTAAAACTTGCAAGATCCGCCACCCCTGGTTGGGCTGTAGGCCAGCTTGCTTTAGAAGCAAGAAAAGGCTTGGGACTGGGTGCTTGGTCATGCCTGCGTATTCAGTTGTACTAGGAAGGCAGAAGGCACTTCATTGGAACTTCCTGGTTGAAACCTGTGGTGTGGCTTAAGTCGTTTAGACTCTGGCCTTTGGTGGACTTAGGCAGGCCCACTCTTTAGATGACAACTGTATTACTTCAAAAATTATAAAGCTATTCCTGATGCATTGGAGGGCCTGGACCTCTGTCCTCAAATCCTTTCCTGACTATATACCACTGGGTGAAATAAGACTGAGGACCAGGATTTATGTGTGTGTGTCTCTCTCTCTCCTATGCAGGGAAATGGCCACAACATTTGCTCGTCTGTGCCAGCAGGTTGACATCACAGAGAGAAAACTGGAAGAAGAAATTGCAAGATTATCCAAAGGAATTACGCAGCTAGAAACAATCCAGAAGAATTCCAAGCGTCTACGGTAAATAGCCATGGGAGTGACTGCTTTGCAGTGATGGGAACACTTATCAAAGTAGGCAGATGAAGGAGCGTTTCCATGCTTGTTCAGAGGGCTTTGGGGCATCTTAAACATGCCTGCAAACTGGTCAAGGCAGAGAGTATCGCATATGGATTATCTGGAGTACCCTTCTTTTTTCACAACAGATTTCAAACTTTTATGTACCTCCTTTTATCATAGCAGATTTCAGAATTGTGGCCAAAACATACAGTGGTGCCTTGAACTTCATAGTGCAAATGTTCCAGAGTTTGAACACTAACGTCTAGATAAGATTGTTCCAAAGGTCGAACAATGCTTCTAAGTTCGAACTGCAGGTGCCGTGAAAAAAATGCTTCAGTGCTTTTTTAATCAGTTTTCAGTGCCTTTTCGAATATTCTCAGTGCTGAAATGGGTATTGTTTAGGGTCTGGGGATAGATTAATTCACTTTCCATTATTTCTAATGGGGAACGTTGCTTCAGACTTCAAACAATTCATAGGTCAAATGGCCTTCTGAAATGAATTAAGTTTGAAGTATGAGGCACCACTGTATAAAGCAAGCATTCTATTATAATAAAAATAAAAGCAGCAAATAAATCAGCAGCAGCCTAACACTGGTACAGAATAAAATGGGATAGATAAAAGTTTCCAATTAGATTATTATGGGAATAGGTACTTTTTCAGTACTTCAGTCTCAAGCCATTTAAGGCTTTCAGGTGCCTCGTGCTTTGAATTTGGGCTTGGAAAGATGCAGATATGCAGTGGAACTCCTTGGCATTGAGTGAGGAAGGTGAGGCAGGCTGGTCAGAATTCTTTTCGCCGCATGCCATGCAGCTGAAGCTTCTGGAGCTGGCCCCGTAGAGAACTTGCAAAATGTATTTCACCCTGCCTGTTTGCATGATTCATTTTATTCAATAGGTTGTTCTTAATCTGAAGTTGAATTCCTGTTGGTTTTGAATGTCTGTAAACTGTCCAAAGCCTTTGAGAATAGGACATTATGTAAGAATCAGTAGCAGTAATAGGGGGAAATGTGTCCCGTCCTTGGCGGCTGTATCCCTATAATGCACAAGTAAGCAAAGGCATGTCTGGATGCGTGTCCGTTGCACATATGGACTTGGTTTTAAGTCTTCCTCCTCCCCTGCTCTCTCTCCATTACAAAAGCATAGATTTTGAGCGCTATGGAGTATAGATTACTCCATAAAGCACCTTGTGTGCTCATAGCTTCAAAGGAGTCGTGGTCATTATGTAAGTGGCTTGTCAATATAGCTTTGAAGCCCTCCTAAAACTAAGGGCTTGTAAGCATGTCGGGGATTTCACTGCATCTTCAGAGGATTGCTGGTCCCAGTTGTTGTTGTTAGTTGCGAAGTCGTGTCCGACCCATCGCAACCCCATGGACAACATTGCTTCATGCTCTCCTGTCCTCCACCATCCCCTGGAGTCCACCTAAGCTTACGCTGACTGCGTCAGTGACTCCATCCAGCCACCTCATTCTCTGCCGTCCCCTTCTTCTTTTGCTGTCAATTACTGCTATACATTTATTCATTCTATTTATATCCTGCCTTTTTTCCTACAAGGAACCCTACATGGCTTATGCAGTCCTCCTCTCCATTTTATTTTCACAATGACCCAATGGAGTAGGCTGATTGTCCATGACTGGCCCAAAGTAACCCCGTGAACTTCATGACCAAGCAGCAACTAGACCCCTGGTCTCCCAAGGCCTAGCCCAACACTCCAACCACTCCGCTGCACAGGCTGCCGTCTTTAAAGGCTCCATGCGATGTGATCCCGCTCCCAGAACTAGCAAGGGCCTGTGAGTGGGTGGCTGAGTTGGCCTGCCTGCTCACACCGCTCTGCTCCTCCATGTCCTCCCTGCAGAATCGGACTGGGGAAGCCATGCATTTGGAAGGCAGCAGGGAAACAGGCTCTGCCCCCCGGTGAGTTCTTACGAATTCAGCCCGAGCAGAATGCCTCGCGAGTCTTCACAAGTTGATGTTGCGAGTCAGGACCATGGCACGAGAAGCATGCGCATCCCTGAAGCAAAGACCCGCCAGTCCAGCTTGCAGTCTTAGGCACACCTGGCAGGCATCGCTGTCTTGGCACACAATGGGCATCACACCCAGTAGTGCAGCCCACATGACATGACAAGCCAACCCTGGGTTATGCTCTCATGTGAACCCAGTCAGTGGATTGTAGTGTGTGTGTGTGTGTGTGTGTGTGTGTGTGTGTGTGCACGTGCCACTCCTACCTCTTTATGAGGAAGAACACTTGGAAACCAATGTGCTGTTCAGGCTGCCAGGCAGAACTATTTTTGGTGGCTTCCATTAAGAGGGATACCATTTCCATTGGCCTTTTTGTCTCTCATTACCGTGTTCGTGTTTTATCAGAGAAATGGTTTCTAGTTAGTGCATTGTACTCAGTTGTGGCCAGTTTTTGTCAAAAATTGCCTCCTTTCACGTTCTTTTGGCAGACTCCCATTAATAGCAGGCCTTTTCTCCTGCCCATATTGAGAGTCCCTCCTGCAAAAATGGGACTGGCTGGGTTTAAAAAAAGATTGCGCTCAATAGTGAACTTCTTAAAAATTGAAGAAGAAAGGGGTTGACCATGGACAACCTCTCCAAGGTACCTCTGGACCCCCTGGTGCAGGTGACTCGTGGCTGCCAGAAACAGGACTTGGGAAAGCTGACTTAACATCTACCTTTCACGATCGAAGAACCCCCTAACTTTTTCTTTTCAAAAAAAGATAAGCTGTGGCAAGCTGAAAATGACTCGTGACTGCTATAGAGGAGGAAGGGGGATTCAGCGCTCCAGTGCTGTCTTCCAGGACCCTTGCAGGTTGACTTGAGGGGAAGAAGGGCAGGGGAGCACTTAAGGCAAAATTGCCCCAGAGAGGCTTGTAAGCCATTTCTGGGGTTGTTGTGTGGTGTGAACCTGAAATTCTGTCTGGGTTTGAGGGGGGGAGAGCAGAAGAGGTCACATGGCTATCTTGGAGCCAACCATTTTCCCCCTTTGTCTTCTAGGCAAAAAGCTATTCACCTTGAAAATGAATTTGACTGTTTTACAAAGGATTTCCTTCAGAAGAAGAAATGAAAAGGCCTCACATTCTTCTGATGCTCTAGGTCCGAAGAAGATGACACTATTTCCCCCAGCCCACTCCTTGAGTCACATGAATTTTTCAAGCCCCGTATTCTACTTTTCTGGTGCTTATGAACTGTGCCAGAGAGCTTTGGGAGCTAAAGCAGTATTTAGCATTGACTGATTCATTTTGCAAGTTTTCATAAGAAAGAAATCATTTATATTTACTGATGCATATGAAATTTATTTGGAGTTGTAAAATAATAAACTAGCAAATGTATTGTATTTTGTATTAGTTTTTACCTATGAGGCAACCTCCTCTTTCTGGTATCCAGAAAGAGAATAGACAAGAAACTACTTTCAGGCCTGTGTCAAAGTCTTGTGTTAGCTGGAATTCTCCGAGGCCAAGGTGTGGTGCTGGTGTTTTCCAGGACTGTTACAGACCAGGTGTAGAGTGATAACAAATTTTAGATGGGATTTATGGAGTTTGAAAGCAAAGACTATCCGTTTGGCTAGCCTTAAGGGGTAACTTTGGATCTCATTTCATGGAAAGACTTTACACTGCTAATTGAAAGCCTTGATGCTCTCAGGGAAGAGTTAGCAAGCACCTTTGTTTTAGCAGCTGAACTAGACATAATTCTAGGGCTGTCCTCAGGAAGCACTCTTCTTGGGTACTGGAGTAACGGCCTATGATGCTTATGCATCCTGTCCCCAAATGGTAGTTCTTCTGAGCCAAAATCATGTTACAACGTGCAGTAAACTGCGGCGAGCATGCTGGGTGGAACATCTGTCAGGAAATCCTCTGTGGGACTGTGTCTGGTTACACACCCTTCAGCAGGCTTGTAACAGCACTGTAATACCATTTTATTTGGAGTTGCTAGCATGCCCACAATTCACCTGCAGCCTGAAGGATGCTGTATGCCCAAAATTAATCTTCAGTGAAAAGAACGCCCAGAATTTTGGCTATTTCACCTGACGAAACAGCTGATGATGGCAATGAGATCAGATTGGTTGGCTCGGTTGCTCCCTCCTCTTACGGTCTTCACTCACACCCAAAGGTTCAGCACCTGACTTGTAGCTCTGCATGTTAAGGACTAGCACCATTGTGCACTAACAATTGTGAGGCAAATGGCTCATGGACCCATCCTGTGGAGCCATTTATCTGTGCCCACCAGGCTGGTCTCACATCAAGGTGTTACCTGGTTTTCTGTCACGTTTGCTTTGGTCAGTACTTTCTACTGAAAGAATAGCAACTGCTTCAGTTGTTCACAGTTGTTACTATAAAAGTACAGTAATATGCTAATTTATGAATTGCTTTTCAGGATATGTATATGCACCAAAGCGGTTTTTAATGGGAGAAACATGAATATGCATGTTTTAAAGACCTCTGAGAATTAACCATTATTGGGAAAAAAGCCCATGTTCTTGGCATGGTGTTTGCTAACAAGAGGTCACTGGTCACAAAGGGCTAAGAAATTAATTGCTGGGTTTCTAAGACTTATTTTTTCAGCAACCAATGAAGTTCTTGTGTTTTTATTCCAGTGTACATGAAATGTTTAATGTGGCTCTTCTGTTCCCATGTAGAAGAAAGGAGGATGGTGGTAGAATTTGTTATAAATACAGGCAGAAGACAGGTTCTACAATTTGATTAAATGTGACACGAAGTGACAATTTGAACTGTACATGAGATTGCAGGTATTTTAAGCTCCTTGTTTCCCTAACAGCATTTTGTAGACTTATGTCTTTCCAGTTTTGACTTGCATGATTTGTAGTTATTTAAAATTGGCCAAAGAACCAACCTAGTAACCTGATAAGACTTACCACAAAGTCATTCATTAATCGCTTTCTTGAACTGTTGCTGTCATAAACATGCTTAGTTTTTGTTTTCTTTGCCTGTGTAAAGATGTGATTTAGAGCAATATATTCTTTCAGCTACAAAGGCTGATTGCTAGATGTCTGAGTAGGGGGAGTTTTAAACCTCTTTACTCCATGACAAGCAGGGTTTTTTTCTTGCAAGATCAGATCATCTGTTTTAATTAATAACTAAATAAAACTTACAGATTTGGCAGTAAGTGTCCTATATTAATAGCCTGTCGTGTGTAGGGTCACATACTTACCGCTTATTTGTACATGAGCAAACTTCAGGCTTCCTTTGAACCTACCGCTAACTCTGCTTTTGCATGTAGGTGTCCCTAAGGGCAAACCTTGGGGAATGGCGATTGCTTGGGACTTGTAGATACACTTGGGACTTGTAAAAACTCTGGAATGTTCCTGTTTGGTTTCCTTCTGCAGGATAGGCTATTTCTCTTGTTCTCCTTCAAACACTCCTGTGTGGCTACTGTTGACCATTCGTGCCTCACTGGGTAGTTCTGCAGGTCTTCATCACATTTTTTTAATACTTCCACAAACTTTGGGTTTTCCCTCAAGCCAGGTGATAGACTGGTGCGTTTTTGGCTACCTAAGTAACAGTACTCTCCTCCTAGCTGCAGCAGTTACAGAGGGAGTGATGAATGCTAGACCGATGGTGGTAGGGTTTGGCACAACAGTGGTAGAGCTCTAGCTTAATGTGGAAGCTAAGGTTTCAGCTAAAAACTGTGGATTAAACTCAAGTAAATTGTTGCAGTAGATTTATATAAATGAAGAATTGGTTGTTGTGAAAATACCGATTGTCCCCAACAGAACTATTTTATTAAGATCTCACCCACTCGTTCAACTTCTTTAAGGGAAAACCCCATTTGAAAGGCCTCCAAACCTGATGTCTCATTATGTTGTGAAATGGAAGCACACAGCAGCTCCTAGACAGAGCTTTGTGCACACAAGAGACCCAGTCATTACTCTTCCATTCCCCCGTATATTTTTGGAAAACTAATATCTCCCCTTTCTGTCCATTGTATTTTGTCAATCATACAGCAAAAATGGAATGCATGAGTTTTAAGAATGTTGGGTTGAATCCACACTTAAGTACCATAGAGTTTGACTGGTCTACTTCAATACAGCTGAATCTAAACCTATAAGGGGGTGTGGGCACCAAACTGTTAAATCCCCATATTGGTTGGGTGCACAGAACCCTGTGCTGTTTCCATGACATGCAGATTTCTGCTGAACTTCCTGGTCTGATGAACCCCTGGTGACCTGGGCAGTGTGGATTCTGCACTTCCTGCTTGCCATGCATCCTGGCAAGCCCCTTTCAGCAAAATCGCAGGACTGTCCCTAATTTTGCCAATGGACTGCAGCAGCCTATTTAGTCCACTGCAGTACTGCAACATTTCCCAACCACTGAAGCCCTCACAAATTTGTATTGAATAAAAAATAAATAAAAAATAAAATTTGTATTGAATAAAAAGTTTCAACACAATCCCCCCTTGTATTTTCATGCTGTCTCCATTTCCAAAAGTAAATGGGGATGGACACATTGCCTGGCCAATGGAAATCAAGCAAACAATGAGGGCACTTAGGGCAGGAGAGTTTGAAGGCTAGAAGCCACCTCTACTTCAGCTACTCTTGCCAGGGGATTTGACGGTGTTTCTATACCACCAAGGTAAATGGTAATCCCAAGTCCAGATGACGGATGACCATGAAGTGTAGAAACCTTAGACCAGATCTGTACTTTCAGAAAAGTGATCCTACCATCCAGGGAACTCTGAAACTGGGTCCAGATGACATCACAGACCCACCACAGTAAGATTTCACCAAGGTGTCTTGCAAACCCACCCAATTAAGTCACCTTTCCTAAGCAGCAGGAGAGAGGGACAGAAAATGAACCACTATGAACAGTGAGAGCCTAGTTAAAAGCAGTTGTTTATTGGTTACAATGTCAAGTCAGGGCAACATCTTTCACTGAGCCACTGTACAAATACAAAGATTCATTATGGGGAAAACTATAAACAATTCATAGCAAGTGATTTTTTTCCACAGGGAAATCTTTATACAACAGCACTGTTAAAGAACAAATGGCACAAGTCCCTGGGTTCTTAGTTTTCAATCAGGTTAAATAAAAAGATTTAAGACTTTCTTAATACACAATCCAAAAGGCAGTGCAGAATCACTTGGTACCTGGAAAAGTTTTGGAAGGTTTTCCTCTAAAGAAGCTGGAAACAACTGAAAGAAAAACAAAAACAAAAATACAACCCACCATGCACACACACATCTCCTGGATATGGTATGTTGGAATAAGTCATTAGTAAGAGCAAAAGTAAAAAGACCACCCATTTTTGAAAACAATTAGACGCAATTCCATTGAGTGAAGATGTAAGTATACACATGTGGAGATGCACTGCAGTGAGGAGGAAACAAAGAGAGCACCATTGTGTTGTAAAAACAAAGGCTTGAAGTATTTCTAAGATGCCCATATTAGTCAAAAACCAAACATTGTGTGGCACAAGAAAGGTCAGGCACATTTTAAAAAATCTTATCATTTATAAGTCATTAGTAACACTGTTCACGGACTCACCATAACATCACTGATCATTTAACAGTCTTGCATGTATTTTACACAATAATTGACTTAAAAGAAAAGAGACTTGCAGTGCCTCAAATGTGGAAGAAGTTACTTGGGCAGTATGAGTGCCAGCTTAAGGTAGGAGCAGCTAACACAGCTCCATTTCCAAGGTCAGAAGCTAACCCGACATTCCTATGCAAGAGGCAGTATCCTAAAGTGTCCTGCATGTGGGCCCAGAGGGACTCCATGCATACCTGGAGGAGCGTTTCCCCCCTTTCAGGTGCAGCCCCTCCTGCTGCAGCAAATGCTGTTCAAGAGGCCCTCACCCCAGGTTGGTGTAACCCTCTCAGGAGGCAAGAAGTGAAAAAGGGTGGAGGAGAGAACACTGAAACGACCCAGTGCACAGGCAGGGCATTGGATTCCACCAAAAGAGGAAATGCGCTGCCTGTAGACCAGTCACACACAGCCCTACTGCAGGCACAGGGTGTTCTGTGGCCTGGCCTTCCCTGTGACTGAAGTCTACGGCTGAAGCGCAGCTTATACCACTTGAGCCACTCCATGGAATGAATCTTAACACTACTAATTAAACACACCATGTTCATTCTTTGGCACCATCAATCCCAGCTTTGTTACATCTACTGGAAATAGTATTGCCAATCACTCCAATACATGTGCTACTTGACGCTAACAACTGATTACCTATCTAATCATACAGCTGCATCACACACAAAATTTGATAGGAGGCTGGGAAAGGGAAGGGGAAAAAAACTCTAAACACTTTGCCTGTATTCTAAGCCAACATGGATTTTTGCTATAGGACAGAGTTTTAGAAACTCAAATGTTATTCTCTCCAAGCTGCAACTCACCCAATCCTTGTTCAATTACACTTTTAAAGTATGCTAAGGAAATGGCTAAATTGCAATTTAGATACGCGTGCGTGTGTGTGTGTGTAAAACCATTGCATGAATCAACCCTGAAAAGTTCAAGGTGTTTTAGGTGGAAAGGACCTAGCCTGCAGGTAACACACATAATTCAAACAGCTGTGATTTATCTTAATGTGGTGCAGTCTATACACATTACATGAGAGCTCTTTCTCTCCTGTCCACATGAAGCACAGCTCACCACAGGAGTTCAGGTCATCCCCTAGTGAAAACTTGCTTCACCAGAGGCTGTCAATGACCACCTCCTCCCCTCTGGCTGTACATCCCTGGTAACAACTAGTGTGTAAACACTTTTGGTAAAATGGTACTAAATCCTGTAGCTGCAAGATAATGGTTCCCATGCTGAGTAACACAGAGAGCAGATCCTCCTGAAGGACAGCTGGATTTCTAATACCCAGATTTCAGGTTCAGTTGGTGCTTTTCAAATTATAAACTTGGCAAATAGGGAGGAATTTTGTAACGTAGCCTATGTAGCTTGTGTTCTTAGAAGCAAGAGTAATCCTGCATTGCTGCAGTGATAATTTTCTGCCAGTTTAACATAAGCTTGAAATCCACTGCAATGCTGTATAGTAATTGCCCAGGAACAGACCCATTGCACCCAATGAAGGTATACAAGGTGGCAGCCTGCGACTCAAGTATATCCTTTTTTCCAAGAGGGTTGTGCTGAACAGAGAATGCCCACTATGAACAATGCTAAAACTACCAAGTCCAAAGCATCAGGATTAGTATGTAGCTAATACATAGGAGCGGTCTAGCATTCAGAGGGATGCCACATTCCCCATAAAGGATGCAACAGGTGCCTGACAATGTGCCTTCCATGCAATGGGTCCAAACACACCATACATGGACATTCACCATCAAACCTCAACCACTCTGCAGTTGCTCTTGGTAATGGAAAATATTCACTCATTCTACTAAGAGCAACTGCCCCTGGGATAAGCAACACAGAAAAACTGCAGTAAAGTACATATGTAAAGGACAACAAGCATAGCTGGTTTTCATTGTGGATGCGACTGCTTAATCTATGGGGTTACTCTAGAACAACTCTCAAGGACATGTACATTCGTATGAACACCTATTTTCACAATTTCTCCTTAAGATTGTCCTAGGACAGAAGCCAAGCCAGAAATCCAGCCACTGCTTACAACTTCATTAACCAGCAAGCTGTACGAATGACTTAATCCATTAAATGCACTTGCCCCATGAGAGTATTTCCAAAAGCCAACACATGGATGCAAATGCTATCTCCGAGCTAACACAAAGCACAACAAATGTATTTCTAAAATTCCTTAAGGCTGTATAACATCTGCCAGTCTTTTTGCCTTACCAATTTTAATTTCAACGTTTTCTGTTGCTACTGTACAGTATTTTCTGCTCAAGGATCACATTCTTATTGGCATAAGGCAAGCTTAAGGCCATTCCCAGAGTTGGCTGTGTTTCTTATAAAGGAGTGGGGGAGGAGGGACTGATGTTAGAAGCACTTCCTACAAAATTTGGAAGGCCTGTCTGAACACAGGTCTGAATTAAAATAACAGTCAGCTGTCAATAATTGCAGAAAAACTTGGTAGCTCAATACTGACATCAAGATTGGATCAGAACATCGTGATCCATATAAAAAACAGAATTACATGTGCTTGTGAATTTGGTCCTACACATGTTTTAAGTATTTGCTTTTGGCAGAAACATGCATCTTCACACTTGAAGAGGATACTAGTGTCTTTAAAAAAAAAAAAAAAAAAAACGCTCCTACATTGCCTGTGCTTGGCACATGAACTGCTCCCTCCTCCAAAAAAAGAGGGCAAACTAAAAGGCTGAAAAAGGCTAGAAGTTTGGTTGAACTTGACAGGACAGATGGTTCTGCATCGAATCTGTTTTAAAACACTGACAGTTATGCATGCTTGTTAGAGGAACTGGAGCTAGGAGTTCCTCTTTTTCCTCAGACACTGAGCAAATGGGACATGTAACGACATGAAAAACACACATCCTCTGTGCACACTGAAGGACTGGATCTCGCTCCCCTTCTCGCCACAAAATGCCTCCATAAGGGAGCAGCCACATAATGCCTGCCGCAAGCACAGGTACTGACCAACCACAAATATTGACTTTTAAAGAAATCTATTGCTAACCGGTCCTTAACCTACCTATGTGAACAGGCCAGTTCTTTAAAGCCACTGCTGGATGCACTTTATTTCATATGAACATGTAAAAGACTGGAAATTCCAGTCGCAAGGCTTGCTTCACACAATGTCCCTCCACCACACCCGGCTCTTAGTAAAAGACAACAATAAATAACGGGACAAGATCTTAAAGTGGGATACAGCATTCGAAAGAGAGGGGAAGCAAGGGGAAGGCAGATTCCCGAGTAAATGCTGTGTCACGCGCATGCATAAAAGGCAATTCTGTTCTGCTGTGGAGCATCTGGATCACTCACTACGTAATTTGGCAGAATTGGAATGAAGTTCTGGTGTTTCCTGCAGGGGCTGGCTGATGCTAGCTGAATCAATGGGTTCAAAAACCCATTCAAATACTGATGGGACGTGTACAGCAGACCTCACCAGACTGCCCTCCACCACGAGTTACGTAGCAGGAGAACAGTTCATCTGAATGTATCCTACTTTAACATTACACTGCAAGTGGAAAACTAGTAAATCAGGGAGATGTTTTCTACCTGAATCATATTCATCGCTGAATGCACAGGAGAATTTTAATGCAGGGGAGGGAAGGAACATTCAGAACAGAGTATGGCCCACATGCATTTGGAGTGGCTGAAGTCCCATGAGGGATATATCAAGAGCTTTTATTCAAGGTGGTTCTAAAACCAATGGCACACCAGACAGAACAGGTCAGCAATATTATAGTAGGTCAAAATTTCCTGTTTACATGTATCCATCCATCATTAATTGGCTCAGTCATTTGGCAAGATCAATGCTCGTCCCCTCAATTTGCATGCTGAGCCAGGTCACATTAGAGTCTGCTGGAAGCTCAAATTCTGGACACACCCAAAATTCTGCCCTTATAGTCAAAGGGTGTATCTGAAGGCCTATTCAGATCCATGGTGCTTAGAGCCCCTGGCTATCAACAGATTGGCCAGGATCCACTGGCACGCAGCGAACAAACCCCATATTTAAATAAATAGGTCAACAAGCAAGTAAGGCGCCAGGTGTCACAAGGAGTCACTGGGGTGTGTTTCTTTTAAACAGACACAAAATCAAAAACAGATCAAGCAATAATTCAAACACCTTCTGTTATAAAATCCACAAACAGCTCATCAAGTTCACACAGTTTCTACAGTAAAGTCCCCCCTCCCCTGGCAAAAAAAAATTAAAAGACACATTTAAAACAGCGATCTAACTGATCCATTGTGGAACTCAAGAGGAGACATCTCAGGTTAAATGTAGAGCTATATAAATGCAGTTTCTTAAAAAAATGCAAACATTATTTCTTTACTTACAGACAGAATGTTACATGATTGGCTGCTATGTGTATATTCAGTTATGTACAAAAAGGTACAGAATTAGCAGAGCTGGGGCACAAGCAGAAATTCCCCCCAGGACAACACAGCCAAGCCAAACGTAAGACAGCCTGGCTCTTTTAGCTCCGGTCACCATGAATACATGCGCGACCCTCCACGTCCTTCCTCTGAAGAAAAAAACAAGTCACCGATTTTCCCCACCTATCACTTCTTCACTTGATTTTTTTTTTTTAAACTTCATTTACAGTATGCCTATTTATGCAATAATCAGCGAGTAGAAAAACTTCACCTGTAAATACAAGGTAGAAATGTTATTTCACAGCAATAGGCTGCAGCATTGAACTCTCCAGATCTCAGTGGAGAAGGTGTGCGTGTCTAATCTGTGTGTGTTTCAGCTGCTGGATTAATTCCAGATTCTGAGAAAACTGTCCCAAGACCCTGTCGCTACTGCCATGCCATCATCAGTAACACCTAAACAGCTGACTCTGTTGTCATGCCCAGCAAGAACACCTGCAGGGGGGAAAGAGGGAAACATTAAAACAGACGGCCTTACAACGAGGCAGCTCTTAAAAATAAAGGTCAAGTCCCATTATTCAATATACTTTTATCTCCCTTTCGGAAAGAAAGGGCAAGTTCACACATCACACCAAGCCACCAAGAAAATGAGCTATAGCAGGTGGCCTGCTTGTCCATTACTGCCAACGGAGGGTTGTCTGCTCAGCCACCTGTTTATTTATTTATTGAATTTATTTAAAGGCCACCTGTTAGCATCATGCTCTCAGGTGGCCATTTCGATAAAATGCATTGTTTATCCCTCAGACTCTCTTAGTCCTTCTGGACACTGTTGGAATGTACCCCAGGGCCACTGTTGTTTCCTCATTTTTCGTGGCAACTGGTCCACGAAGGTTGCCAGCTCAGGAGGGGTGCCCCCCCCCCACAGCTGCAGACAACGGACTACCAAAACAATTTAAGCTTCTGAGACCTTAGAAATGCAGGTAGATAGTCACAAGTGCTTCCTTTCTTTCTTATTGTACTTGTGCAATTGCTCGGGACAGTAAGAATGCTTGCCTGGCATTGATCCCAGCAGAACTATATTCCTTCTTGTCAATTTCACCCTTCTGCCAGGGTGAAACTCGCCCCTCCTGAACCTTTACTTTTCCTCCTTTGCTAGGAAGGGAAGAAGCAGAGTGGAGGATGGGGGTTAAGAGTACATTTAGCTAAATAAAGGACAGTCCTTCCATTCACACGAGCCACAGCTGGTGGCTGAGCAGGCAACCATCCACTGGGAGTAACGGATGAGCCACCCACCCACTGCAGCTCCTTCTCAGGGTGGCTTAGTGTGATGCTCAAACTTGCCCTCTATTTCTGAAAGTGAGATAAAAGCACATTGAATAATGAATCAAGGCTGCTTCATCTACTGAAGCAGCAACATTCGCATAAGCACAGCTTCTCCTCTGCAGCTGCCAACCACCTTCAGCTCCCTGCCACTTTGTACCTGTCATTCCCTGCACTGGTTCCCATTGCAAGCTGCCAGATGCACAGAGCAGGATCATTAAACAGGCACATATTTCAAGGCAAAGCATGCACTGAGTGGGCAAAGAAGCAAATTTCAAGGCAGATGAGTAATTCAGATCGCTAAAAATACGCAATTTTGCAGAAAAGCGGTAAAGCAGAGAGAAAACTGCACAAAATTCCTGGGACCAAACATTCACTCCTGGACACCTGTGAATAGTTAATGCATTTGGGACACTGTCTAGTGTTCTTTCTTTCAGATTCCTATGGAGAAAAGATTCTTCCTGAAGCAAGGGGTGCTGAGAAGGAAGGAGGGAGACTGGTTACAGCAGCAGCAAGGACACAAGGGAGCAGTGGCTTCCATTGCTCTCGTCAGGCAGCTATCTAGCCATTCCCAAGAAGGCCCTGCCAGGTCTGGATGTCGCAGCAAGCCACCCTGAAAATAAGTCACCCTAAGCAACCTACTACAAGCCACGGGTTCTCAGGGTACATTACTTCACTGCAAAACACACCCCATGGCTGAACTAACACTTGGGGTCTGGACATCACACTAAGCAACCCTGCAATGACCCAGCATAGCAACTCATCATGGCTCAGTGTGATGTGCAAACTAGGCCATAACTTATGGTCTGAAGGCATATAAGGCATTCCTCATGTTAATGCTAAGCAGGTCTGGGGCTGAGCTGAGCATGGACGGGAACCACTTGTGGACCACCTTGAGTTCCATAATGGGAGACCCTAATCCTAAATATGATAAATAAATAAAACCTTTCAAATGATCAACAGGTTTGACACATTAATCTACATTAAATAATACATTGATATACATATTTTAATCTGTTATCAAAAAGCTAACCTTTAAGCCAGGTTTGAGGTTGAGAGACATTAGCTGCCTGCTCAGGAAAGGCCAGTTTGAACAAACAAATTTTTAAAATTTTTTTAAATTCTTGCCCCAATGGTGTAAGTCACAAACCAAAAGGATGGCCACTACTGAGAAAGCCCTTCCCCTTGTATTTGACAATTAGCTGTTGTAACTGACATGCATATGAGGAGAGCACCTGATAATGTAAGTGCAACGGAAGGATCATATGGTGGAAGGCCATGCTTTATCGGGGGTTTGCAGGAGGTCAACTGAAAACTACTGGTAGACCTCTAGAATCTCTATCATCACAATCATCTCCTCTGGGGAATTTACAATAGATTACCAAGAATTTATGATCCCAACTGTTCAACAATGGCAGGAAAACACTCATGCACACACACTAATCATACTAGCATAGCATAGCTTAGCATAGCATAGCATAGCGTATTTCTAGGCAGGAAGACCATGAGCTCTGTTCGATTCTGGCAGCGTCTTTCGCACCAAGATGTGATTAACATACTTCCGAGTTCTAGCAACAAATGAAATAAATCTGCAGCCCTAACATGTGCCATGCTCCTTGTTTAAGGTAACCTGGACCCAGCTTGCTTAGGCTCTAAAATTACCTGCACTTTGAAACCAGGTAGGAAATGAACTGGCAGCCAGTGTAACTTGTGCAAAAGAAAAGTCACATGCTCCTATTTTTCTGGCTCTGATCAGTATTCTGGTGGCCAGTTTTCAGCAACTGAAGCATCTAAGCTAGCTTCAAGTGCAGCTTCACATAAAGCTCGTTAAAGTAATCCAGTTTGCTGAAGTAGCTAAAGTCTGGTTGCTGTGAGTAGGTCCAGCAGTTCTACGGATGGCATAGCATCCTTAGATAAGAAAAGGCATTCCTTGTCACCTGTCCCAAATTCAGAAGGATACGCAACTGAGGAGCATCCTCAGATACCAGTGCCAGCTTTTAAGAAGTGCAGAATCTCTCTCAGATATGACAGTGGAAAAATTGTCCCCATTTGTATGCACATCAACTAACCTGCACGTTCTCCCTTCAGGGTGTCCCAAACATTGCAGTTGAAATCATCATACCCTGCCAACAAGAGGCGGCCACTCTTTGAGAAAGCTACTGACGTGATGCCACAGATTATGTTGTCATGAGAATACATCATGAGTTCCTGGTCTGCTCGCAGATCGAAGAGCCGACAAGTGGCATCGTCAGAGCCAGTGGCGAATGCGTGTCCATTGGGGAAGAACTACCAATTGAAACAACAAAAATAAGAATTACACTGAAAACAACATGTAATGAAGAAAAGCGAAAGAGGGGCAAGCTCAGAAAATATTATCCAAGGGAAAAGTTTCCTTTACTGGATTAGTCATTGCAGATAGGACTGGGATGACCCCTTTCAGAATCCATTCCTCCGGCACCTGCAGACTTCCTCTCATGCTTGGCCCAGCCAGGCAAAGCGAGCCAAGAGGCAGTCCACAAATGCTTGTGGACCCCAGCTGCACCACTGGCAACCTTCCCCATCCGGAGCAGCTGTGGGAATTGGAGCAGGTGCATCTGCCACCATTCCCAGCAATGAACCTGCTTCCCTGCCCATGGCTGCTGGGGGTGCACCTGGGGGAAAGGGGCTGCTTGTACAATGTCTGAGGCTCGATACCTGGAGAGCCTGCTGAATGCTGGGCACTCTCGCCGGGGAGTCTGACAGAGGGCTACTTCAAGGCAACCAGAATCTGGGGAGCCCAGGAAATCTGATGGATTCCCACCCCCAAACAGTTTCCTCACACATTCCTGACTGTAGAAAAGATGACTTTCAAATAATAGACTCTTATGTAAGATACCCATTTGAAATGTTAAATGAACAATTTAAAAATATGCCAAGTCTTTTTTTTTTTACTGTTACTGGTTTTTTAACAGTAAGATATACATCTTTCTTCTAGTCAAGGCCTTTTCTTTCATAAGCTAAATCTTGAAGTGTCACAGCATTTTAGAAACTTTAATTTGATCATATCAGAAAATCAGGGACTGAGCAACTGGACCAGACAGACTGACTTAACAGGAACTTTATGTTCTGTTGCTTCCCTAGCACCTCTTCCCAAGGAGGACCTAAAGACAGCAAGAGGTCTTCTTCCCCCACTGAGTCAAACCTATCTTTTTTTGGCTTCATTCACAGTGCCAACCTGTCAATATTTTATGGCCTAATCACTCAAGGATTGGAACACATGAGAACATTTCACATACTCACAGCAGCTCCCCCAACGCCTTGCAGTGTGCCAGGGTGATGATCATTTACATTCATTATCTCCCTTTCCCTGTATTTATGAGCACAGCTTGTCACTTACACATACTGCATTGATGTCAGACACATGACCTAGGAAAGACTGTCTGCACATCCCATCTCGAATATCCCAGAGCTTGGATGATGCATCACAGGCACCCGAAACAAAAGTGCTCATGTCTGGACTCAGGGAGAGACTCATTACATCTCCTGAATGTCCAGTAAAAGCAGTTGTCTGTTGACCAGTCTCAATATCCCACAAAGCACTGCAAGAGAAAGAGAAATATCTGAGCACAGCACCTTAAATGGCTACCCCACACAGCTCTGATTGATGCTATAACAAAAGAAAAATCCAGGAAACTCACCAGGTAGTGTCTCCTGAGCTCGTGACTATTTGGTTGTCATCTAGAAAGCGGCAACAGGACAAATACCCTAAAAGGCAGAACAGAGAACATTATAAATACAAGCCTAACAAAACATTCCAATTCCAAACCAAATATATGCTAAATAAGCATGTTAGGTGACTGAAATTAGGTGCAGAATCCAACACTCTGACCATTTTAGCTTTTGTTCATCCTATTTAACAGACCTTAGGGCTGCACAAGCTTGAAGTGTGGGTGGGTGAGTGGGGATTTCAGAAGCTGGGGAAGGCTGAATGGGTAGGCAGAACGGCACTGCAGCATCTATCCCACACTGAGCCATATGCTCAGGTACCTTTCAAGCAGCCAATCTTAAGTTTCCATTCAAATCTACCTGGAAACTCTTCTTCTGTAAGCAACCCGGTCACATTACTTCTCAAGGACTTAAAAAAACTACAACCGGACAACTGTAGACAGCCATGAACTATACTGATTAAAGTCTTCAGTAAGGAACAGAACTAGGCAAATAATCAAGGTCAGATGGCTGCACAAAGACTTGGTGCACATGCCAACACTCTGGCAACCCATGTTTGGCAATGAGCCAAGCCCTGTAAGATGCAGGGCAAGTACTGCAACAAATAGATCCCATCTCAGTGGCCTGGACTCACAGGAGTCTCTGCAGCCTACCCAGAACTAGGAAAAGGAACTGAATCAAATATAAGCAGAATTCCATATTTCCTGGTGCAAGCTTTGCAATACCTTAAGTGTGGAACTTGTACTAAGAATAAAGGCCTGTTAACTAAAATTGCTACAATTTTTAGTTCCCCTCTCCTCTTTTATAACCAGTGAAGTACATAAAATAGAGCAGGGTGGGAAGGCTTCACACTTGCAGGATCTACTTTGTTTTTATTAGAACCCTTGGTTCTAACAAGCACAGCCAGAGAGGACACATGCTCAGGTTTAAGAAACAGGAGGCCGTGAATCACATACTGAGCCAAGGAAACTGTTTTCAGTAACAGAACTATTCACACAAAAATCCACTCCTGGTTTCCCTGCCAAACGTTCTTTTTAGAAAGTTTGAGTGCTAAGTGTGAGTGATAAGAAGGTAATTTTGCAATTTTCAGTTAAGCAACTAAAACAATGAAACTCTTGCTAATTCTAAGTAAAACACTCAGGAATCTCTCTGTGTTGATCAGTTTCTACCATTTGCCCATCCTTGGAAGAAAGCACTGGACTTGGACATTAGAGACTGAGTATCAAAATGCTGTTCAACCTTGAAGTTCTCTGCATGATAGCAGACCAGGCACATTATCTCAGCTTTTGAAATGGATGGGGGGGGAATCGAATATGGATAACAGGGTCAAGAAATCTATCAGTTTAAGAAAGAACTTTAGGAGGATTATTGGAACCATTGTATGTTATACGACATCTTCCATCGCATCTTAACTCTTTTTCGGGGGAATGCAGAAGCTTGAGTGAATTATTACTTCACCAAAATGAAAACAACACAAAGATTCAGAAGGTAGCTGACCAGTGTGGCCGGGCAGTTCTCTGCTCACTCGTACGTTGCCCTCTCTTGTTTTCAGGTTATATATAGAGCAGATGTTGTCCAATCCACCACATGCGACGTAATTTCCAGACGGTGCATATGCACAAGTCATCACCCAGGAAGACCTCAGAGGGATGGCATGCATCTTTAGAGGAGGGGAAAAGCACCATGAGAGAGAGACATTGCCACCCATATGGAATCAGACACATCCAAACCACTGTGGCTGCTTAGCCAGGATTGGCTGGGTTACCACAGATATTTAGCAAGTGTACTGCGCTAGGACACATGATCAAGCTGCCCACCATGGCAGACTCTGTGAGGAGACAACCATTTTGATTATTCATAGCTTGTTTTGTGGTCCAAACCCAGCAAAGTTGGGCTCCTGGCATAATCCAACAGGCTACTCACAAGTAATAAACAGCATGTGGGTTCTGGGTCATTAGTAAACCACACCAAAAAGTCATCCTTGCCAAGTTTGGATGACATGATGAGTTGCAAGTACAGCTGGAATAGTCAAAAGTCATCCGGTGCACATCACAACCCAGGGTGCCCTTATGGTCATGGTGGACTACAGTGATTGTATGAACCCAGTCATGGAGATGGAAGTCAGCCTACACACTGAGATGAAAACAAAGCCCGTTCTCTCAGTGGAATTGCAAGATGTTGTGCTATGCTCACAGCATGAAAACACAGTAGTATGACATGAAAAAGTATCTAGAGTATTCCATTCAGTTGAAATCTCTTCTTTTTCTGCTCTGGTTTTCAGAGTTAATAAGCTCAAGAAGCTGTTGACAGGACACTGCTATTTTTACCAAGCCCTTTGCTATTCACCATGCTGAGCAATCCGGCATCTTTTACAGAAGCTTGTTCAATGACTATTGCAGATTTTTTGCAAGTTAGCACTATTTTATGTATTACCTGGATTTATGCATTTCTGTGACAGACAGCAGAGCACAGAAACATGCTAAGCCACATGGCATGTTGTCCGAACAGCAGAATCATTGTTGCTGCTTTACTCTAAATGACAAAATCTCCTACATTTCCTTCAGCTTCCCAAAAGCATTCAGTTGCCTGAAGCATATCAAATTTAGATTTTCACCAGTCCACCAAATGAGCAGGCTTGCTGTGCCACAGCAACACTGTGTTTCAAACTCAGAGAGAAGTCAATGTGCCAGGAAGAGGAGAGCTACTTTATGACAGTAGCTGAACTGCCCTCTCCGGACTGCATGAAGTCAGCGGCAACCAGTGTTGCCCAGCATTAAAAGACCACTGGGAAGGCAGATGTGAATAGATGACTTCTTCTCTTCCTGGGCAAAAATGTCACCCACAGCACCAAAGCCTCCCCACCACTCAGAAAAGTGTTGAGAGTCACCTGTCAGTTCCCCCCAAGCAAGTGAGCCACAGTTAGGAACAGTGAGATGGTGAAGTCAATGAGATGACCAAGTAAATAAACTAGTTTTCAAAAAGAAAAGGAAATATAAAAAGCAGCATTCAGAATTATATTGGAGTTTGAAAAGAAAAAAACTCAGGAAGCTGATAAAGAGGGGGGGGGAAAGCAGCACTTCAAGTGGAGAACAAAAAACAAAACTGAAAGTAGCCGTGGAAACAAAAAGCAAAGCCCACCAGCAAGAGGCACATGAAAATGCCAAAACCGATTATTTAAAAAAACTCTACCTTGTTTGTTGTATAACTATCCCAAATAATTAATTTTCCATCTTGGGAAGCGCTCACTAGTAGCCTGAAGATAACCACAAAAAAGAAAAACATACATACTCAAATCATATGTTAACAAGTTAACCTTGTATCGCCCTTTGTCAGGCTTCAATTTTGACAAGCATCATGTACAAGTATCTAGTTATTTACCAACACTCTAATTTCGTCTATCCTTATTGCAAACCTCATGGCTCTGAGTATACGCAAAAGATACTCCTGCAACACACTGCAAAGTCAATCACCTTTTTTAATTGGATCCTAGCTAAATGTTGAGATTCAATAAATCTGATAACCTGTCATGAGTAGGGGATACAGAAAAATCCCATATATTGCATTTATTCTCCATGGAGGGCAAACCACCCCATATCGGGCATGGCTAGTAAGCTTTTCTCACTGCAGCAGTGCCTCATGTGAAAGGCTTTCCCTTTCTCCCCATATGGCTATGCAGCAGCGGTCAAGGGAGAAAGGGAAAAGCTCTATTCAGAGGCAATTTTCAGATGGCGTAAACCTCTCCTCGTGACATGGACAGCTTCCTGGGTGCAGAGGAAAAAAGCAGGGTTTGCACACCCTAGAATTGTTGACCAGAGTCCATTTACTTTGATTCACAAAATTCCATAGACGTCACTGAGCCAGCCCCATCTGAAGCATGCTTTTCTTCCATTTTCATGAGCTGCTGAAGGCAAAAGGAAACACTGGAATTGGAGGGTTCTAAATATACATTGTTTTGCATCCTGAAAACAGGATGGAACAATGCCAACCTAAAACCATCAACACTCAAAAAAATAAGCCATTACTACATTTTCAAAAATCAACCTTTTCTCAAAGGGATGGGTCAAAGCAAAGCAGTATTAGAAGCACACAAACCTTGAATCAGATCCCCAGTGCATGGCATAAATTTTAGCTAAATGTCCTCTCAGGGTCCGTCTCGTGCGCATCTGGATTCGACCCACTGAATCAAGACTTGCAGTGATCTAGACAGGAGAGGAGACAGGTACCATTCAAAGCCCTCTTCTGGGCAGAATAAATGCAAAACTTGACAATGTATGCCACACTTAGGCACATTTTCCCAAGAAAAGGTTTTTTTTTTTTTTTTAAGGAGCTGGACTGATCTAAAATTGACACTAACATTATCAAGCGTGACCTGATGATTACAGAGGCAAGGCAATGAGGTAGCAGCTCTGACAAGCTTTCACCAAGTTACCAGAAACCTTCTGGGAACCTGCTAGCGGAATGTTAGACCACAGAACAAAGATCTAGTGAAAAGGTAAAAACTGTGAAACTGTGAAATTCCTGCCTCTTTTTTTGGCCTAAGAACTGTGGCTGTGAAGGGTCCCCCACCAAGGAGCCTGGTAATCAGAAGCTTTCTGCCTAACGGTTCAGATACAGTGAACCTCTGTTTTAATCCAGGCCTTCATTCACTGCTTCTGCTTAGACTGATTTCAAGATGGTCTACTTTGATTCAGTACCAAACCCAAATTCATGTGTCATATTGACTATCATGGGAAATTTTAAAAATGACTGTGAATTTTCTCTTGGTCTGGATTAGATACTTGCAGACATAGCAATCCCCTAGGAAGGGTCTAAACCTACCCAATGTCACACAAATGGATGCAGAGAGCTGAGACACATGTCATCGTAAGACCCCCAGATAAGAAAGCCGACCAGTTTCAGAAGGAAAGATGTAGAGTCTAAAGAGTTACAACGCTTGAAAACTAGCTTAAGCCCTTTTCACAGTGAAGTGTGGCGACAGTGGCAGAACTGTCATCTCATGGTCTCATCCGTGCTCTCCCAAATCCCAGTGGTTGGAGTTCATAGTAAAATTGATTCTTGAGTTAGAAGGTAGACTCATCAGTCACTCAGCCTCCTGCCCCAAGCAACGCTTAGAGAAATGAAACCAAAAGAATGTACTTGGAGACAAAATCTGTGTCTGTATCTCCCCTGAAATAAAGGTTGGTAACAAAGCCTTCTTCTGCAGCAGGTTCAGTTCTGCTGGCTTCAGAAGGAAGCCCACTTCATTTCTGGAAGCAATTCTGCTTGGCCTTTGTCTGAATCTAATTCATATTCCCACCTAGCAGCATTTGTCCTCCAAACAGATACCCCCAACCCTAGTGCAGTGATTTTCAAACTTTCTACTCTTGAGGGAATGCACATACAGAACATTTCTGCTGCATTCTGTAGAAATCTTCTGTAATACTTTCATGATATGTGAAAGCGTCTCAGTGTACAAACATGTTAAAACACCAACCTTAATAAGGTCCATGCAACCACTGCAATAGGACCCATGATAGTTTAATAATGCTAATTAAATGATTATTTCCTAATACCTAAAGGAACGCCTTCTTCTGTATTTGCCCTCCCGTCCCCTGAGATCTGCAGCAGAGGCCCTCCTCTGGGAACCCTCCGTGAAAGATATTAGGAGGCTAAGTACCCGGAGGAGGGCTTTCTCTGCGGTGGTGCCCCATCTGTGGAATGCGCTCCCCAGAGAGGTCTGCCTGGCGCCTTCATTATTTGTTTTTTGGTGCCAGGCTAAGACCTTTTTATTCAAACAATATTTTAACAATGCTTAATATCTATAGGTTTTAATTCTGCAGCCAGGGTGTTTCCGGGTTTTAAATGTATTTGTACTATGTTTATTTATTTATGTGAGCCATCCCAAGGCTATATAGCAAGGGGATGGCATACAAAAATTCTAAATAAATAAATAAATCAGAACTCATGGAAAACCTATCAACATAACCAGCAATCAGGTCTGCATTCATAGCAACACAGAAACAGAGCGATTCAGAAGGGGCATCCTGGGCCATCTAGTCTGACCCCCAGCTCCAGCCGGCTCCGCACACGACATGCCCACCATGTGCATGCCCAGCCTATCTTTGAACACCCTCACTGATGGGGCCTCAACCACCTCCCGGGGAAGCCCATTCCATACCCTCGGGGTCCTAACTGTTAGGAAGTGCTTCCTGGCATCTAAATGGAACCTAAGACCTTAGATGCCAGGAAGCATCTAAGAACTTTCTATTTCAACAATATTTTAATAACTTTTCATATTAGCTATTTATGTTTTAATCTGCAGCCAGGGTGGATCTGGAATTTATTTGTATTATGTTTTTATTACTATTTTTATTTATTTATGTAAGTCATCCTGAGGCTCCACGGAAGCTCTGCATATAAATATTCTAAATAAATAAATAAAGCAAGCAAGCAAGCAAGCTAGTAAAGCAGTAACTTTGTTAAACAATGAGCACATTCAAATAAATGTTCTTCACCCAAGGCCTGTCAGAATTTAGCAAACAGGTTTCACACTAAAGTTCCTCATGCACTACATCCAATATCTTTTCAGGCATCATATGGTCTTTTCCTTGATATGAAAGCTATTTTTGATCTCATCAACATTTAAGTGACTACTGTACTTTCCCCTGCCAAGAAATAAGCTTTTCTGCCCACAGAAATTCCCCATGCTCAAGAATGAACAATTCTGTCTTTTAGTTTATCTACTCACTAGGCTTTTTAATACTATTGATTTTATATTATTTTTATTTTATTGTATGTTCATTGTACATTTTACTGCTGTTAGATGTGTTGGCTACTCATGCTGCCCCCCAAATTTAAAATGCATAAATAATAATAAAGAAAACATACCTGAGCAAGAGTTGTGTCACTACAAGCTTTTCTAGCATCCTTTAAAATAAATTTTAAAAAAGATTAATGTATATATTGGAAGCCAGCTTGAACACAAGCTCTATTGACTACCACAAATCTACTTGATATGACATTAGTGCCTCTTTTTCCAGAGGGAGTAATTCTATCTTGGCTTGCCAGTTCTGGAAGCTTGCCCAGTCATAGCTCTTCTGCACAGGTACAAAGTGGTAGACAATACATTTAACCCAAAGCAATTCTCATTAACCCTTGCCATCCATCTCATCGAACTCATAAACATCTGCAGACCACTTCCAGCTTTCCATTAACAGTGAAATGTAGCTAGAGAGCAGCTATATTTTCCCCTACCTGTTTGCACTTCTCTGAAAGAAAACAGAATGCATTGAAGAATGCAAGGTGAAAGCTGGTCTGCAAGTCAACTGTACTTTTGTGTGAACAATTAACAAGGCAGTATTAAGCTTAAAGAGGGTACACTTTGTGATCTGGTGCTGCTTAAAGCAAGTGTAGTATAAAGTAGTTCTACTCATAGATAGAAAGGTTATTTTTATCAACAGTAGAATCAAATAGCAAAACCTTTCCTGGACTATGCCACCCTAGACGACCTATGTTGAACTGGATGCTCAAGGGGGTGAAAACAGGAAAACTCCTCCCTGCCAGAGGGGGAAAAAATTAACAGATGGGCTAGTTCAAGATATCATCTTTTTGGGCTTATGAGCTTTTCATATACAAAAAGTTTTATCCTTGAAAGAAGGATTCAGACATGCCCGTGCCAGTATCATGGATAACAAATGAACAAATAGTTCCATCACAATTAGTAGCCTGTGGAATTTACTCGGGCGTTTTGTGTAATCTACAAGCTCTCACAAGGATGACAATGCCAAGGAGAAAAGCCATTTCCTTTCTCAATCTACATGTACTAAGGAGATCATATTACCATATATTGGCTTGCTTGTGCTCGTACATGTGCGCGCTCTCTCGCTCTCTCTCTCTCTCTCAGTCACACATGGGCTTGCTTACCCTTCAGCACTCTTCTTCAGAAAGGAAAAGAAGAGGCAGGGAAACTAGAGCCAGGTGCTCTGAATTCCAGTATGTCCATGCAGTCTGCTAAAACTATTATTTAAAGAAACAGGTTGCTGCATCTGCAACTGGGTTGGGGGGGGGGGGCTAAAGAAGAGCAGGGAGCAGCCTGGAAGAACAGTAAGGGGAAACTGCTTGCGTGGGAGGAGAGTAGTTTAGTCCATGCATGAGTGGTTGAATACAAACTGGTCTGTACATGTGTGATTTGGGAACAAATTTCTTCTTCTGCGATGTGAGGTGTTTCATCACACCTTGTGAGGTCAAATATGTAGTATCTAGGGCACAAACCCAACCTCTGCCTTGTACCATTCCCGTGGCAGCCATTTTACAGTTCTGGCCTGGACAGTTTCCAAATGTGTCCAAAGGACATCCCTGGGCTGGTGGGGCTTGAACGTAGAAGATCTGCACAGCTTGTCATGTTGATTCTTAGCCCAAATTGGCACTAGGGTCACAGGGGAGAGAGCTCACACATGCAGCCACTGGCTATGAATGCACCACAGGGGCTAAGCAAGGGAACTCTGAGCAAGGGACACTGGACACAGTGCTGGCTCCACTGAACACACCAATGAGCGGACTTCAGGGAGGTTCAGCGCCGTGCTCTAAAAGCTCTGCAAGAGCATCACCAGCCTCCCAAAGATGCCTTTGATGAACTCAAAGGCAGAAGGTGCTGGGCAAAAAGAAGGGAAGGGAATGGCAAAAAATGAAAGGCAAAAGACCTTTCCTTTTCTTTCCCTTACACCCCACAATAAGACCTTAACATATCCCCATTTATTATTATTTAGGGTCAGTGTGCTGGGAGGACACCTTACTCTGATTTGATGCCGGAGCTGCTCTGCCTCCTGCCGTAACTGCTCCAGTTCACTCATCTTGATTGAGTCTCTTTTCCACTCTTAAGAGTACTAGTAAAGAGAAGTCTGTTAAACAAAGAAAAAAATACAGAAAACAAATTTTAGTGGTAAGGATACACATCACAGAAGACAAAGCAGGAGTGACTGGGCTGCTGGAGAAACCAAGCAAAAACTAAGAAGCCACATGGAGTAGGATGTTGGCTCACTCACGGCAACCCAGAGGTTTTAAAAAAGCAGAACCAAGTTGCTTTCTTATTTCATCTCTTCATACGATTTGATGCACATCGTGGAAAACATAAACAGATGCTGTTCAAACCTATCACAAGATACTTAAACCTCAGGATTGGATACAGCAGGAAATGCATTTACTTCAATCCACCAAAGCACCTGTTCTTTCTCATAAAAACTGCAAACTTATTTTGAAGATTTCCACATTGCCTTTCAAACAAACATCTCTCAAGGCACCTTCCAAGCAACAGGGAATACAGCTCCCACTCAGCCAATATATCCAGCAGCCTTTGATCGGCTGGCTAATGGATGGGACCAGGCCATGCTTTCCTTTGTTTTCACAATCCCAGGGCAACTGGCAGATGAAGCCAAGTATTCTTTCCACCAGGAAGGGAAGAAACAAGTCCCTTCAGCTGCTCCTTGTCTGGGTAATAGATGGGACCAGGCTGATAGTACAGAAGGCAGCAATTACTTGAATGTGGAGTGACATCCTCAATATGAATGATAGCAAGGCATTAATGTGCTGAATTCTGACTTTCAAATATTGTCATATGACACACAATGAATGTTAAAAAAACACAGTGCCATTGTTCTGCCTTTTGTGAAGTGCAAAGTAGTAAGGCTCCACACAAAGCCACAGAAAAGAAGTGATAGTGGCCAAAAGTGTTCATTCTCAGTAATAAACAGTAAGGTAGAATTGGATTAATACTAGTATGTAAGCTACTGAAAGAAGTCATTCATTCTCCTAATAATTTCAAGCAAAACTGTGTTTACTCTTTGAACGTCATTTGTTTCCCAAGGAAAAAGGTAAAAATTTTAACAGGCACAGAGAAGTAATGAAGCAAATCCAGGTCCATCCAACACTTTCTAAATCCCCATGGAATGACAGAATATGGAGCGGGCAACCTCATCCCCTCCAAATATTTTGGATTATTGTTCTGTAAAGAACATTATCTTGCCAGATTAATCTAATTTAATTTTTTACTGAGTAACCTCCTGGATGGACCATAGGAATGCTGTGAATATTATATATCTCGACGGCAGCAAAGCTTTTGACTAAGAGCCCCATGATATCCTGATGAGCAAACTAGCTGAACGTGGGTGGAATGGAACAACAACCAAGTGGATGGATCCACACTTGGCTACAGAACTGGCCTGAAAGTGTGCTCATCAATGGCAGCTTCTCAGACTAGGGTGAGGTAACAAGTGAGGTTCAAGTCCTGGGCCCAGTGCTCTTCAACATTTTCATTAATGATCTGGATGGGGAAGTGCAAGGAACAATGATCAGATCTGCAGATGACACAAAACTGAGTGAGACAGCTAATAGCCTGGAAGACAGAAAGAAGATTCAAGGTGATTCTGACAGGTTGGAGTACTGGGCTGAAAACTACAGAAGAAATTAAGTAGGGACAAATACCAAGTTAAGTAGGGACAAATACCAAGGAAAGGGAGCCAAATGCATTGTTACAAGATGAAGAATACTTGGCTCAGCAATACTGGAAGTGAGAAGGATCTTGGAATTGTTGTAGATCACAATAATTGTGATCCAACAATGTGGTGTGGTTGCAAAAAGGGCAAATGTTATTTTAGATTGCATTAAGTATCAGTTCCAAAACATGTGCAGTACTAGTTCCCCTCTACTCAGCACTGGTTATGTCCATCTGGAGTACTGCATCCAGTTCTGGGCATCACTGTTTAAGAAAGATGCAGATAAACTGGAAAGACCTCAGAGAAGATCAGTAAAAATGATCCAGGGATTAGAAACAAGCCCTGAGTGGAGAGATTGAAAGAACTGGGCATGTTTAGCCTCAAGAAGAGAAGACAGAAGGGATATATGATAGCACTTCACAAGTACTTGAAAGGTTGACACAAAGAGGAAGGACAGGATCTCTTCTCAATCATCCTAGAGCGCAGGACACAGAATAAAACCAGATTCAGGACAGGATTTTTTGGGGGGGGGGGTGGATCTTGACTATTAAAGCAGTATGGCAATGGGGGATTGTGAGCACTCACACTGGAGGCATTCAAGATGCAACTGGACAGCTATCCAAGGGGGAGGGTTTAACTTTTGATTCTTGCACTGTGTAGGGGGTTGGACCTGATGGCCCTCTGTTCCCTTCCAACTTTCCTATTCTATGATTCCCGTAAGACCCAGCCTGAATTGCTAAAACACCTGGAGGTCACCGCCTTGGAGCAGCATGAGATCAATGAATGCAGCAGAAGGAAGGGCCTAGTATTCCTTCCTTCATTCCCAGTATTCAATTCAAACACAGCAATAACTATCAGAAAAAAACAAACTGGCTCAGTGTTCTGTGACAAAAATCGAACAAGTTCAATGGATTACTTTGTATCTTAATCAATTCAAGGGTAAATCACTGATTTAATCTTTGCTTTTCAAAAAGCATCAAAATTGAAAAACATTCTTTGCTGCAGTCATTAAAAATATTTTCAATGAAAAATTTTAAGATGTTACAGAGATAAGCATTGCATATCTCTGTAACAATGTATTTTATTGTGTTGTAAGCCGCCCCGAGGCTTCGGCAAGGGGAGGCATAGAAATGTTATAATAATAATAATATTAATAATAATAATAATGATGATGATGATGATGTCTGGCCAGGGTGACTTCTTTTATATTGTTATTTATTTTATATTGTTAGTTTTATATTGCTATTTTTGTATTATATTTTATGTTGTGAGCCACCCCGAGGCTTCGGCGAATGGGGCGGCATAGAAATGTTTTAATAAATAAATAAATAAAAATTTCAAATTAATCACTCTGTTTAAAAACTGGATTATACTTTGATAGCTGTGTCTATCAGGACCTGTTCTCATAAATATTTGAGGTAACAGAAACCTCCCTTACACTTACTTTAGAGCCTAAGTACCTAAGTTCATCTCATTCATACTTAATCCAGTTATACATGCAAGTACAAACCTGTTGAATATGTAAGTGTACATACACACATATAAAATACATACACATACACCCCACCCCTGATGAATTCAGGGCATTAAAGTAAATCATAAAGCATCGATACCTGATCAGAACAAGGATCTCTCTAATTCTGTATAATGCTAGAACTCTCACTGGTACAATGCTTCTGAGATCTCAAGCAGCTCCAGCTCTTGCCTTGCCAGTGGCATGCAAATGTGGTTTAGCTATCACTGCTGATAGTCAGTGACAGACTCATCCTCCAAGAATTTGTCCATCCCATTTTAAAAATCTAAGTGGGGTTATCACCACATGTTCTATGCATTTTGATGAATTTTATTTTGTCAGTTCTGACAAAAATGTTTGCCTCTATATATAAATATATATTTATATCCTATGTATTATTTATACAAGTCTGTGTTTTATTATGTAAATATAAACTGCAAAAAAGCACAACTTTAAAATACACATTCCTTTTCTTTGTCCCTTTTCTTTTGGTTTTTCAGGTGCATTTTCATCTTCTTCCTTTCACAAAAGGTTGTGCAATATTAGCTAGCAGTTCTACCCTAAGACAACTTGCACAGACTTAAGATGCATCCAACCTCTTTAAGAAGAAAAGCCACATTAGCAGAATGGACATCTCTAATAGTGATGGGAGCAGAGAAGCTTCTGAAGGGCACCTCCTGCGCAGCAGTGATACCCAAAGGCAACACTAGCAGAGGTCTTTCACAAACAATAGCAGCAAAGCTCAAGCTAACTCAGGCCAGTACTGAGCAGAAGGTAGCAACGGTAGGTCACATCTGAGTATTTCTCACTTTGGAAACCCTATGATGAAACAATCCAACATAAAGCACGAAAAGATGCCAGAAGAGGTTTCCAGGTCAGAAGGCACTCAATCAGCTACTGAAGAAGACAGTTCTATGGACAAATAGCACTGTCACTAATGATGCAACTAGGTCAAAGCCAAAAGAAAATCTAGAAGTTGACATGTTCCAAGAACAGATGCCAAATAAGAAATGGAAAACATTTATATCATCCAAGAGGGAGTTGATAACAAACCAAAAGATGATATGCCGATCATTTTATCTGATTGGGACATCACCAGAAGGTCAATACAGAAACCAAGTAGTCTCCAAACAGGAGTAGGAAATAAAGAAGCTGTGTTCTCACTGCCAAAAGAAGCAGATTGTGGCAGTGGCCATGAACTATTAAATGACAAATCAAAGTAAAGCTGAAAAAGATCACTACTATAAGCATAGTGCCGAAATGCCACTTCAGTAACAGCTTTGCATTATGGAACTCAATTGACTGTGAATCCGAAGACAGGGACTGAAACCAGGGCATTCTCTGGGAAGAAAGCAAAAAGGCCATTTCTGTAGCACCAAAAAAAAAAAAAAAAAAAGGTTAAAGCCTAGATGGATGAGGGAAGCAACACAATTGCTAAGGACAAGTGAAAAGCGAAAGGGGACAGAAACAGGGTCAGAATCCCAAATGCAACTTGGGGCAGCTCCTTTCAACAGCCATTTAAAATGTTACAACAGTGACCACTGATGGGGAAAACTAACTAAAAGAGTCCTGACGCTCAAGAAGCTAATGAAAACCATGCACGTTCTCAAAATATGGGAAATTTCCTGGACCTGTAACTAATTATATGCTACCTGGAAGAATCACTCCAAGGTCAGAATTTATGTGAACACATAGCAACTCTATTTATTTTGTACTATGTTTTATACCGCCCACTAGCCCAAAGGCTCTCTGGACAGTTGACAAGATTGAAGACATTAGATAACAACATACAACAAAACAGTAAGACCAATAAAATCACTAAAACAACTAATAACAAGATCACCACTGCTGGAATCCAGTTAAAAATACAGACACAGTAATGATATAAAATACAATA